GCTTCATCAAAGCAACATTTTTGTTTATTTAAACCCACCAATTCCTCAAGCCAATTTTCCTAAAGGTGCGAAATCCTTAAATCCCGCCAGACTTGCGTAAATCTCCCCTCTCGGAAATTCGATCTTTTTCAGAAATTGCCGAAAAGATTTCACCAATCTTTGTTTGTTCTCTTTAATTCCATTAGGCATCAAAATTTTTGAACAAAAAAAACTAAAAAGCTGTTCTGGAAGACTTTTTTTGCATTTATGATGTCTTTTTGGTTTTTTTTCATTGCGAATTCTCACCTGTTTTTGTTTGGAATTGAAGTTTCAGCTAGGTTTTCGTGAATCACTGCAAAAATTGATTGAGTTTATTTCATTTTTTGAGAATTTATTTTCTTTTTAATCTAAATTTGTTTGAATGGATATGATTTTTAAAATAAATATCGACTTGAGAATGAATTTCAATATTTTACTATTCATTGTCAAGCAGTATTTGCTACAGTCGAACTTGGATATAACGAAACGCTCGCGACCTGAGTCTGAGCCTGAGCCTAAGCCTAAACTCCCCTGGGTTCCAAAGCACAGGGGCAATCGGGTGTCCTTTAGCTCCGGCAATCGGCTGAAATCCAGAAAATGGGGGTTAAGCCCAAACCCAAATAGACTTAGTGCGAGGTGCCAGCCCTAGCCTTCCCACTAAGCCTAAGCCTAAGCCTAAGCCTAAGCCTAAGCCTAAGCCTAAGCCTAAGCCTAAGCCTGAGCTTGAGCCTGAGCCTAAGGCTAAGCCTGAGTCTGGGCCTGAGCCTGGGCCTAAGCCTAAAACGAGCCTCAAATTTTCTGCATAGCTTCATTGTGTACTTTGTGCTCATAAATGGAAACACACCCTTTGGTCAGTGATTGATGACCACTAGATGGCCAGTGATTGATGATCACTAAATGGCCAGTGATTGATGACCACTAGATGGCCAGTGATTGCATTTGTTTGCAAAAGCTATGCCGAAATTTTGAGCACGTTTTAGCATTTCAAATTCGTTGTATCGAAGTTCGTTATATCGAAGTTCAACTGTATATTAATTAAATTTTCCCCAAGTTTTTCATGTTTGGGTTCAATTAAAATGTGTTTTAAAATTAAAAATAGACTACTTTAGCGTTACTTTATTGCTTTCATTTGTTTGTTTTATGTTAGTTCAATTGTTTAATTGCTATCTCTTTCAGATTTTCTGAGTGAGGGGAAAAAGCTTCAGCGTTGGGCTTTTAAATTTGAATCTTCAGTGCAAAAATCTTCACAAAAAAGCTCTTGACTAAAGTACGAAGGTTTATCTTTGTTATCAATATCTTTCTTATTTCTTCATCTCATCAATTCTCGCTAATTTCTTTCAGCTATCATTCTCCAATCAACGAACAACCCTACTTTGTGCTCTTCTGCAATTTGCACGTTTCATTTCAAATTTTTGGAAATCCAAATCATTTCCCTAATCGAATGAAACGACAAAACGTTAATTGGGTTTTTGTAAAAAAACTCAAAACTCAGAAAAAACGACTTCTGTAATGATACAATCAAAGGGAAATGCTTTTTTTGGTTTCCCTAGGAGACCGATCTCTTTCAGATTTTTTTTTTTGATGATTTGAACCCTCTGAAAACTTTTCTGCAGTTGGGAACTCTTTTCGATTTTGATTTAAAACGAAAATCTCCATTTCCTTGATGCAAGTTGTAATTTTCCTCCTATCAAAGTCTATAATTTTCCCCCATTTGCCAACTAATGAACAGTTTTGTCCCAGTCATGTCTCACATTATGAATCACAAAGCAGAAATTATCGCAAAATCTTTAAAATTCTTTGAGCTATAGATTTTTCGAAGTTTTTCTATTTTATATTATTTTCTTCTGTTTCTGGTTGAGAGAACTTGATCCCCTCAAAGAAAAGCGTTTGCTTTGGTTCTTTTACTATTAGTAGTGTTGTATAGACATGTGCCAATACATTCTAGCAAACTTGCCAACATTCTAGCAAAAGTTGCCAACATTCTAGCAAACGTGCCAACATTCTAGCAAACGTGTCACCCATTCTAGCAAACGTGTCAACATTCTAGCAAACGTGCCAACCATTCTAGCAAACGTGTCACCCATTCTAGCAAACGTGTCACCCATTCTAGCAAACGTGCCAACATTCTAGCAAACGTGCCAACATTCTAGCAAACGTGTCACCCATTCTAGCAAACGTGTCACCCATTCTAGCAAACGTGCCACCCATTCTAGCAAACGTGCCAACATTCTAGCAAACGTGCCAACATTCTAGCAAACGTGTCACCCATTCTAGCAAACGTGCCAACATTCTAGCAAACGTGCCAATACATTCTAGCAAAGGACTTTCGTTTTCTGAAACATGGATACAATGTGATTTTACACTTTAGAAAACAAAAGCCGTTTGCTTAAATGAATATGACTAGTTCTGTGTAAGTTGAAAAGGTTTTTTATCATATTTGTATGCAAACTTTAAATTTAGCTATCTACTTTTGTTTTCTATTGTGCTCAAACCTACTAGTTAACTGTTCTTTACAAAACACACACATCACACGCACAGCTTTTTCTTTGTTAGTTTGACAAATTTGTTCAACGTGAACTTATGGATAACATGAATTCGAAATTATCAACTTAATTTGATTCTTAAAAGATTTAAAAGAATTAAGGTTAGGCAACTCAAGAAATAGAGATTTTTGCACTCTTTTGTAATCGGTACTCAAATCCATGAAAATTTTGCTTTCTTTTCCAAATCAAATCGTTCATATATACCGTATTCTCCTTAAAATGACCGTTTCAAAAAAAAAACTTGTGGCGAATAATTTAGGCAAATGTGCTCTAGTTTTTGGATTAGGCAGTTATTTTTATTGCGCGCAATTCATTTTAGCACAGAAAAAGTTTTTTTTACTAAAAACATCTGTTTTTTGAATTTGTTCTGAATCTGAATTAGCTTTTATATGATAGAAAATTTGATTTAAAGTCGAATTCAACGCAAATTCAACGTTTTTCAAACAAACCACAAGATACGAGGAAAATTCGTAGATTGCTAACGGCAAACGGGCTGAAAAACAGAGTTAACCAAATCTGTAGAGAAAGGGAACCAAATCTTTGGAGTAAAGGTGGCCACCCGGGCTCTCTCTCTTGGAGGTCGGTTCACCGCAGATAAAAATTTCTTTCCGACCAAGTGGTTTTTTTTTTTTGGGGGGGTGGGGGGGCCGCGGCGCTTTTTTTTTTGTTCTTTGTTTGTATCACATTATTGGTTTTCATTAAATGTATTTTTTTAAAGGAGCCAAGTCTGTAGAGAAAGGGAACCAAATCTTTGAAGTAAAGGAACCAAATCTATAGAGAAAGGAAACCAAATCTTTGGAGTAAAGGAGCCAAGTCTGTAGAGAAAGGGAACCAAATCTTTGGAGTAAAGGAGCCAAGTCTGTAGAGAAAAGGAACCAAATCTGTAGAAAAGAAATAAAAGAAATTTTCTTTTCAATAGAATTTATTACGCTAACTTTGTTTAGCTTCGCTTTTCCCCTTTCATGACTTCAAAACGTTTCATTCCATTTTTTTGGATAATTACTCGTGGGAATTCTTGGCAGAGTTCATTGCGACTTCTCTTCAAACAACAAAATTGTGCTTTTCATGTTCTTTATTAAAAATTCTCATAAGATATTACCTCACAATGATTTTCAACGATTTTTTTTACATCTTTTCCCGGTTCAAAATCGAAGTTTTTATCAAAAAAAGAATTGTGAAAAGTTGTAGTCAAAGGCTAAGAGTTTTCTAGAATTATAGCCGGGGTTTTTTTAGCGTTTTTACCAGTAATTGTACAAGGTGTGACTCAAAGAAAAAGAAAAAAAGGAATGGTTGTTCAGACAAATCCATCTTTCTTTCAGCTTCTTTTATCAAAGCACAAATTTGGTAATCAAAAATTTCTTTCTCCAATTTTTACGTTTGTTTGAATGGATTTTCACTAATTTTCCTCGTTTTTACATCATTTTTGGGTGATTTTCTTGCAAAAAATATGTAAGAAGGCGTCCTTTTGTGCGGGCAAAATTTTTAGATTTATTTGCATACCAGATATTGATTTATATAGGAAATGCTTTATTATCTACGTTCGCCCGATCCTCGAGTATGTCACCTCGAGTATGCTTCTTTAATTTGGTCACCTATTTCTAAATCCCTAATCGACAAAATTGAAAAGGTTCAGAAAAACTTTACTCGAATAGCACTATTCAAAATTGATTTTGCTAACTACTCATCCGTCAGGTATAAACATAGATTGAAACTTTTCTCACTTGAAACCTTAGAACAACGCCGTCTTATCATAGATTTGGTTGAGTGCTTTAAAATTGTAAAAGGAAAACATCAAAACCCTCTTTTTAAAAATCTTTTTCGACTAAACTCGAGGCTTGGCTCGAGACTTGGCTCGAGACTTGGCTCGAGGCTTGGCTCGAGACTTGGCTCGAGACTTGGCTCGAGGCTTGGCTCGAGACTTGGCTCGAGGCTTGGCTCGAGACTTGGCTCGAGACTTGGCTCGAGACTTGGCTCGAGGCTTGGCTCGAGACTTGGCTCGAGACTTGGCTCGAGACTTGGCTCGAGTTTAGCCGAAAGCTTGGCTCGAGTTTAGCCGAAAGGCGTGGCTCTTTTATCTTGCATCCCGAATCTGCTTTCTCTAAATCCTCTAGAGCCTTTTTTCGTAAATCGTGTGACTAAAGTTTGGAATGCCCTTTCCGACAAGTTGCATTTGATCTCCACCGTGTCTGATTTTAAAAGGGATACTTCGTTGCATTTTAAGTGACTTTGTGATCTTTTATCTAGTACATTTTTCATGTCGTTTTCGCACTTTATTTCTTTCTGAATAAAGTATTTATATATCATTTTCCTCGTTTTTACATCATTTTTGGGTGATTTTCTTGCAAAAACTCTCTAATTGTTTGAAATTTTTAAAACTTTTGAGAATTTATTTAGAGAAAACCCGCAATCATAGTGAAACTCGGTCATTTTACAACGAAAATGGGCGTGTGCGCGTCCACGCTATCCGATGAGGAAAAATCGGTAAGTGTGCGGATTAAACGTGGGAAAAATTTCCAAATTCCAAAAATCCAAACCTAATTCCAGGGGGTGCCTGCTCTTCTAAGTGGGTCAATCTTTATGATGTTGGTTTCATTTTGTAGATCTCAATAAGTGCAACAAAATACAACCAAAACTATAAAGATTGGCTTACTTAGAAGAAAGTTATGGTGAGTTGCGCAAATGACCCTGTTGGGCAAAAAAAATTATGGATTAAACGTGGGAAAAATTGCAATCCAAACCTAATTCCAGGGAGTGCCTGCTTTGCGCCAAATTTTTTACGCAACAGGGTCTTTTGCGCAACTCGCCATAACTTTCTTCTAAGTCGGCTAATATTTATGATGTTGGTGTCATTTTGTAGATCTCAACAAGTGTAACAAAATGACACCAACATCATAGAGATTGGCCGACTTAGAAGGAAGTTATGTTGCGCAAAAGACCTAGTTGCGCAAATGACCAAGTTGCGCAAAAAATCTGGCGCAAAGCCAAAAAATTTGGCCAAAGCCACCCCCCGTAATTCCACCTTGATTTTTTGAGCTAATTGCTTTGAAATTTTGTCTACATTTTCGAATCGAATCGAAATTCGAAATCGAATCAACTTGTAGACAAAATTTCAGAGGTAATCTGCCAGAAAGCGACCGAAAAAAAACGAAAATGGAATTCGGTTTGGAAAGATAAAAAGAAGAAAACGAAGAAAACGAAGAAAAAGAAGAAAAAGAAGAAAAAGAAGAAAAAGAAGAAAATAGAAAGTTATCAGGTTGGCAACTAAATAATGGCCCTTTTCAGTAAAAACAAAAAATTTATTAACAAGATGAACAAATATCAACATCAATCCAAAAGGTATTCTCCGTCATTCTTTATTACTTCTTTCCACTTTTGACGGAGCAACTGGATTCCTCTCTTGAAAAATTCTTCTGGTTGATCGTCAAAGAACTTCTGCACTGAAATTCGGACTTCGTCAAGGTCATTGAACTTTTTCTCGGCTAGAAAGTGTTGCATCGATCGAAAAAGATGGTAATCACTAGGCCCCATAACCGGGCTGTATGGCGCATGAGGAAGAACATTCCAGCTCAACTCCTCGATTCTCTCCATTGTAAGTTTTGCAGTGTGTGGTTTTGCGTTATCATGGAGAAAATGAATTGAAGAGGGTTCGGTCCTTGAGATCGAATTACTTGATCTACCGATGTAGTTGAGACGAATAGAGTTCTGAATTAACCGTTGCCCGCTTTTGAGACCTCGAAATGCACCAACCCACGAGAACTCCACCACACAAGAGGAGAGTTTTCTTTGAGTGAATATCCGGCTTCGGGTTGGTTTTGGGTCTTCGTTTGTGCTAGCCACTGTCGTTTTCGCGTTCGATTATCATAAAGATCCATTTTTCATCAGAAGTGACAATGGAATCAAGAAGCTTCCCTTTTTCGCAAGTTTTAGTAGTATTCCAGCTGTGATAACACGAGTAGCCTTATTTTCTTCGCTCAATTCATGCGGAATCCACTTTCCACTGCGGTTACTTTTCCCCAATGCATGAAGTCGCTTTTCGATTGCAGTATGCGAAAAGCCCAATCGATCCCCTAGCTCGCGTGATGTTTGACTTGGATCCTCCTTTAAGCTGCTTCAAAATATCGTTCTGCAGAAGTTCGGGTCGTCCTTTGGGGGCTCATCTTCAAGACTTTCATCCCCTTCCTTGAACCGTCTACCATCTCTTACTTGTGTTTCGGAAAGAGCTTCATCACCAAAAACTCGCAATAAATCTCTGTGGGATTCGGCAGCTGTTTTGTCTTGTTTGTAGTCGTACCAGAGACAGACACGCATTCGATATTTGAGATCTTCCATTTCTAAACAAAATTATTTGAAAAGTATCAAATCAAGGAAAGTAAAAAACGTATAATAATGCACCAGAAATTCAGTAATATTCAATTAACAACAAGCGAGGGTAGATTAAACGCAAAGATTAAAAGATTTTATCAAAAAAGGGCGAGGGCCATTATTTAGTTGCCAACCTAATAGATCAGTGCAAATCATGTAAAGAATTTCCATCTCATGATTTTCCTAATTCTTTTCTTTTTAGGTAATTAAACATCAAGAGTTTATGAATCGACAAATCGAGGAGAATATTAAAAAAGAGGCCGAGATTGAAACAACCATCATCAAATTGCTTTTACTTGGTTGGAGCAAAGGAAACTTAAAGAAACAATGAGAAAATTTTAGGTCCTGGTGAATCAGGGAAGAGCACAGTGCTGAAACAGATGAGGTAGTGCTTAAAAATTGAAATGATATTTCATCAAATTTTCAGAATCATTCACAACAACGGTTTTACTGAAGCGGAACGGGCGGCTAGACGAGAAGCTGTTTGGAATAACACTATTCAATCCATGCATATGTTAATTGCTGGTTTGGAGAGAGTTGCATATCAGATTTTCGAGAAAAATCAGGTCAGCCAGGAAACGATCAATAATCTAATTCATTTGCAAAACTCATACACTACTGGACAATGAAATATGATATTTGAAAAACGATCGTCACTTTCGCGCGTCTGTAACTCCCTTGTCTTTACCGTATTTCTAAATATTAATATTACCATTGTGTAGCCCTTGAAAAGAGCTTTCAGAAAATGTATAACACTAATAGTTTAAACTCAAAGACAAGAGAGTTACAGACGCGCGAAAGTGACGATCGTTTTTCAAATCTCGATATTTCATTGTCCAGTACTGTATTATTGCTTCTAGATCCACGTGGAACTCATCAAAAAGACTGTGGCGGACAAATTGGATTGGGAACCGATCGGTGAAGAGATGGCTCATGCGATTAAATGTCTTTGGGATGACAAGGTAATAGTTTGATTGGATTGAATAAAATATAACCGATAAAATCGCTTGCTAGAGATAAAAGAATGTTCTTTTTTTAGGGCATCAAAGCCGCCTACGAGCGTCGCAGCGAATTCCAGTTGAACGACAGCGCTGTTTAGTGGGTTTTCTCTTTAGTGAGAGCAAGGCAAGCTCAAGACACTTAAAGAGTAAAGAAAATTGAGATCAATTCTCACTATTATCGACGGGTGGATGTAGTATTATAGTAATATATTAGGTTGATGCAAAAGTCTTTTTCATTTTTTTCGTACTTCCGTTAAAAAGTAACAAATGCACCAATTGAACAACGGTTTATTGCATTCGAAAGGCCAATTATTTTTCTGCAAAATGACATTAAAACGAGTTTAAAATGTCTTATGTCTAGATTTTTTTGCGAGCCTGAAGTCGGGTAGTCAAAAAAGGCGACGGCTCGATGATGCATTTTAGACGCTTTAGCTAAGGAAACCAATCTTGATGTTAATAAATAAAAGATAGAGCACAAAAAGTTAGATATTTTCTCAGATTTTCAGAGAAATTGATTCAGCCAATTTCTTTATAGAGGTTTTTATAGATTTTTATGAAAAACCCGTTTTCACTCTCGAATTTGCTTGAAAGTGAACCCAAATTGACTTAAAAAGATGGGAAATTGAACAATAAACACTTTTCATTTAGAGCAAACCATAGGTTAATTGATGACTTTGTTATTTTTCAAAAGAAGTACGAAAAAAATGAAAAAGACTTTTGCATTAACCTAATAATTTCAATAAAGTTTCATGTAAAAATGATTAAATTAAATCAATTTCTCAATAATTTATCGGGTATTGAGGGATGGCTTTGCACATCATTTTAACCTACCGTAAATACTGTAATAGTACTATTAAAGTATTTACGGTACCCATCCCCCTCGTACAGTCACGTAGTCGCAAAAGTTTTTATTTCGTTTTTTTCAAAGCGCCCGTACTTTCAAAAAATGCGTCTTTGGTATCAAAAAATAGCTGAAATTCAGGGCTATTTTTTGATACCTAAGCGCGCATTGTAGCTTAAACCAGTGTCGAGAAAAACTCGTCCAAAGCTAGACTACGCAACACTCCGCACCGTCATTATGGGGCTGGGGTACTATTACAGTATTTACGGTCGTTTAACCATAATCTTTCCTGTGTTATATAAAATGTTGAAGCTCTTAATCTTGGCTACATTTTTCTTTTAAAAGCTTTTTGATTAGAAAGATACAACTCATTTTACAAGCCCATGAAAGAGTACTAGTTAATCCCACCATTTCTGGCGATTACTCATTCAATGACTTCTAAAATGAGTTGTATATCTCAAATTAAAAAACTGTATATCTCAAATCAACTGATTTTAGAAGTCATTGAATGAGTAATCGCCAGAAATGGTGGGATTAACTAGTACTCTTTCATGGGCTTGCTCCCTAGTCGATTGCTCTTTTTAGTCGACTAGCTCTCAAGCGCCAAATTCAACTCTAATGTGCTAGGTGTTATAAATATTGAAGCTCTTAATCTTGGCTACATTTTTCTTTTAAAAGTTTTTTGATTAGAAAGATACAACTCATTTTAGAAGTCATTGAATGAGCCATTGATTACAAATTTAGTTGTTTCTACATAAAACCATTAAAAATTAAAGTACTACAATTTGTTCTATTGAGATTCGGTTTTAACCTTCTTTAAAAATATTTCAGTTTCTTTGAATCAATCGATCGGACTTCAGAAGAGCACTATATTCCAACAGTGCAGGATATTTTGATGACAAGAGTGGCGACAAGTGGAGTACAAGAAATACGATATACGTATAAGAATATTGAGTTTCGGTAGGTGAAAGAAAAACAAATTGATCATTTCATTGAATTTAGATTATTTGACGTCGGTGGTCAGAAATCGGAGAGACGAAAATGGATTCATTGCTTTGACAACGTTGATGCATTGTTATTTGTAGTGGCAATCTCCGAATACGATCAAACGATGAGAGAAGACGGGACAACGGTTGGTGATTGATGTTAGAGAATCGACATACCTGATACGGTAATACTTGATTAGTTAAAGGAAACTCATTGTAAATCTTCTTGACATAAGCTGGCTGACCATTTGTTTTGTCTTTACTTTGTCCTAGCTAACAATTTGTCTTATTTTATATGAAAGCTTTAATGATAAAAGCTTACAAATAGGTTTCAGTAAGGTTTTATAAAACTACAGAAACTAGAAACTAGAAATTATTAGGTGTATGCATAAGAAATGCGGATTTCAACATTGTCATAAATTTCCAAAGATAGAAACCTGAAAATATCGATGAATGTTATAAACTGTTTGAAAGTTGCAAATCTCCTCTACAAAATAGGCTAAAACGTGTTTCAATTGATCGAACAATTGAAGAAATTTCGAGGGCGAAATGCGAGTGACCAAAAAAAGGAATCGAGTCACTTTAGGGACAAGTTTAGTGTGGTCAAAATAGAGTTAGCTTTCCAAAATTGAAGATTTTAAAAAGAAAGGATAACTATATATAAATTCATTACAAAAGTCTAACGGAAATGCATTTACAGAAATTTAGATAGAGCGTAAGTTCAAAACCCTCAAAATTGTCAAAAAAAACCGGCTTTTTCCCAAAAAAGAAAAATTATTGTAAATACAAAGTTTTCCCATGAAATGATCCCAACTCTTAATTATTTCGAATGATATTTAAATGGCTTTAGGGCGCTCATTTTCCACTATATAGTCAAAACCGAACTCTTGTGAAAGTGGGGTTTTCAAAAAGTGCCCTTTTTTGGTCACTCGCATTTCGCCCTCGAAATTTTCCGTTAGAATTTTTTTTAATGAATTGATATATATTGGGTTGATGCATAATTATCCGGACTTCTTTTATAAATGATTTTATTTAACAAAAAATAACATAAATAGTTAGAAAAATATGTTTAATTGATTATTCTGGAGCATATTCACCGCCTACATCAATAACTGATTGCCATTTGCTTGGAAGACGATCGATTCCACGAGCGAAGAATAAACGATCTTTGGAGGCAATCCACGCTTTAACATCGTCTATCAAGTCATCCAAATCGTTGTAGATCTTATTTGTTTGCCAATTTTTGAGCGATCGATTGACGTGGTAGTCCGTTGGGGCTTCTCCAGTTCTTTGAGATCGCGAAACGACTCTGCGGCAGACCATCCCTTTTCGAAGTGGTAGAGCATGATATGGCGAAGATGGATATGATTGTCGACACGCATTTTGTTCACTAAAGAATAACGAATATTTTAAAAAAAAGAAATAGATAGTTATCCTTTCTTTTTAAAATCTTCAATTTTGGGAAGCTAACTCTATTTTGACCACACTAAATTTGTCCTTAAAGTGACTCAATTCCTTTTTTTGGTCACTCGCATTTCGCCCTCGAAATTTCTTCAATTGTTCGATCAATTGAAACACGTTTTAGCCTATTTTGTAGAGGAGATTTACAACTTTCAAATAGTTTATAACATTCATCGATATCGTTTTCCGGTTTCTATCTTTGGAAATTTATGAAAATGTTGAAATCCGCATTTCTTATGCAAAGTGAAACTGAAAGTTTTTCAGAATCGAGTAAAAGATTCTCTCGTTCTCTTCAAAGACATCATCAACAATGACTACTTCAAAAAAGCGCAGGTTATAAAATAATTAAAAATAATCAAAAATAATCAAAAATAATCAAAAATTATCAAAAATAATCAAAAATTATCAAAAACTATCAAAATAATCAAAATAATCAAAAATAATCAAAAATAATCAAAAACTATCAAAAATTATCAAAAATAATCAAAAATTATCAAAAACTATCAAAAATAATCAAAAATAATCAAAAATAATCAAAAATAATCAAAAACTATCAAAAATTATCAAAAATAATCAAAAATTATCAAAAATTATCAAAAATTATCAAAAACTATCAAAAATTATCATAAAATCCTTTCCAGGTGATCTTATTTCTAAACAAAAAGGATCTCTTTGCCGAGAAGATCAATCGAGTGCCATTATCGATTTGCTTTGCAAAATTTACAGGTAAAATTTGCTTAGCCTTGAACTCCTGTAATTCAATTTTATTACATTTATTTTGATTTTCTTTAGCTACTGCTAAAAATCTACACATTTCTTTATTCACACGAATATTATGAAACAAGCAATCCACAAGCATAATCCCTATTAGAGTGTGTTCCTCGCGAGTAAGTAATTACTCGAGTAAATTTGCATGAGTCATTTTTTTTCTCGATTAATAGCTCGAGTAGTTGTGGGGGGTAGTCAAAACAGCGCCATAATAGAAAACGTTCAAAACAGCACCGTCAAATTTCTCAAAATCCAAAAAACGAAGCCGGTTCAAGTTTTATATCAAAAAATTCCTTGGGTTCTTGGCTAGATGATGGGTGAAACAGTTTTTAAAAAAAGTTAATATTTCATAGATAAAAAGAGCACTAAAGATATTCAGTTAACCAACTGAAGATCACTCGACACACATTTTGAGTGCTCTTTTTATCTATGAAATACTAACTTTTTTTTTAAAACTGTTTCACCCATAATGTAGCCAAGAACGCAAAGAATTTTTTTGATATAAAACTTGAACCGGCTTGGTTTTTTGGATTTCGGGAAAAATTTGACGGCGCTGTTTTGAACGTTTTCTATTATGGCGTTGTTTTGATATTCAATATCTTTACTTTGGAAGGGAATTTCCCACCAAATCAGTTAAACGGCTGAGTATCTTTAAAAAGTGTCTTATATAATGCCGGGCTCGTGATTTTTGCATCATTTTTTTCGCAATAATTTTTGCTAAAAGTACGTTAATTTTTTTCCCAAGTGTGCGTTTTTAAAAAAACGCATTACTCGCGAAGTACACACTCTAATCCCTATAGGGAAAGCCTAAATATTGGGAAGAGAAACTCATAACTATCGGGAAGAGAAAAAGAATTAATAATCTAACTGGAAATGAACCATTGACCTCTCGACTAGGATACGAGGCTCTTAGCCAGTCAGTCAGTGAAGTAAAAGCTACAGGCACAAACGATTACGATGAATGCACGAAGTACCTTGAGAAACGATTCCATCGACTGAAAAACGATCATGACAAAATGGTCTACACGCATCTCACTTGTGCCACGGATACGAATCAAGTGAGTTGGACATTTTGAGAGATGTGAGCAAGATCTTGATCTTGAGATCTTGATCTTGAGATCTTGACCTTGAGATCTTGACCTTGAGATCTTGATCTTGAGATCTTGATCTTGAGATCTTGATCTTGAGATCTTGATCTTGAGATCTTGATCTTGAGATCTTGATCTTGAGATCTTGATCTTGAGATCTTGATCTTGAGATCTTGATCTTGAGATCTTGATCTTGAGATCTTGATCTTGAGATCTTGATCTTGAGATCTTGATCTTGAGATCTTGATCTTGAGATCTTGATCTTGAGATCTTGATCTTGAGATCTTGATCTTGAGATCTTGATCTTGAGATCTTGATCTTGAGATCTTGATCTTGAGATCTTGATCTTGAGATCTTGATCTTGAGATCTTGATCTTGAGATCTTGATCAATCCTTGTCAATCAGTCCAAAATTGTTCCAAACCAAATTCTTCTTTTGTCTATTTGCAATGCATTTAGAGTATTGGAAAAGCTCAGAACTAGTGAAATCTGAGTCTTGATTAGTTTTGTTGAAATCCTATGCGATTCATTGAATCTTTGAAATTACAATGATCAATTTCTAGCAAAATTTGATGAATTTCGGTTCAACTTAGGTTCAACTCGTGCTAGCTGCAGTCACCGATATGATCATCGCCGAGAATTTCAAACAAACTGGGGTCATGTGAATGCTTTGGGCAATTATTTTTGGCAACTTTTTGGCAATTTTTTGGCAATTTTTTGGGTATATCTTTTTGGTCTTTTATTTTACGACAATAAGACAATAGCTTAAACTTATAATATCTTTCATTTCATAGCTTTTATCTTTTATCTTTTATTATTTCAATTTTAGATCTTGCTTTATCATTTTTCTATTTTTTAAACCAAATTCTTTGATCTCCCCTTTTCATTTGACTTTTCTTAAACTTTGTGCTCATAAGTGTAAACACACCATCTCTGGAGGCAAACACCAAGACAAATAAAGCTTCAGCGCAGTAGAAAGGGTGTGTTTCCATTTCTTGAGCACAATGTACACCTTGAAGAAGTCTAAGTCTACACTAATGGACAATGAAATATGATATTTGAAAAACGATCGTCACTTTCGCGCGTCTGTAACTCCCTTGTCTTTACCGTATTTCTAAATATTAATATTACCATTGTGTAGCCCTTGAAAAGAGCTTTCAGAAAATGTATAACACTAATAGTTTAAACTCAAAGACAAGAGAGTTACAGACGCGCGAAAGTGACGATCTTTTTTCAAATCTTGATATTTCATTGTCCAGTACTGTACCTTTAAAAGTAGCCCCCCTCATAATGACGGTCGGAACGTCGCGTAGTCTAACTTTAAACGCATTTTTCTCGCCATCCGTTTATAAAAAATACCGACTGGGGCTACCAGTGGTGAATTTATCGCATACACGAAATATATCAATCACAATACAACGACACACACAATACTAGGCTATATCTTAACTTAACCCACGTCATGACAGACGGCTCCCTAACCCTAAGCTCAATGGGGAACTAAATAGCTTTTTTGGTGGTGAAGGGAAGATGACGATGAAGGATGTTTATCCGTTTATGCTACATCCGTTTATGCTACAGTTTGCGTTTTAGTATCAAATGAAAGTTGAAATTCAGGGCTATTTTTTGATACGAAAAACGCATTTTTAGAAATTATGAGCTCTTAGGAAAAAAAATGATTTAGTAAAAATATTTCATATTTCATTGTCCAGTGCTGTATCTCATATTTCTCACAAACTTTTTTGCGGGTCTTTTTTATGTTTTACTTTCTGCTTTTTGAGTCACAAGTTTTTTTCAAATAAAAATCAATTTATATACAAGAGAGCCGAAAATGAGTTATGAGGAGCTAAAAAACATCATGAACTATCAGATACTGCAAAACAAAATTAAAAAAATACCGACTGGGGCTACCAGTGGTGAATTTATCGCATACACGAAATATATCAATCACAATACAACGACACACACAATACTAGGCTATATCTTAACTTAACCCACGTCATGACAGACGGCTCCCTAACCCTAAGCTTAATGGGGAACTAAATAGCTTTTTTGGTGGTGAAGGGAAGATGACGATGAAGGAGTGGCTTGTCACTTTAAAGAACTGGGGCCACAACCACCAGACTGCCCTCCAGAAAACCTCTCAACCCGAAGGGAAAGGAAATCCGAAGGGGGTGACCATGTCGCATGTGGGGTTCGAACCCTCGACCTTCCGATTAAGATAAAAGACACTTAACCAGTCAGCCACACGTGCTCAAATTGAATGGAAAAGGGAGATATGGCAAGAGATTCAAACGGGAAAACCGGGACAAAAAATGAGAAGTAACAAGAGAGAAAATATGGCTGAGAAAAGTTTAAAATATCAAAAATTGAATAATAATTGAAAATTTATTTCTTTTGACGCTCATTTCTTACCGTTGACCTCAAATAGTCGGGGAAAAAGCGACGAGGAGTTGATCGAAAAGTGGCCGCTGAGTAAGGCCACTAGAATTTTTGGTTTGATTCATTTACTCACCCTTTCATTTTACCCCTTGAACTGGCTGTGGACCTTGACGATTCTCAACAAAAACATAGAGATCTTCAAAATTCTCTGATTTTTTTGATGGCGGTGATCCGTTTGGTGATGTAAACAGATAGGATAGTAGGGTGACTGATCTGAAAGAAAATTGATTCAATTGAAAAGTTAGTTTTTTAGTTAGAAAAGTTAGTTTATTGAGTCTAAGTTGGCTAGGAGATTTGGCTCAAGGTAGAGATCAAAGAAGTCGCTTGATTAAAGTCAAAAACTTTGGTTATCGGATATTTGATGCCCCTTTTTCCATTAGCAAACTTTGAACTGAAATTTCTTGGTGTTGGGCTGTTCAATTTCAATATTTTTGATATCATTTGATGCGCCGAGTCTTTCTCTATCGATTGGCATAAAAACTATTTCAATTGAGAGGCTCAAAGGCAAGATATTTGAGCTTAAAGTTGAATTGCTAATGGGAAAGGGGCGATGCGTGGATTAAATGTTCTACAAAAACTTTAGATGTCTAAAATCGAACCGCTGTATCGTTCCCATGACAGAAGATTGTTTATCGATGAATCATGTAATTTTAAAGGTTCTGAAAAGAAAAGAAGAATTATAGAAAATATGGACCAATTGTTTCTATTGGGTTGGTGAATTGAAAACTGCGGGCTATTGTCATATGTGACAGTTTGAGCACTTTCTTCAAAAGAAACCCATTTTGGTGTCAATGGAAAAGTTGTAGAGAATCAAAAATCAAGCTTATATCCAAACTTCCAAAAAGATACACTTAGTAGTTTCGCTTAAAATTTGTGCGTTCTTTGTGTTCTTTGTGCGGCCGCGTAATCACTCGTCGTCTGGCGCAGGGCTTTTAGATAACGCCCTTCCCTCTCCCTATGTCGAATTGATCTGGCCGACTCCAACTCCTCAAATCGGACATTGACTTCTCCTCAAATCAAGGCTAATCTCAATCTATTGGGGTTGGGGAATTGAAAACTGCGGGCCATTGTCATATGTGACGGTTTGAGCACTCTCTTCAAAAGAAACCCATTTTGGTGTCAATGGAAAAGTTGTAGAGAATCAAAAATTAGGCTTATATCCAAATTTTCAGTACGATTCAAAAACTGGTTTTCAAGAAATGCCAAATTTACGAATTTTCACAAAACTTGCATTTTAAGCGAAACTACTAAGTGTATCTTTTTGGAAATTTGGCTATAAGCCTAATTTTTGATTCTCTACAACTTTTCTATTGACACCAAAATGGGTTTCTTTTGAAGAAAGTGCTCAAACGTCCTCCAGGGACATCTCCAGTTCTCCATTTTTGAGTCTCACATTTGTCTCACACACAAGCCAAAATCCTACTACGAAAGAGGAATCCGCAAATTGCCTGTAAAATGGGCAGAAGTCGTCAATAATAATGAAAATTATATGGAAATGAAATGAATTGATGGTTTTATGTTGAATAAATTTTAGTTCAAAGTGCCGCAGTTTTCAATTCACCGACCTAATATTACATAGAAAAATATGAACGGTAGCTGGAAGAGAAGAAGAAACGAAAAGTGTAAAGGAGTAATTAACAATCTATCTATCAAATTGTCTATTGTTTATCTAAGCAATACAATAAAAAGATTAGAGATTTGCATAAATAATGCAAAAAACGAAACAACAATGGTAAAAGTCATGTAAATGAAAAACGAAAACCCTAATGGTGAAAAAGAGAAAAAAAAGGAGAAAAAGAAAGACACGAGTCTGTATTTGTTTCACTCTTTCCCATCTCCTTTTCCCCTTCTCATCATCGGTGTTGCCATTGCCAAACACGAGAGACTTTTCCTCAATAATCTGCATGAAACCCGCTCATCGTCTTTTCTGCCTTCGTTTGTCTATTGGGTTAAAGAGGGATTTTTTCTTTGGTGAATACAGTGCTCATATCAATCATTTGGATTAGATTCAATTGTTGATCAAGGCTTGAAGACAAGGACTTTAATGTCCTTGTCTTCAAGATCAAGACAAGGACTTTAATGAAATAAGTGACAAAAAGTCGACAATTGTCAACCTTTCCTACAATGAAAGCTACATTTTGGAGTAAAAGTAAAGTACAGAAAAAATGTTTGAATCTTTAAAGAAGTTAATAAAGTCAAAAACTACTTAAGTTGGAACTAAGAATTAGCTTTAATTTGAGGAAAGATTTTGTTAAAATGTTAAATACGAGAGTTTATTTGAAAATGAAAGAGAAAAAAAAAGGAAAAAGAGAGACAAAGACTTTCTATTCGTCTTTAATCCTTTTTCTAAATTATCCCTTTTCACAATCTCTATTTACTGCTTGAGAAAAGATGATTTTGCTTGAGTTCACTTTCGACAAAGATATCAAGATTTTAGAGAACAATGGAAAAATTGAGTTAAAGACTGTCACTTGTACAGAAGGATTCAAAATATTGGGTTGGTGAATTGAAAACTACCGGCTATTGTCATATGTCACAGTTTGAGCACTTTCTTCGTAAGAAACCCATTTTGGTGTCAATGGAAAAGTTGTAGAGAATAAAAAATCAAGCTTATATTCAAATTTTCAGAACGATTCAAAAACTGGTTTTCAAGAAATGAGAAATTTACGAATTTTTACAAAACTTGCATTTTAAGCGAAACTACTAAGTGTATCTTTTTGGAAATTTGGCTATAAGCCTAATTTCTGATTCTCTACAACTTTTCCATTGACACCAAAATGGGTTTCTTTTGAAGAAAGTGCTCAAACTGGGACATCTCCAGTCCTCGATTTTTGAGTCTCACACTTGTCTCACACACAAACCAAAATCCTACTACGAAAGAGGAATCCGAAAATTGCCTGTAAAATGGGCAGAAGTCGTCAATAATAATGGAAATTGTACAGACCAAGTGAAATACTGTGAATACTGGAATAGTGAATTAAGTGAACAGAATGATACTGTCACCTTTAGAGAATCAGAAGTGAATTGTGTTCTGATTGGAAATCACAAAAAGATGAACAGACAATGGAATCAGTGAAAAGGGGGAAAAAAGAGGAAAAGAATGGAACAGGTTAGATGCCATTGCAAACAGCATACAACAAATATCAAATTTCACATAGATTGAAGAAGAAAAATTGTGAACACGCACGCAATTTTGTAACAATTTTCTCATCTGGACAAAAGATTCATGAATAGAGAGTGTTTCCTGCGTGTAATTACTCGAGTCAAATTTGCATATGTAATTTTCACCCAATCAATATTTTCGTTGAGTAACTACGAGTAAATCCTCTTTACACGTCGAGTAAATTGAATATCTATATTTGAAGATAATTTGCGACCAAATAAGTTAAAAGGTTGGGGTAGGCTAATTTCCGCAATTTTTTTTTTACGCAACTGAGTCGTTTGCGCCACTCGCCATAACTTTCTTCTAAGTGGGTCAATCTTTATGATGTTGGTTTCATTTTGTAGATCTCAATAAGTGAAACAAAATGAAACCAACATCATAAAGATTGGCCGACTTAGAAGGAAGTTATGACGAGTTGCGCAAAAGACCTAGTTGCGCAAACGACTCAGTTGTGTAAAAAAATTGCGGAAATTAGCCTACGCCAAAGGTTGAGCATCTTTAAAAAGGAGTCATATATCAGTCGCTCGTGATTTTGCTAATTTTGCTAATTTTTTTGCAATAATTTTCTTTAAAAGTCATTTAGACTAAAAAGAGGCTAAAAAAATGGAAATTTTGATGAGTTTTATTGAAAATTTGCAAGAATTTATAAATTTTGAAAACTTTTCAGCTCATTTTTCTTTTGTCATCTTTTCAGTTTCAATTGCAGAAATGAAATGCTTATCTTTTAAAAAGTTCAAAGGAAAGCTACCGTAAATATGGAATCATACCCCCTTCGTACAGTCGCGTAGTCGCAAAAGGTTTTTAGTATTTCATTTTTTGCAAAGCGCCCGTACTTTCGAAAAATGCGTCTCTGATATCAAAAAATAGCTGAAATTCAAGGCTATTTTTTTGATACCTAAGCGCGCATTGTAGCATAAACCAGTGTCGAGAAAAACTCGTTCAAAGCTAGACTACGCAACACTCCGCACCGTCATTATGGGGGCGGGGTACTATTACAGTATTTACGGTAGTAAAGTTGGCTTGCCTTACAGAAAATGAGTTGATTTTTATGGACAGCATACAAAAACGCATTCCAACTAAACAATGTTTTTGATGATTTTGATTTAATAAGCAGTATTGAATAGTTTTACAAGTCAACATTCATTTTTGGCAAAAAAAAGAAAAACTCGCTTCCGTTTTATGTTTATATTTCGTTTCTCTTTCGTTTTCAAAAGCAAAATTTGCCACTCTTGAAAGCGCTGACTGAAAGAAAATCTCGGTGAGTGAAATTTGAACGAGAAAAATGATAGTAAGAGAAATGCTGAGAAGAAAAGGAAATAGAAAGGGTCAGTGGATGAAAAGGGAAAAATTGAGAGTAAGAGGGGAAAGGTTTGGAAAGGAAAAAAAAAGGGGAAATTGAGGATGGCAAAAATCGAGAAGAGAAATGAAAAGATGAGAGAGACAGCTGTGCATACTGCATGATTTTTCTCTCTAGTTCCTCCAGCAGATTTCCCTCAACGTTTTTGTAGGCTGAAATTTGACTCTACAAAGATGAATGGATGCCTAAATACTTGCAAATAGTTCGAACTGCTCGCTTTGCATTTTCCCATTTTATTTGTCATAAATCCAAGCTTCAAGCTTTAATTTGTAAAAATTAATTCTGTAAACAGAAAATTTCCTCAATTTCCTCACTATCATACAAAAAAAGCAATCATTTTTATATTCGATTGTCATCAGAAAAAAAAATGGGAAAGGTTCTTTTTGACCTTTTATTTTTTTTCTCGATCATTTTCTCTTCAAATTCTCTCGTTTTTCCCTCACAAAACTATTTGAGGGCAATCATTTTTTGGGTTCTCCGCTCATTTTATCTTTTTGAACAAAGCTTTTTATGTTACCAAACATTATAAATACCGTATTTACTCTATTAGTGGGGTCCCCCACTATTTTTTCAATCCCCTTCCAGACGACCCCACTATTAGAAAGGACCCCACTATTAGAGAAATTTAAAAGAACATAAAACCAAAGTTTTAAATTGAAAAGATATCAATTTTTCTCCGAAATTCTTGACAAAACAAGTTTGGCTTCATATTTTATTTAGCTTTAACCGTAACAAAACATTAACAAACAGTAAAAGAACTAATCCAAGAGATCAACAATTGATGTATCACTTTCGTTACCAATATCTTCTTCCAATTCGAGAGGACCCCACTATTTTTTCAACCCCCCTCCAGACGACCCCACTATTAGAGAGGACCCCACTATTAGAGAGGACCCCACTAATAGAGAGGACCCCACTATTAGAGAGGACCCCACTATTAGAGAGGACCCCACTATTAGAGAGGACCCCACTAATAGAGAGGACCCCACTATTAGAGAGGACCCCACTATTAGAGAGGACCCCACTATTAGAGAGGACCCCACTATTAGAGAGGACCCCACTATTAGAGAGGACCCCACTATTAGAGAGGACCCCACTAATAGAGTAAATACGGTATATAGAAACTAGTCATTTGAAGAAAAAAAAAATTGTTTATTGATGATTTATTGATGATATTGATGATATATTGATTAAAAAAAAGAGATTGTCTTAACAAATAAACAAAAAATCATCCAGTTTTCATAGGTAACTTTTCTTTTCTTTCTTTCTCTTTCTTTCTCTTCCTTTCTCTTCCTTTCTTCCTCTCTTTCTCTTTCTTTCTCTCTCTTTCTTCCTCTCTTTCTCTTCCAACGATTATTATTCCAACTCTTGAAATTTTTTACTAACTTTTGTTAAACTTGTTCAATAGCTTTGCAAACTTTTTCTTACTCTTTTACTCGTTTTCCAAGTGTTTCTAGATTTCTATCGTTTTCTTTAATAATAAAAACCTTTCAAATACTTGCTCTTGAACAAAATTTGCAGAAAAAAAACTATATGAAGTTATTAGAAAAATTTGAGAGTAATTTCTTTTGAACTAGTCCTGCCAATGTCTCATTCATCGTCTTGAAGTGAGGTTATAAACTTCTCACCTCTTTCTTTCTCTTCCTGTCTCTTTCCTTCTCTTTCTTTCTCTTTCTTTCTCTCTCTTTCTTCCTCTCTTTCTCTTTCTTTCTCTCTCTCTTTCTTCCCCTCTTCCTCTTTCTTTCTCTCTCTCTTTCTTCCTCTCTTTCTCTTTCAACGATTATTATTTGCCATTCGATGCAAGGCACACACACACAGTTTTTGACTCGCCAAACTAAAGAGAACTTAAGACAAACAGCTTAAGACATTAAGCAATTATCCTCATTGAAAGCAATCTGATTTCGCATGATCTTGAGATTGAAATTGTTTTTAAATCCTACAGATCACTTTTCAATTTGATTTTCCTCAATTTTGATCATCTAATTAGATTTTGAGTTAAATTTTGAGTTATTTCTAATTCTTTATTTTTCTAGGAATGCCATGCAGATAGCTTTCACTCAACTTTCCATCAATTTCCTTCTTTTCATCACTTTTACAACACTCATCAATCAATGCTTTGCCGAGAATCACACCTATGAATGCATTAGAAGAGTTTGGTGGAAGAAACAAGATTTTCGTAATCAAATTCAGGCTGCCTACAGCAGTTGCGAGGTTTTCAACAATTGTTGCGAATTTCGGTGTAATCGATCGGGAAAGAAACGGTTGAATTGCACGATTCATGGAGGCTACATTCAGACGAGACAAGCCGAGTGTTATTGGTTAGTCAAAAGTAAACGCTTGACGATTTTTTGGCTATTTTCTACAGAGTGTTCAGTATTTCAGACAGCTTGTGGTAGATTAGCTCAAAAACGCCTACCGTAAATACTGTAATAGTACCCCACCGCGTAGTCCTCGTAGTACAGTCGCGTAGTCGCAAAAAGTTTTTTAGTATTTCATTTTTTTCAAAGCGCCCGTACTTTCAAAAAATGCGTCTTTGGTATCAAAAATAGCTGGAATTCAGCGCTATTTTTTGATACCTAAGCGCGCATTGTAGCATAAACCAATGTCGAGAAAAACTCGTTCAAAGCTAGACTACGCAACACTCCGCACCGTCATTATGGGGGTGGGGTACTATTACAGTATTTACGGTAGTTTAACCATAATCTTTTATGTGTTATATAAAATGTTGAAGCTCTTAATCTTGGCTACATTTTTCTCTTAAAAGTTTTTTGATTAGAAAGATACAACTCATTTTACAAGCCCATGAAAGAGTACAAGTTAATCCCACCATTTCTGGCGATTACTCATTCAATGACATCTAAAATGAGTTGTAATCTCAAATTAAAAACTGTATATCTCAAACAACTTTGAAGTCATTGAATGAGTAATCGCCATGGTGGGATTAACTAGTCTCTTTGGGCTTGCTCCCTAGTCGATTGCCCTTTTTAGTCGACTAGCTCTCAAGCGCCAAATTCAACTCTAATGTCCTAAGTGTTATAAATATTGAAGCTCTTAATCTTGTCTACATTTTTCTCTTAAAAGTTTTTTGATTAAAAAAAAATGAAAAATAAAAAAAAAAAAAAAAAAAAAAAAAAAAAAAAAAAAAAAAAAAAAAAAAAAAAAAAAAAATAAAAATAAAAAAAAAAAAAAAAAAAAAACTTTAAAATTAAATTTTAAATAAAAAAATAAAATAATTTTTTTTTTTTTTTAAAAAAAAAAAAAAAAAAAAAATATTTTTTTTTTAAAAAAAAAAAAAAAAAAAAAAAAAAAATTCTCATAAAAAAAAATATAAAAAAAAAAAAAAAAAAAAAAAAAAAAAAAAAAAAATTTTTTTTTTTTTTTTTAAAATATCAATATTTTTATAAAAAAAAAAAAAAATAAAAAAATAAAAAATTTGAGAAATAAAACTCATTTTACAAGCCCATGAAAGAGTACAAGTTAATCCCGCCATTTCAATGACTTCTAAAATTCAATGGCTCATTCAATGACTTCTAAAATGAGTTGTGTATCTCAAATCAAAAAACTTTTAAGAGAAAAATGTAGCCAAGATTAAGAGCTTCAATATTTATAACACTTAGCACATTAGAGTTGAAATTGGCGCTAGAGAGCAAGTCGACTAAAAAGAGTAATCGACTAAAAAGATTGAATACTTTGTTTGACTACTTTACTACTTTACTTTAATTGTTTGCATGATCAATAAAACTGTTGGCCTTTTACTTTACTGTTATTTACTTATACTTTCTATTATTTGCAGCTCCTCTGTCCCACAAGCTCCCCAGCCGATCAATCACCATAAACGTCTCTCAAAATTGGACCTTATCGCCGGGATTCTCTTGATTTTTGTCATCGATTTGTTACTTTTTAGTTTTACTTTTTAAATTCCAATTTGAATTTCCCATTTGAATTTCCCATTTGAGTTTCCCATTTGAATTTCCCATTTGAATTTCCTATCTTTTTTTTGATGCTCACTCATTTGTACGAGTACTTTCTCTATGTTAATAAATCATTTATGTACAACGGATTCAAATTTGTACAGCAAAATATTTAAAAAAACATGAGAAAGATCCGTTTATCGAACCCTTTTTTTCAATTCAACCGGATTTTCAGAAATTTGAGTTTAACTGGAAAATAGACAAAAAAAATCGGTTTACTATTGACATGAGTGCACTAAAAAGGTTCTAATCGTGTATCTGAAGGGATTCTCAGAAGGCGGTCGGTCTACTACTTGGCTCAACGATAAGTTTGACTCTGTAAAGTTTGACTCTGATTAAAGTTCGATCTATTAACTGGAATCGGCTGTGTAGAAAATCGATTATTTACGAATACTAACCCTCCAGCGATGAAAGAAACGACAGCTTTGTCGAATTTCTCTTTGCCCGGCCGAAACACCACGTCTCTATGTAAATAAAATCATTTATGTACAATGGAGTCAAATTTGTACAGCAAAAAACGTAAAAAAAAACATGAGAAAGATCCGTTTATAGAACCCTTTTTTTCAATTCAACCGGATTTTCATAGAAATTCATCGCATATTCACAATTTTAGGGAAAATTAGCACAAATTTTTTTGATATAAATAAGAAAAGCAATTAGCAATTAGCAATTAGCAATTAGAACCAGAGTCTTTGTTGGTCATCATCGACGGAAAGAGATGACGTCTCGAAAGTGAATCTGAAAGGCTTATATTGATGTTTTTTTTGACTTAAATTTGACAAGCTATGAATCAAATTTGATACAGAAATTTAGTTTAATTGGAAAATAGACATAAAAATCGGTTTACTATTGACATGAGTTCACTAAAAAAGGTTCAAATCGTGTATCTGAAGGGATTCTGAGAAGGCGGTCGGTCTACTTGGCCACTACTTGACTCAACGACAAGTTTGACTCTGTAAAGTTCGATCTACTAACTGGAGTTCGATCTACTAATCTACTAACTACTAACGGCTGTGTAGACAATCGATTTTTACAAATACTTACCCTCCAGCGATGAAAGAAACGACAGCTTTGTCGAATTTCTCTTTGCCCGGCCGAGACACCACGTATTGATCATGAAAGCGACGATCTCGTTCCTGAAATTTTGAATTTTAAATTGAATTGAATTGAATTCAAAGTTGAATTTAAATTGAAATCTTTAACAACAAATCAATTGCTTTGAATTGATCTTTGAATCTTTTCACTATTTCAAAGTTTACCTCATAGTTGATTCCCTCAAAGACATCCTCTTTCTTGAATCGACTCGTATCGACGGTGATATGAATGTCGAGAGATCCAGACTCGCAACCGCGCTTCTTCTCGATCCATTGCTGAATTTCTTCTCATGAATGATCAAGAAAGATTTACTGCTTACAGAATTCAAATTTCCCTACCTTTATCAAAGCATTCGCTCCTTTCGCCGAGAATCTCACTGCCCGGAGTCTCAAATTGTCAGCTCGCAACGAGCAAACAGCTTGATCTTCGTCATTTTCATCCTAAACAATTATTTAAACAATTAAAGAGAAGCATTATCTGGTTAGTTTTGGGGAATGCACTCTGTTAATATCCACTCAAATAAAACGAATCACCTTGCAACTAATGGAGGATTTCTAAAACTATTCGATAAAGATTGTTTCAAAATTTACAAGGTAAACCGCTGAGAAGTGGCCAAGGTGGATGTCGAGGGATTTCGCGTTTTTGATGGAGTTGCAAGTGAGGATTGATGGAGGGAGATCAGTTCCTCGATCCGAGATTATCTAGAGAATTTCGGATAAAGAATTTATTCGTATTTCAAGAGAAGTTGTTTGCATTTTCAATAACACTGTAAGCTCCTACGTTTTAAACAGTATTTCGTATTCAATTCGCCAGCTTAAACAATTCTACTGAGCCAGGCACCTAGCCAGGATGAGCTACAATTAAATTCTTCTAAAATCGAGTTGTGAAGTGAGCTAGAGGGGCTCAAAAGTCGTGACAACCCAACTTTGAGCTCCTCTAGCTTGCCTCTCAAGCTTTAAATCAAATTTTTAGCACACTCGTCCTATGTAAATCGACACGGAGAATCGATTGGTGGTGGTTAAAAGTTTCGTGGATAACGGCTAAGAGTCTAAAACCTCGGCTCCTCTAAATTTCCTCACAAAAATGTAAATTTTTTCGAGTGAATTTCATTCTAGCCTTGATTTAGCCTGAAGCTTTTGCTAAATTTTCTTTTTGGGTGTAAATTGATTGGGCACTTCTAGACAAGGCTTCTAGACAAACGAAGATAAGAGACAAAGCAAAGATTCTCCCAAAAACACTGAAATCCTGGCTACGGGTCTGAGCCATTAAGCTTCTAGGGAGTTAGACAGCACCTTTTAGATTCTTAGATTCTAGAAAAAAGTATTAGACTCATCTATTTCAGTTAATTGTACTGTGAATTCTTCAAAAATATTCCCCTCTTTCTCACCTTAATCTCCGAACATCCTCTTGTCATTTTCAAAAAATCCGTGAACTCATCGGGGATTGTTGGGGTGATGAAACGGACTTGCAGCCGATCAACGCTTGTCCAATTCATTTGGAAACATTCCGTTAAGCAAATGAGATCGCATGGCGTTGGGTCGATCTAAAAACGAATTAATGACTTTTCTAAGAGAGTTTAGTTTAGCGCTTCGCTGCAATCACTTACCAGGACCAAGCATTCGAAGTTGACTTTGTTGGCGAGTGAGGCGATGATTGGATGAAGGCTTTCCTCGAGATTTTCCACAGCTTTCACTTCCTAAAAAATTTACTTTATTCAATAGTTTTAGTATTAGCACTTTATTTACGAGAGTTTAAATCAGAAAAAAAAGATTTTAGCATACCAAGTAATAGTCGGAATCCATGGCCATTTGATTGATATCATTCGGGTCAAAAGAGTCGGCTGACTTTAGAATTTGATGCGGTCGTGGCATGAACTTTCTGAGTTTTCTTTTTAGTTTTTAGTTTTTTAGTTTATTTTTAGTGTTTAGAATTGTATTTCTGATGATTTTCTCACCTTAAAACCACTCCATAATGCCTTAGAACATCGGCTTGTTTCAACATAAAGTGAACTTGAATTTCCTGGAATTGAAATTGGATTCAATTTGTTTTTTCTGTTTCCTTACCGGTCTGCAAACGGAAGGCACTTTATAAGTTTTCTTTTCGAAACCATCGAAATAATCAAACTCCTGGAATAATTAGAATAAAAATCAATAAAATCAATGAAATCAATGAAAAACAATCAATCTAAATAAGATATTGGGTTGGTGAATTGAAAACTGCGGGACTTTGAACTAAAATTTATTCAACATAAAACCATCAATTCATTCCAAATAATTTCCGTTATTATTGACGACTTCTGCTCATTTTACAGGCAATTTGCGGATTCCTCTTTCGTAGTAGGATTTTGGTTTGTGTGTGAGACCCAAAAATGGAGGACTGGAGATGTCCCAGTCACACTTTCTTCAAAAGAAACCCATTTTGGTGTCAATGGAAAAGTTGTAGAGAATCAAAAATTAGGCTTATAGCCAAATTTCCAAAAAGATACACTTAGTAGTTTCGCTTAAAATGCAAGTTTTGTGAAAATTCATAAATTTGGCATTTCTTGAAAACCAGTTTTTGAATCGTACTGAAAATTTGGATATAAGCCTAATTTTTGATTCTCTACAACTTTTCCATTGACACCAAAATGGGTTTCTTTTGAAGAAAGTGCTTAAACTGTCACATATGACAATAGCCTGCAGTTTTCAATTCACCAACCCAATAGTTATCACTTTCTAAAGTGCGCTAAACTTTAAATCACAACTTATTCACTTGTTCTTTCGATTGACTTTTCCGTGTGATGTTCAGTTGAATCTTTTTCTTCGCTAATCGATGTCGATTGTCAGCGACGAAATGCCACCACGCTCGGTTCACTTGAGACATCAACGTGATGTCGTTTCCTGAAAAGAAAGTTGATTAAAAGATCACAAAGGAGAGTCGGACGCTAAAAGTCTACAGAGAAAGAGCCGCTAAAAGTCTATCTTTGATAGTTTCAGGTTAACTTTGAGACTAAAGGTCTCAAAGAATAAACATAATTAGAATCAATCTTTCATAGACATTAAACCTCAGTCACTTCTTCAATTCCCGCACCTGTAAGAGTCGAGCAAATGCTCGTCGCCACACAGCTCGTCGCCATGTCCATGGCTCTAAAATGAGTTAGATTCAGTTGAACAAGATTTAGATACAACACAAAACAATTTAGTTGATCTGAATAGCTGCTTTAGCTGATTTTAGCTAAAATGGGTTAGCTTTAGCTGAATAGCTGATTTTGAATAGAAAAATGAACAGCTATGATTTGTTTACGATCGATTCAATGTATGAAAATCTCCGGCTCGAATAGAAAACAAAAAAAAATGCTAAAAAACATGTTTTTTGCACTAGAGATAGCTGGTTTATTTCAAAAACGAATAGACAAAAAACAATTCTAGAAAGAATTTTTAATGAAAAATCGTATAAAAGGGTTAAATAAATGAGTGTTTTTGTTGGGAGAAATGGTCAAAAACGAGCGATCTTTCCATGTTTTTTTTGATAAGGAAATCACGTTTTCTGAAGGGGCAAAATGGGGATTTTAGGTCAAAAAACTTCTGAAAAATGTACATATTATCAAATAAAGATTATTAAATAAAGATTATTAAATAAAGATTATTAAATAAAGATTATCAAATAAAGATTATCAAATAAAGATTATTAAATAAAGATTATCAAATAAAGATTATCAAATAAAGATTATTAAATAAAGATTATCAAATAAAGATTATCAAATAAAGATTATTAAATAAAGATTATCAAATTTCAAGTTTCAACCATTCCATTAATGGATCAAGCTAAAGTTTCATCTTAAAAAAAAAAAAAATTTGAGGGTTCGGACTAGTTTGGTAAAAAGAGAGGGAAGGGCGTTATGTAAAAGCCTTGCGCCAGACCAGGAGCGATTACGCGGCCACACAAAGAACACACAGAACACACAAATTTTAATCTAAAAAGCTAAACTTTAGCTAAACTTTAGCTAAAATTTTCCTAAAATCTCTAAAGTTTATTGGATTTTCAACTAGAAAACTCAAAAGTTTAACCAAAAAATTTCCGGTTTAATGGAAAAAAAACAAATGATACGTGATTAGTCTTTATGAAAATTGATAAGATTTTGAGAGATATGGTCAAAAAAATAATCAAAAAAAAGAATACCGAATGCAATCAAACCAAAACAAAGATCGAGAAAGAAGAGTTGATCAAAACAGAATTGTAAATGTCATTTTTATATCAGTTTAACGAAATGAAAGCTAGAAATAAAGTTTAAAGCCGAAGAGTTCATGTGAAATGGTTTCGAGAGGTCGTACGGCTAACAAGTTGCCAACTTTAGAAAGCCACAGAAAGGAAAAGATTTGATTAAGTACTTTAGAAGAAGTTTATTGAACAAATTCGGAGGAAGTAGAACATTTTGAGCAAGCTAAGTCCCAAGTTGTTTTCAGAAGAAGTTGATTGAACAAATTCTGAGGAAGTAGAACATTTTGAGCAAGCTAAGCGTCAAGTTGATTCTAGAGGAAGTTGATTGAATAAATCCTGAGGAAGTAGAACATTTTGAGCAAGCTAAGCGTCAAGTTGATTCTAGAGAAAGTTGATTCTAGAGGAAGTTGATTGAACAAATCCTGAGGAAGTAGAACACTTTGAGCAAGCTAAGCGTCAAGTTGATTCTAGAGGAAGTTGATTGAATAAATCCTGAGGAAGTAAAACATTTTGAGCAAGCCAAGTGTCAAGTTGATTCTAGAGAAAGTTGATTCTAGAGGAAGTTGATTGAATAAATCCTGAGGAAGTAGAACACTTTGAGCAAGCTAAGCGTCAAGTTGATTCTAGAGAAAGTTGATTCTAGAGGAGGTTAATTGAACAAATCCTGAGGAAGTAGAACATTTTGAGCAAGCTAAGTCCCAAGTTGCTTTCAGAAGAAGTTAATTGAACAAATTCTGGGAAAGTAAAACTTTGCGAGTAAGTTAAGGGTCAAGTTTTGTGGGGGTTCTTTGCGATCAAATGTTTACCGTCTTTTGAAAAGAAAAGAGAAAATGGAGGAGGAAAAGCCTTAAGATCAACCAAAGCGACTGGCCATCGATCAAAAGAAATTTGGGGAAAGTTTTTGAAGATCCAAATTTCATTCCCTAACCAATAACAAAGCTAATAACATGCTCAATGCACTGTTAGAATTGTCATAAATGAAAAATGAAATTCGTTTTGTTAAAAAGCGTCAAATCAATATTTCGTTGACATAAACCTTTGTTTTAAATGAGAGAAATTCTCCCTCAGACCATGCTTGTTTTCTCAAATGAAGGTCATTTTTATTTTATGGTCTGTAAAGTCAGTAAGAAGCTTAAACAATAAAAATCTTAAACGATACTGTAGCTAAATCTTAAAGGATGCTGTAGCTAAATCTTAAAGGATACTGTAGCTAAATATTAAAGGATACTGTAGCTAAATATTAAAGGATACTGTAGCTAAATCCTAAAGGATATTGTAGCTAAATCTTAAAGGATATTGTAGCTAAATCTTAAAGGATACTGTAGCTAGATCTTAAAGGATACTGTAGCTAGAGATTAAAGGATACTGTAGCTAAATCTTAAAGGATACTGTAGCTAAATCCTAAAGGATATTGTAGCTAAATCTTAAAGGATACTGTAGCTAGATCTTAAAGGATACTGTAGCTAGATCTTAAAGGATACTATAGCTAAATCTTAAAGATACTGTAGCTAAATCTTAAAGGATATTGTAGCTAAATCTTAAAGGATACTGTAGCTAAATCTTAAAGGATACTATAGCTAAAACTTAAAAGATACTTGATTGAATTATAGAAATCAACAATGAGAATGTAACTTTTCTTTACATTGACAAGAAGCCTAAAGAATTTCGTGAAGTTGAGCTTGAGAAAACTTGAGCATTACTTTAGAAGAAGTCAGATTTATTATCATGATCAAAATGAGTGAATCTAAAAAACCAAAGAGCTCAAGCTCTTATGAGGTCAGAGGTGAACCTCTAGAAAATGAAAAAGAAAAGACCATTGAATTTAAAGAGAAAAACGAAGAACAGCTGGGAAAGAAGAGAAAAAAAATAAGCGAAAAGAGGAAAGAGTTTGCTGTAACATGGAACTGCCGTCTTTTTTCTTCTTTTTTTTTCTTTTTTCTCTAAATTTCCCCAAGATTTTTTCGATTTCAAAAAGTTTGTGTTAATGAAAATGAAAGTTTCTTCTTTAAAATCAGCAATTTTGAAGAAATGGGAAAAGCTGAGTAGCTTTTGAATGAGAAGATAGATAGGAAAATGCCAGTTTTGGAAACGCCAGTTTGGGTAGACTTTTTTGTATCAAGTTGCGTAAATGAATCTAGTTAAGAATAGGCTAGTCTGATCGTCTGATCGTCTGATCGTCTAACGATGTCTGATCAAGAGGATTGGGGTAAATGAACTAAGCATGTAAACCAGTTGTAGCTGTTGTAGCTGTTCCGTTCATTTACTCAATGACGTCATTTCATTTCCATTTCAAGTACCAGTTGAGTTTCAAGTTGAGTAAATGAACTGATCAAAAAGTGCGGCTAGACTGCAAATGAACCAGTCAAGATTGGTTAGGAAAAGCGCTGCCTAATTGAATTGATTAAAGAAGAGCTAGTTATGAAACTGGAAAGTTGAGCTGTCTTTTAAACTGTTAAACTGTTTAACTTAACTTTGCAAGTGCACTAGTCCATTTCAAGTACCAGTTGAGTTTCAAGTTGAGTAAATGAACTGATCAAAAAGTGCGGCTAGACTGCAAATGAACCAGTCAAGATCGGTTAGGAAAAGCGCTGCCTAATTGAATTGATTAAAGAAGAGCTAGTTATGAAACTGGAAAGTTGAGCTGTCTTTTAAGCTATTTAACTGTAGCCTTATTCTTAGCAAAATCTGTTTACATCGCTTTCTATTTACAATGAATGAATATTCATTTTTTGAAAAACTTACACATTTCGCTTCTCGGCGTGATCGATTGAGTGTCGCCTTTTCATATTGATCAACTGAATTGACTTTTTCTATTATAAAATAGACAAATCATCATTCTATATATGGACAAATCATCAAAAATTCAAATCCAAATCCAAATCAAATCCAAATCAACTTTTCAGAACAAGAAAAACAAAAAAAAACTGTTTAACCGTAAAAAGTTGTGCTATCATCACAAATTTCTCGATATCAGAGAGTGATTGAAACGTGTTGTCAAGGAAAATCAAGCAAAAAACAATAGGAAAACCCAGAAAGTTTCTCAAATTTCTCAAAAGATTAAAGAAAATTTGGGAAAAAATGACTTGAGTATAGAAAAAATGAAAAGAAAAGAGATATTTTTGACGGACTTTGCTCATTTTGTGGTATGAGAAGAAAAACACAATTGTTTTCGCACGGGAAATCGATACGATTTGTGATGTAAATAATGGGTTTTCGGGGGGAATTTCGTATTTGCACAGAATATTTTCGAACGCTCGTACAAGCCCTGGGGTTGATACGGAATTTGGGCACGATTTGGCTAGCTTTCAAATTGTACTTTTAGCTAAAGCTTGAAGGAAATGTCCGCTTTACTAGAGTATATCTAAGGGTGGGCAAAAGAGCCAAATTTTCAGGGACAAGCCAAGGAAAAGCCAAGGAAAAGCCAAGGAGAAGCCAAGGAATAGCCAAGGACAAGTCAAGGAGAAGCCAAGGAAAAGTCAAGGACAAACCAAGGAGAAGCCAAGGACAAGTTAAGGAAAAGCCAAGGAGAAGCCAAGGAAAAGTCAAGGACAAACCAAGGATAAGCCAAGGAATAGCCAAGGACAAGTCAAGGAAAAGCCAAGGACAAGCCAAGGAGAAGCCAAGGAATAGCCAAGGACAAGTCAAGGAAAAGCCAAGGACAAGCCAAGGAAAATACAAGGACAAGCTAAAGCTAAATGTTTCCAATCCAAGTGTAAGATTGAAATACCAACGAATGCTTAAAAGCCTAAAAGCCTAAGTTGAAAGCCTAAAAGATTCTAAAAGGTGCTACAAAATTGTTAAATAAAATAAACAATAAAATAAAGCAGACAACAAAAAAAATCCAATGAGAAATTGGCTGCTGTTTCTGGGTTTTTAACTCTTTCTTATCTGATATTTTTGAAGAGTGGCGGAAATTTTTCGGGCAATTAAAAAAGCCGTCCCGTTCAATCACCAATCACAAGGTTTCCCCCTATTTTTTCCATTTAAGAAAATGATTCTACAGATAAACATCTCAATTTCATTCTAGTTTCCGAAAGTTTTACATCAAATTGATTAGATCTTTAGAGGAAATGGTTGGAAAGACTTTGGAAGTCGGAACTTGTTTAGCAATGATGGAAACAGTTTAAGTCGGAACTAGTTTAGCAATGATGGAAACACTTTAAAAGTTGGAACTTGTTTAGCAATGATGGAAACACTTTAGAACTCGGAACTTGTTTAGCAATGATGGAAACACTTTAAGTCGAAACTTGTTATGCAATGATGGAAACACTTTAGAGTTCGGAACTAGTTTTGTAATGATGGAAACACTTTAGAGTTCGGAACTAGTTTTGTAATGATTTTCAGTTAAAGTTGTGTCGATTCTATTTTGAGAAAAGTCAAATCCCTAACCTTACTAGTTCATTTATCTGAGTGTACGTTAAATTACTGTTTTTTCCTAGGAATATGGATTCTAATCCATATCCTAAACGGATATGGACTAGAATTTGGGTTAAGTTAAAGAGAGTGGATCCCTTTTGATCTCCTGCCAGCTCTAACACCCCGACAACCCAACTCAACTCCTCCAACGTAGTAGAGGGGAGTTCCTGTGAAATGGCCGACCTGAACTGCAGTTGTATAGACCCGGAAGATATGTATCTTTATTTACAGTAGTACGATAAGACGAATAGATTACAAATGAAAGGGAAAGGGGGACTCCAAGTGAGAGCCTCACTTGTCCTCCTAGGCAATCCCAAGGACTTCTCGGCGATGAAAAGGGATAAGTAAAGGGGAGATCAAATTTATCTAAGAATAGACAAATCATTCAATAATAAGAATAGTAACTAAAATATCAGTTTAGCTCGGAGCTGACGTTACGAACAAATCTTTTCTGATGTACCAAAATTCTCAATTCTTGGATGAAACAGTGATCAGCTTATTAAAAACGCTAAATTTTGCGTTATTAAATGTTTATTTATGTTTGTATTCAGTACAAAAGTGGAATCAAAGTTTGCTAATCTTGTTTGCTATTTTCAGTGGAATCAAAGCTTGCTAATCTTGGATCTTGGATCTTGGACTAGAATTTTGAGATCGTGATAAGTGTTTCACTATGGGCAATCGGAATTTTTGTTTATGATTATTGTTTATTTGTTTCTTTCTTTTATTTGTCAATTAGAATGAATCTCGAGATTTATTAGATTAAATTGGATTATTGGATTATTGGATTAAACTGGATTAAATTAATTTCCATGGTGCGTAAAAAAAGTTCCTCAAATCGATATTTTGAACGCTGATAGAACGCGTCAAATTGAATTCAGTCGATGGAAATTCTAAAATTTATCTTCAACAAATAACCCAACATAAATAACATCCAGATTTTCAAATATAACTCCTTTTTTTTCTTTGATACAGACTTTGAGTCTCTAGGGGAATGCCTTCACTTCAATAATCGTGATCGGGATCAAGTTTGGCCCTGGCTTTCTCAAGGGCACCTCGCAGAGAAGACAAATTTGGATGTGGTGTGGCACAAGGCTTGATGGACCATTTTGAATAGTCTAGGGAATTCAAATCCGGACTGCTTTAAAGCCATTCAGTCATCGATAAAATAGAACGCAAAACAAGGAACTACTCAAAAAAACGGTTATCAGGTCAGCAAAGATCGCCTAAAAAAGCAGGCGCGATTAGATTTCGGGAACTTTTTTTTTCTTTAACCTGTACATTGCTCTACAGACAATGTTCCATGTTCTAGAATTCATAAATCACAATCGAAGAGTCCTTCCTCAATTCAAAACACTAATATGCGAATCATTTTGGATCAGCCATGCTCTTTTTATCAAATCTCTAAGCGATCACTTCAAGAAATCTTTACAAAGCTCTAACAATCGCATAAAATTCTTTGCTCTTTGGATTCTTGAAGAAAAAAAAAGCCCCGAAATTGTCTGAAAATGATCCAGTTCATGTCCCCATTTTTGACCGCAGCAATTCCTGAGCCTGCAAGTAAGGTGAGCAATAAATCGTTCGGCTTCGGTTTTTTCGGGGGACAGAGGACATTCTGTTCTTTTCCCCTTCACCTGTTCTTTTTGTTCATTCTGTTCTTTTTCCTTCGCCGACTAATCTCTCGAGATCATCGTTCTTCCCTTTTTTGTCTATTTTTGAGTTTTTCGTTGAGTTCTACAAAATCGAGTTTGCAAATTCGAGGTAAAAAGTGGGATTTCAGGAATAAAGCTTTAACTTCTTAGATAAATAGCTGGCCTCTTCAGATTTTTGCATTATAGACAATTCATGAATTCTAAATCTAACAATAAGTATATTCAAAGCTTTTTGATTGGTTAACTAATAATAATTGATGATTTTCGGATGCCTAGTGTTAGCTTTATAATATAGATTTTAAGATAAGATTTCGTGTTAGATTTGTTAGATTGTTAGATGTTAGAATGTTAGATCAGTTCTCATTTGTGATTTCAGACAAAAAAGTGTCTCTTTGCCTTCTCTAATCTATTCGGATCATACATTTTTAGATGTTAGAATGTTAGATCAGTTCTCATTTGTGATTTCAGACAAAAAAAGTGTCTCTTTGGCTTCTCTAATCTATTCGGATCATCGTTCTCCCAAAATCGAGTCAAAAAACCTCAAGCGGTGTGTAAAAAGAGAAAATTTTTCACGCCTTTTTCTATAAACTGGATTCCATGGAATAATGTCATCAGCGGAGAGAGGAGGCGTCCAAAAATCATCCATTCTTTGTCCGTTTCTACAGCTCTGCCAGTAGAAAATTGGTATAAAAGAGCTTATTCTTGAGCTTATTCTGTCTTTCAAATTGATTCTCCAATAGGCAAGACATTCATACTTTTGATAAATATTCTTAAATAGTTATTATCTGAATAATGATTACTGAATAATGATTACTGGATAATGATTACTGGATAATGATTGCTGAATAATGATTACTGGATAATGATTACTGAATAATGACTGCTAAATAATGATTGCTGAATAATGATTGCTTAATAATGATTACTGAATAATGATTACTGAATAATGATTACTGAATAATGACTGCTAAATAATGATTGCTGAATAATGATTACTGGATAATGATTGCTGAATAATGATTGCTGAATAATGGTTGCTCACAATTCAGGCTCACATTCACAATTAGCAGAACGTTTCATTTAAAAATTTGTCTAATCCATCACTCTTGTAGAGATGAAATTTCTGCTTTCATTATTTTTCTACAAGCTAATCTACAATCTAATCTCTACTGTGCTTTCCGTTTCATTTCATTATCTAATCTTTCTCAACTAAATCTTACAAGGAGATACGTTATTCTTCGAAAAATCAGGTTTCTCCACAAAGAGGACAATCTGCGGAATCTCTCAAGTTCTCACAGCTACTCCTTTCGGAGACAGATTCACCCCTTTTTCAGTCCAATTTTTTCCCTTTCGCGATGATGATAAGAAATTGAGAAGAACTCCTTTCTTTCAGGGTTAATCCTCCCATTTCACAAGCTGGCTCAGACTTTTTCTGTGGAGTTTTCTCTCGATTCAGTCACACCTTGTGTTAAGTTTTGCTTTTATTTTTGCTGTGTTTAAATTTTGTTGAGTCTATTGTTAACCTACCAAGAATTTCTTAGCTCTTACAGCACCCTTAAGCCATAAATAGGGCTCTAAAATATAGGGAAAACCCCATAGATATGGAAAAATGAGCTCATGATCTAGCCAGGATTGAACCCTTGACCTCTTGACTATGATAAAGGGCTCTTAGTGGGCGCTTGGTCGGTCATGACGGTCATTTGACGCCTTGCTAAAATTTGTTATCAAACCAAGTTAAAAACAGTACAGCTTTTGCCTTTTTGCTTACTTACTTTTGCTCTTCTTTCTTAGCTTCTCAACCAGTACACATTTAACTTTTTTCAATTGGTCTTTTGTTCTTTAGATTATTATTAGAATCTTATATTAACTATATCTATTCAATCCGCATTTCAGATGTCTCTAACCGCTTCCGGAGCGGCTCTCCTCTTCTCGGGGACGACTCTTGTGATATCGCTCCTCGCCGCTGCTCGTCTCTACACTGAAGTCTCCGATATGTGGACTGAGCTAGACACTGATATTGTAAGTCTACAAAATAAACTGTAGAAAATGTGTCTAGGCGACTTTCAAATCACTCACTGACAATATGTGGTCGGATTTGGTTCAAATGGGAGCTGGTACTGCGGCGAATCGTGTCCGTCGTCAGGGCAATTATGGTGGTTATGGAGCACAGGGATCTCAACAATCTGGCGGTTATGGAGGATATGGTAGACTTGAGAACATTCCTATAAAATCGAGCTTTTAGGAGCAACTCCAGGAAAGCCGCAATTCTCGACAGACGATTTGCCAACTGGGCCACAAGTTGGTGGGCCTCCAAACTGTGTTCCAGGAACTGGAATCGAAGGAATCCCATGCAGACCGATTTTCCCTGGAGCTTCAACTGGTAGGAAATTTTTGAATTTATCCATGCAAGAAGACTTATTGTATTTTTTTTAGGCTTGTTTACCCCAAGTGGTCGTTTATGCCAGTGTTCCGCTGAGAACTCTTGCCCTGCTGGTCCAGCTGGTCCAGTTGGAAGCCAAGGACCCGATGGATTTGATGGACTTGATGGACAAGATGGAAAAGTAGATAGTAGAGAAAGATTTGATTAAGATCAATTTAGGACGGACAAGATGCTGATGATGTGGCTCAGCATCCAGCCACTGGATGTTTCCATTGTCCACAGGGTCCACCTGGAGCTCAAGGACCCAATGGAGCACCGGGAATGAGAGGTTGGAGTGATGGCTTTGATTGAAACAAATAGAATCTAGGAATGCGTGGAAGAAGAGGACAAAACGGTGCGCCAGGTCTTGACGGAAATCCAGGAATGCCTGGAGATATGGGACCACCTGGACCCCCTGGATCTGACGGAAATCCTGGAGAGCCTGGACCAAAGGGAGATGATGGTAATTGGAATTTAAGTAATAGATTTAACGTGGATTCAGCTGAGAAACCCATTTCTCGTCAAGGACCAAGAGGATCACCAGGGGACGCTGGACCGGAGGGACCACAAGGAGAACAAGGACAGAACTCGCCACCAGGAAAAGCTGGACCTGAAGGAGAGCCCGGAGTGCCCGGATATCAAGGAGCCGCGGGAGCTGATGGAGAGGTGAAGCTTCTAGATTGATTGGGAACTTTGATCATTTAGGAAGGACGTGAGGGTTCAACTGGTTCAGTCGGAAAAGATGCCGAGTACTGCCATTGTCCACCGAGAGAAGGCGGTTTCAGTCCACCAAGTGGAGGAGGACGGGCAGGAAATCGCGGTTCGTTTACTGACAAACAAATTCTTGAATATTTGAATTCTTCAGCAATCTTTTCATCTAGAAATCTGCTTAATAAGATGAAAATTTGAAAATTTAGACCAATTATCTATTAGTAAATTCTAGGTGGAGCCGCTACATTTGAGGATTCGCCTAGCGGCAGCTCGGGAGGATCAGGTAATGTTTTTCTGGTTTTCTGGATCTGGTTTTAAAGAAATTTCATTTATAAGTGATTCATTTGATATTTAAGAAGATTTGGAGTATAAATTGAATCCTTTTAGCTGGTGGAAATGGTGGAAACGGTTATGGAGGCTACGGAGCACAGGGTGAGTGATTAAAAAAGATAAAACTCTCTAAATCCAAGATTTCAATCCACTGATCCACAATAATCTCGTTTTTTTTTCTTTCTAGTGCCTCCATCAAACGAGCGAACTGGATATCGACACCTTTAAGAAAAGAAAACGATCGATATGCGCGAAATTTCAAGAGAATTAATAGAATAAATATTTATTTCCAAAAGCAAAACAAGAAATTGCACAATTCAAGCAAAGAAGCACCCGTGAATACACAAAAAAAAAGCTTCACTAATTCTAGAGATTTCTAAGCATCTTTGGAATTTACACGTAATATTTCGGGAACAAGTTGAGGGCCTGGTTGAAGAGCGTACATTCCGGACAAGATTGTATCCTGAAGCATAAAGTTACAATCTATTTTAATAAGGCTTTCAATTCTTTTCTTTTCTCTTGAACTCTTTGAATTATTTACCTGTAAAAACGTGGGAAAGATGCTTAATGGGATGAAGCAAAAGATTGCGTCCCAACCAGTGTAGTATCTGAAAAGGATTCACTGGGAAACGATTTGTCTCAATCGAAACCTAATTTGAACTTAATTTACAGTATTTCATTATCTAATTATAGTATTCTAGTACCGTATTCTCTAGGACTTACAGTACCCCAGTAACTACCGAAGTCCAGTACTCCAGTACAATACTCCAGTACAATACTCTAGTACAATACTCCAGTACAATACTCCAGTACAATACTCCAGTACAATACTCCAGTACAATACTCCAGTACAATACTCCAGTACAATACTCAGTACAATACCCAGTACAATCCTAGTACAATCTCCAGCACATCCAACAATCTTCAGCCACTCTAGTAACTACTGTACTTTCAGCACTTACAGTATTTAACGTATGATACAGTATTACAAAACTTACAGTACTTCTACAGTTCTTCAGAATTTAAAGTAAAGAAGCAATACACTAACCTGAGTCTAGGCCATCTCGAAAAGAGTGCATGGAAATAGTTCTCAACAACCCATTCCAAGTGTGGATTTGCGACAATCGACACTCCAGTGTGCCATGCTTGTTTAACTGAAATTTGAGAATTTAAAACCCACTCTTTGCCTTGAAAACAGTCCAAAACAGTTATTAAATTCCCGCAAAACTCTCACAATTCTCTTTGAAAGTCTCTCCATACTCGATTCGTACCGATTCCGTTAGTTTCCCCCAAATCTAAACACTTTTGGTTTGAGACTTTTAAAATTGACTTACCGTATCGATTCTTTTATTTTGCGCCTCTTCTGACAGGAGATCGGTTTTGAAAGCGCCTGGTTCAAGGATGTGAACCTGAAAGAATCGGTTATTCTATTTATTCATAGAACCAGCCGAAAAAGTGCACTATGGAGGTCGAACCCGGATCGGGTGAGCTGTAGACAAGCACGCTTCCGACTGCGCCATGTTCAGAGGGATCCGAAAAACCGGCTGTTAGGCGGATTTCGATTAAAGTTGCCTAGCAATGGCAATACAAATACGGCAGCCGAAAAACCCGCTTTTAGCCAACTCTAGTTGAAATTCGCCTAACAGCTAGTTTTCCGGATTCTTCTCTCCCTGGCGTAGTTGGGAGTGAGCTTGTCTACGGGTTCGACCCCACAGCCCACACGATCCGGGTTCGACTCCCCGTAGTGCCATTCCATTTTGATTCTTTAATTTTTTTAGCTCAAACGTCTATAGATATATGATATTTTAAGAGTTTTCAAAAAATTTCAGCTTTTTTTGACCCATAGACGGCTGAGAAAAGGCAGACAGATGGACAAACACTGCTCTTTTATATATAGATTTTAGTTAGAGCTTTTCACTGTTAGTTTTCCAAATGAATTTCAGAAAATTTCTCTCACCGAAACTCCGAATTGTCTCAACTCCAATCGAAGACAATCCATGTAGGCTTCGACGGCGAATTTGGCTGTTACATAAGGACCAACAAAGAGGCCATGAATACGTCCAGCTGATGAGCCCATTGTCACGATTCGGCCCTGGACGATTTAAGTAAAATTTTCACTATTTAAACAGCAACTCGGGCTTTACAGGAAGAAAGAAATCAAAATTTTCAAATTTTCAGCTTTAAAAATCACCTTTGAGTGCTTGAGAAGTGGCATGAATTTGTGGCAGATACGCACAGCGCCGAGTGTGTTCACATCCAGAGACATTCTAGAAAAAAAAAGATTCTCTATTACTAGAAAAAGCTATCTTTTTGTTTTTTCAATTCCTAGACACTCTTTGAGTTATGTTCAATATTTTAAATTTCAGTTAGATTCAATATTAGACTCAATATTGGATTCAATTTTAGATTCAATTTCAATATTTTAACGTACTTGTACTCTTCGATTCCACACCAAGCATCCGGGCCAAAGATCGAGAAAATCCCCGCGTTATTGATGACGGCCCATAGGGAAGCGTTCTGAAATTTGGATTTGGATTTAGATTTAGATTTGTTTTAGATTTAAATTTAGAATTAGATTTAGAATTAGATTTAAATTTGGATTTGTTTTAGATTTAGATTTAGAATTAGATTTAGATTTAGATTTAGATTTAGAATTAGATTTAGATTTAGAATTAGATTTAGAATTAGATTTAGAATTAGATTTAGATTTGGATTTAGAATTAGATTTAGAATTAGATTTAGATATAGATTTAGATTTGGATTTGTTTTAGATTTAGATTTAGAATTAGATTTAGATTTAGATTTAGAATTAGATTTAGAATTAGATTTAGAATTAGATTTAGATTTGGATTTAGAATTAGATTTAGAATTAGATTTAGATACAGATTTAGATTTGGATTTGTTTTAGATTCAGATTTAGATTTAGATTTAGATTTAGATTTAGTTTTTGCTTTATCCTAAGTCCAGCTAATATTCTAAATGATTACCTTCATTTTTCAAACTCACATGATCAGAGAGAATCTCTCGAATCCTTTTATAGGCCGCATCCACTGATTCATCCTTAGTTATATCAAGGCGAATCGGATAAAGCTAAAATTTTAAGTATAGATATTTTCAGTAATTCTAAAGTAATTCAAATTTTAATATTAATTTAAAACCCTCAAATGTTTATTTAAAACAAACCTTTCCCATCCGGAGACAGTCAGCTTTTCGTTGTAGCTCTTCTTGACCCTAAATTTTCGAATTTAGATTCTAATTCTACAAAATCATGCAAACAAAGCTTAGAAATCAATTGAGATTTTCAGAAAATCTTTAAAATTTTACAATTTCTCACCTTTTCCGTATAACATCCAGCAAAAACATTGACACCTTAGCATGGTTTTTCTTTAGGTTTAGATACAAAGTAAGACGTGAAATATTAAATCCAGAAAGTCTTTTCGCTTCACTCAAACTTTTCAAGCAATAGAGAAATATTTAACTTTAAATTTTTCAACGTTGCTTAACTTGGCCGTGCTTAACTTGGCCGTGCTTAACTTGGCCGTGCTTAACTTGGCCGTGCTTAACTTGGCCGTGCTTAACTTGGCCGTGCTTAGCTTGGCCGTGCTTAGCTTGGCCGTGCTTAGCTTGGCCGTGCTTAGCTTGGCCGTGTTTAACTTGACCGTGTTTAACTTGACCGTGCTTAACTTGGCCGGACGGGATGCCGTGTTTCCAACGTGGCGAGAACGTAAACAATAATAATCATAGAAAAAAGTATGATTAGAAACGTTAGCAAGCACTCAATTTCATCACTTTTTTAATATCCTTTTTAAATCCTCTAATCTGGCTAAAAATACTGTATATTAGCATGGTTTTTCTTTAGGTTTAGATACAAAGTAAGACGTGAAATATTAAATCCAGAAAGTCTTTTCGCTTCACTCAAACTTCTCAATCAATAGAGAAATATTTAACTTTCAATTTCTCAATTTTCAATCAAAGCAATCTTTAAAATTTAACGATTTCTCACCTTTTCCGTATAACATCCAGCAAAAACGTTGACACCTTTTGCAGCCAAGTAAAGTGAAGTCAAACGTCCAAAACCCGAATCGCAACCCGTCACGAAAACCCATCTAAAATAAATATTTGTTTTAAAAACCTATCTTGATCATATTCTTAAATAGATTTGATACTCACTTTCCCTCATAGTCAATGAAAATCTTTTCCAAGACGAATCTCTTCAAAAGAAAGTAGACGATAAATGAAATGAGGATCAATTGCAGCAAGTTCACATGAAAGCTGAAATTTCAAAATTAAATAACTAATTGATTAATTGGAAAGTTTTTACCTTGGGAACTCTGGGAAATACTCTTCATAGTGCTCGGCGTAGTAAGTGAAAAAGTTAGTCGAGTTTTTGAGTGAAGTCAACATTTCATCTGGAATGAGCTAAAATTTCTCAAAGAACTCTTTAAATAAGGTAAAAGATGATGCCAAAATTTGGATAAGAAAAGAGAAAAGTACTGTTGGAAAGGGGGAAAGAGGAAAAGAGGGAAAGAGGGAAAGAGAGAAAGAGAGAAAGAGTGAAAGAGTGAAAGAGGGAAAGAGGGAAAGAGGACTGATTTCACAATGAGTTATTAAAAAGTTCGAGAATTGTTTTGGATGACATTTCTTGAGAATCTTTTTCTTGGCGAAATCAACATGTCGACAAAAGGTGATATTTTTTGTGAGATTGAGTCTTTGGTGATTTCTTTGATTGCGAAGAGCTGTGAAATCACAAGCTTTGAAATCCTGAATGGGTCAAGAGATCAGTTTTAATCAAATACAAATACAGAAAACTAGAGAACCCAAAAAGACCCAAAAAAAAATTCCCCAACTTTTAAATTGAAATTTTGATTTGAAAATGATTTTGATGATTATTAGATTGATTTGTTTCAATGATAAAACTATTTTCACTCTAGAAAAAGTAGTTGAACAGTTCAAAACAGTTCAAAAGTTGTCAAAAGTCAAAAGTTGAACAGTTCAACTCTGAACTCGCAAAATTTCTAAAAAGCGGAAGTGACCTTAGAATGGACGACGATCGAAATCAGGGAAAAAGCGGAAACGGAACGAATGGGGAAGAAAGGAAAGGACAAGAGAAAGAAATGGAATACAAGAAGAGACAAACATCATGGGGAAAAGGAATCTTCCAAACAAGAGACATTCAAACGTTGTTGTGCATTCAAAACGGCTCTTGTGAGAGGTGAGTCGACTGGCTGGGGGCATTATTTGTCTTCAACTTGTCTATCTACCGTCAATACTGTAATAGTACCCCACCCCCATAATGACGGTGCGGAGTTTTGCGTAGTCCAGCTTTGAACGAGTTTTTCTCGGCACTGGTTTAAGCTAGAATGTGCGCTTAGGTATCAAAAAATAGCTGAAATTCAGGGCTATTTTTTGATACCAAAGACGCATTTTTTGAAAGTATGGGCGCTTTGAAAAAAATGAAATACTAAAAAACCTTTTGGGACTACGCGACTGTACGATGGGGCTGGGGTACTATTACAGTATTTACGGTAGGTTTAGATGTGATGCAATTTCAAAAATGGTCCGTATGAAGTTGAAAGTCGTTTCGCGATTTTTGAAGAACCTCTAAACTCCCACCAAGATATTAAAACTTTTTTCTAATAAAATAAAGTTTTTTTTTGTTTTTTCTAATAAAAAGTTATATAATAATCAGCTTTTAAATCAAGAAAAAAAAAAAAAAATAGAACTTTACTTCAAGGAAAGTCAATTTTTGTGATTATTTTCAATCAAAAACTGATTCCAAAATAAATAAAAGGTTTTGCAATTGTTTGCAAAATAAAGTAGAGATAATTCTAAAAGTTTTCTTGAAATTTTGAAGAAATCCATGGTATTTTGTTCAATTCCAAGTCAAAAGAACGTGAAAAATATAAAATTTAACTCAGTTCTGAAGCTTAATCATTTCTTTCATCATAACTTATGAAAACAAGAATTTATGTGACTGGTTTTTTTTGAGTTTAAGATATTGATCTTTAATTTGAATCATACAAAAGTTTGGTACTGATATTTTTTCGAGTTTTTGACGTTCGACTTTACTATACTTGGCTGCAATTGATCCTCATTTCATTTATCGTCTACTTTCTTTTGAAGAGATTCGTCTTGGAAAAGATTTTCATTGACTATGAGGGAAAGTGAGTATCAAATCTATTTAAGAATATGATCAAGATAGGTTTTTAAAAGAAATATTTGATTTTAGATGGGTTTTCGTGACGGGTTGCGATTCGGGTTTTGGACGTTTGACTTCACTTTACTTGGCTGCAAAAGGTGTCAACGTTTTTGCTGGATGTTATACGGAAAAGGTGAGAAATCGTTAAATTTTAAAGATTGCTTTGATTGAAAATTGAGAAATTGAAAGTTAAATATTTCTCTATTGATTGAGAAGTTTGAGTGAAGCGAAAAGACTTTCTGGATTTAATATTTCACGTCTTACTTTGTATCTAAACCTAAAGAAAAACCATGCTAATATACAGTATTTTTAGCCAGATTAGAGGATTTAAAAAGGATATTAAAAGAGTGATGAAATTGAGTGCTTGCTAACGTTTCTAATCATACTTTTTTCTATGATTATTATTGTTTACGTTCTCGCCACGTTGGAAACACGGCATCCCGTCCGGCCAAGTTAAGCACGGTCAAGTTAAACACGGTCAAGTTAAACACGGCCAAGTTAAGCACGGTCAAGTTCAGCAACGTTGGGCTCGGCTAATCGCAGATTCGAAGTTATCCCAAGCTGTCCGTTGAAATTAAACTATGGGTTGGCTTGCATATAAACTGCAGCCATTAAAAACAGTTATTTGCTTTTATTGACCAGCATTGTCACTCCACAAAATAATGATCATTAACTTCAAGAGTTATGCTTAAGTTAAGAATTTGAAGTCCTCTCATGGCATTAGGTAGTTTAGGTTAAGGCTTCACTAGGATTTGTTTCTGTATTGTGATTGATTGCTTGGATTGGTTGAATCGTTGAAAGTTGATTGGTGAAACCAGTATATAGACTTTACTTTAACCATATTCTAAGCATAGTCATAACCATACCATACAATCTTATTCTAATCATATTTCTAACCATATTTTACTTATCTATTTATCAAATGGATTATTGAATAGCATTATTGAATAGCAATAGCAAGTCAGTTAGCAATTGGAATCACTTTAACAATTTTCTATGGCTTAAAAACCCTTTTATTACACTTATTTGTTTATTGAACTGATAAAGCATGAGATTATCAAATGACTAATTGCAAAAACAGTAAAGTTTAAATGTCAAGCTGATAGTGAATGCAAAAATCCAATTTTCCCTCATCTTTTGTAATATTTTATATATGAGTCAGTGTTTTTCAACATTGCTATATAGTTAGTTGTCTTTTTCTTTTAAAAAAAGAGAAGAAAGAGTGAGGAGTGAATCATTTAAAAAAAACAATCTTCTTTCACAACACGAAAACATGTTGATTTAGATATGACTGAGAAAGAAAAGGTAAATATTGAAATCTCGGAAAGAAAGAAAGAAAAGAAAGATTTGTAATAGGACTGTAAGATTGGAAAGTGATATCTTAAGAAAAGTTCTTAAATTAAATTAAATTTTACTCTTTTTAATTCTCTTCTTTTGATTTGGTTGAGAAATTTGCTAACTGACTTGCTATTGCTATTCAATAATGCTATTCAATAATGCTATTCAATAATGCTATTCAATAATGATATTCAATAATGATATTAAATAATGCTATTCAATAATGATATTCAATAATGCTATTCAATAATGCTATTCAATAATGCTATTCAATAATGATATTCAATAATGCTATTCAATAATGCTATTCAATAATGCTATTCAATAATGATATTCAATAATGATATTCAATAATGCTATTCAATAATGCTATTCAATAATGATATTCAATAATGCTATTCAATAATGATATTCAATAATGATATTCAATAATGATATTCAATAATCCATTGGATAAATGGATAAGTAAAATATGGTTAGAAATATGATTACAATTATTTTAATTTTAATGAGAGTTTTGAAAGAAATGTAATGAGTAATGGAAAGAAATTTCACAAAATCCTTTCACAAAGATGGAAACGATTGTTTTTTTTTAAAGATTTTAGAGAAAAAAAGATTTTAGGGATTTTCCTCTTTAAGAAAGACGAGAAATATTTGTAAAGTTGAGATCTTCGAGAATCCTTCGAGAATTTTCCATTCAATCGAAATGATCTCTTTGTAAAGTGTGGTGAGAAATGGGGAAAAGAAAATGCGCATCCGGTTGTCTCTCATTCATTTTCTGTACAAGAATTGACAGAAAGTGGGGAAAGAGAAATTGAAGATGGGAACAAGCTTTAAACAAACACTCCCAACTACATTTCTTTTCACACTTTTCTCGAAATCCTCGCAATTTAAAGGTTTTCAAAGAGTTTTTTCAGTCGTCACATGGTAGATTTTACGAGTTTTTGCAAGTAAAAGTTTAAAAACGATTTCAAAAATAGAATTGGAGTTAGAAATGGAGAGATAGTAGTTGGAAATTATCAGGAATTGAACTGAATATCTTTACTTAAAAGAGTGTACGATATTTGATTTACCGTATTCTCTCTAATATTAGTGCACTCCGAGTTGATGCATTATTTTACGGTTTCTAAGTTTTCACAGAAGTCCAACACTCAAATCCCCCACTAGATCTCATCGTCAGCTACATTTTCCGACCCCACATCGATAGGCTCTGATAAGCGGTTCTCGAGTTTTCAAGCAATTTAGCAAAGCTCACGATGCACTACTATTAGAGAAATACGGTAAATTAAAGAAAGCGATTAAAGAAAGCGATTAAAGAAATCAAATCGTCAACTTTGAAGTCTGATAATCGACTCTGATGCTTTTTTTTTGATAAAACTAGTATTGTATAGCAAAATATTGATGAAGTTATAGATAAAGTTGCGATTTTTCACGAAAATTTAAAGAACGCTGTTTACTGAATGATACTAGGGTTGATGGCACTAGATGGCCTTATCGAATGCACCGCGCCGAGCCGAGTTGATGACTATTTTACGGTTTCCAAGCTTTTGCAGAAGCTCAACACTCAAATCCCCGCAAGACCTCATCGTCAGCTACATTTTCCAACCCCACATCGATAGGTTCTGATAAGCGCTTTTCGAAATTTCAAGCAATTTAGGCGACGCTCTTGGTGCACTACTATTAGAGAAAATACGGTGAATGCTAATTTTCTGGTTTTAAAATTGCACTATTTGTTATCGTATCCACAGCTTGCTACTTTCCAAATTGCGCTTTTAATAATATAATATTCTGTTTTCTAAATGACATGCGAATCGTCAGACCAAAAGAAACTTGGAGAAAGAAAACATGAATAAATTTTTATGTAAAGAGGCTCTTGTTCAAGCTGTATATTAGAGCTTTTTATGTGAAGAAGCTCTTCAAAAACTATAACTAATTCATGATTACTGTAAAATACCTGTCTCTCGGAAAAATAGCTAAACTAAACTCTCTCTTGATTGCCAAAAGAAATGAGTTTTTATATCATTTGTGTGGTGTCAACTCACAAATAAACCCATCGATCAGTCTGTCTGCCAATTTTGGGAATGATTTTCAAAGAAATTTCCGAAAAATACGACTGATCAAAACAATGAATGAGAGAAAAGAAAAAAAATTGGAATCTAAAGAGATCTTTGGCTCACTAAACAGTTTGCAAATCACACTGGAAATAGCCTTTCCGAAAAGCGAAAGCCTTTTCCGAGTGGTTCCGAAAAATCAAAACAAAACTATGATTTAGTCTTGGCTTTATCTTGCCAAGAAAGCCAACTAAAGTATTGGCTTTATCTTGCCAAATCTTTCCTCTTCTTCAAATCCTTTAAACTTGAATTGAACTTGAATTGGCTAAAGGAATGTCAAGTAAATTTTCAAGGCCAGGAGATCAGTCAAAATCAGTCAAAAAGTCAGTCAAAGTTTTCAGGAGAACAAGTCAAAAATAAATAAAGCTAGCAGCTAGCAATAATGCTGATAAAAAAGGAGATCTTTTGTACAAAAACAATAGCTTTTTTTTGCCTAATTTAGTTCAAAGATCGTTATGGTTGTGTGTAGGTGAGTGCATGGATGTGGTGAAGAGATCGATGAGATGAGGGGATAATGTGAAGAGGATCGAGATTGAGAGAGTGAGGATTGGAGGATGGACAGGGACAGCTTGCCTGTGGACAGGTCACTCGGTCACATCCGCACTCTCTCACCTTCATTCACACACTCACAAAACCTCCCCTCAATCCATGTACATTTTGGAGAGAAAGACGAAAGAATATGCACTCATTAAGTTGTTTGCAAAAAGAAAGCAGACAGAAATGCTAGTCACGATTGTTTGTTAAGGAGTAAGGTATAAGACCCTAGCCGGACGGCAATCGGATAGGTGTCGGTAGAGCTCATTGGTAGAGCGTTCGTCCGGTAAGCGAACGCTCTCATCGCTGACTGAGCGGGTTCGAATCCCAGCGCCGCGAAGCCTTTTGGTTTCACAACCAGTTGCTCCAATTGATCTTTTTGACTAGCTATTGACAATTAGTTGAAACATCTAGCTAGAGTACTTGTACTGCTAAAATGTACTTGTATTTGTGCTTCAGTACTTGCTGTAGAGTACTTGTACTGCTGTACTTGTTGTAGAGTACTTGTACTGCTGTACTTGCTGTAAAGTACTTGTACTGCTGTACTTGCTCTAGAGTACTTGTACTGCTAAACCAACTGTAAGTGTGGAAAACATCAGGTACACGGGTTTATCAAAAGTCACTGGCTGAAAACACGCCTGAAAATTGAAACGGCTGGTAACGTTGTTTGCAAGTTACAAAGTTTTTGGAGATTCATTTTTTCTACTGAAATTACAAATCATGAATCCATCATGCAGTTTATGTGAACAGCTGAGGTTTAGGCAAGCCTCAAAAAGAGCACCAAAGCAAAACACGTACTTCAACCGTACCTTAACTGCAACCAAAAGGTGTTATCTATCTTTCTCTTGTTCAAATCTCTTCAAATCTAACTTTTCTTTCAATCTTTCCGTTCAAACCCTCTTTTATCCCCAAAAAAGGTTCAATTAAGCAATTTATCAATGCTTTTATGTTACGCGTTGTTCGCGCGGAAACACTTCCGAGATCTTTATCTTCAAAATAACTCTCAGTAAGCGGATCTCCTTTCTCTTGTCAAGTCTGACCTTGAGACCAAAGAAAGACAAGGGTTTTCGCCTCAATTTGACCCCATCAAACGCGTGTGTTCATTTTCAACATCTTACACAAGTCACTTTTTTCCGGAAATTTATTTGTACACAAGAAAGTGAGGAAAAAAAGAAAGAAATGATGGCTTTTTATAAGCTGACTTAGCAGTGATCAATCATAAAATATTTCGATTTTTCAAAAAATCCATTATTTTTAAAATCAAATCAAATTTGTTCTTGTAGCTTGTAGCTTGTAAAAAGTCATGTAAAAAAAGTCTTGTAAGCAGTAAATATACACGTTTCGTTCGATTCATTTTCATTTATTTAATAAGGTAGCAATTCAGCGCTAGCAATCGCACGACCAACTTCGTTTTCGCAGAGAACAGTGAATTGACCTGAAAAATAACTGAATATTTGATGGTTTACTGAAAATAACATTTTAATCATTTATAGTTGGGTATTTGAGTTTCACGGAATGTAGAATTTGAAGCAAAAATAAGGAAATACAGCCGGCTTTGGGGCGGGGATTTTTCCCAAGCATTTAGGCGCAATGACGACCAAAAGTAGCAAAGCGCTCACCGCTCAGCGCTTAGTTTCATATGCTTAACGGATTCCAAAAGAGAAGCACCTCATACCAGACCGTTTGCCAGATTGAGAGCGATTACCCGACCGTACAAACAACAAAAGCAGAAAAGCTCTCAGTGCTCAGTTCCAAATCCTTAACGGATTCCAAAAGGGAAGCACCCCATACCGGGCCGTTTGCCAGATGGAGAGCGATTGCCGCACAAAGAACACCCGGCCAGTCATTTACATTGGATTCTTCTTTTCCTTTGTAAATCTCACAAAAAGAAGATATTCAGTTGTAAATTTGTACCTGAGGGTTTTCGGGGTCGGAGAATCGATTGGGATGTATTTAGCTCATTTTACTGCATACATTTAGCTTTCTTTTCCATTCAAGTCCCAAACTAAGTTGATTGCTGCTTTCAACGCTGCTAACAATTCAAAACCAGCTACCCACCGAATAACCAGCTAACCACCGAATAACTAACTATTACAGGATTTACGGCCAAATTAAGCACGTCCAAGTTAAGCACGGCCAAGCTGAGCCTGAGCCTACCTAATAAGTACCAAACTCTCTAATAAGCTTACCTAATTTAAGCTCTGTTTACCATTCCAGCCCTGTTTACCATTTAAGCTCTGTTTACCATCAAACTGAGCTTAAGTTAAGCTCAAATGAAAAGGCTAAAAGCTTTAACTTTTGATTTTGATTAATTTTAATCTTTAAGCTTAATTGAATTATTTTCGAATGTACAATTTCAAATCTACAATTTCAAATCAATTTCCCTCACCAAAATGATATGGTTGAACGTATGGGATGACTAAACGACAAACATCGCAATTGTCGACAATCTCCACATCGTTGAAAATCATCTTGTCATCATTGAAGAGCCATGTCACCTAGAAAAATCGATTCTTAATCTTGATTTTAAAAATGAATGTTTAATTTAGATTAAACAATAGTTAAAGACGTTTAAAAAAGTTTAAGGAAGTTTAAGGAAGTTCAGAGAAGTGCAAAGAATTTCAAAGAAGTTTAAGGAAGTTTAAGGAAGTTCAGAGAAGTTCAGAGAAGTGCAAAGAATTTCAAAGAAGTTTAAGGAAGTTTAAGGAAGTTCAGAGAAGTTCAGAGAAGTGCAAAGAATTTCAAAGAAGTTTAAGGAAGTTTAAGGAAGTTCAGAGAAGTTCAGAGAAGTGCAAAGAATTTCAAAGAAGTTTAAGGAAGTTCAGAGAAGTTCAGAGAAGTGCAAAGAATTTCAAAGAAGTTTAAGGAAGTTTAAGGAAGTTCAGAGAAGTTCAGAGAAGTGCAAAGAATTTCAAAGAATTTCAAAGAAGTTTAAAGAATTTCAAAGAGTTTCAAAGAAGTTTAAGGAAGTTTAAAGAATTTCAAAGAATCTTTTCGAGAACTTACTCTCGGTCGAGGGCTTCCGAGAAGGACACAGTCAAAAACGGCTTTTCCACCAACATGCGTTCGTACATCACCCATCACCTATCAATTTTTCGATAAATTCTGCCAAAATTCTTAATGATTAAGAAAATTTCTTGAATTTAGACGTTAAAGTCTTATAATTTAATATGAGTTTTAAAAAAATACCTTCAAAAACTCGGGTGCATAATTCCACGGATTCTGCGCGTATTTGTTCTTCGGGATCTCGTAGGCAAGTTGATTTACTTGCTAAAACAAAAGATTTTTTGCTTTTTGGCTTTTTTTATCAGTAAAGTAAGCAAATAAGTGGAACGGTAAAGGGGATTTAAATCTAGATTGATTATTTTAGATTAGATTGTTTTGATCAAACCTTTGTAAGCGGGCTTCTTTGTGGAATCGGTCGATAGACTCCATCGTCGATTGTGTTCACGTTTAATTGAGATGGGAAATTGTGAGAAGAGTATTGGGGATGGGGTGAGTAGCTCATTCTAGAAATCGAATTTTCAGACTTGATTGGGGACAAGGAAACAGTTGAAGCTGGGAATGGAATTGAAAAAGGAATTGAAAAAAGGAATTTGAATGTAAATCAATGCAATGCACAATGAACTTGAAGAAGAACGTCTTTCTTTCTTCTTCCCTTCTTCTTCCCTTCCTCTTCCCTTCTTCTTCCCGTCTTCTTCCCGTCTTCTTCCCGTCTTCTTCCCTTCTTCTTCCCGTCTTCTTCCCTTTGTCTTTTTTTTCCTTGTCTTTTTGTCTTTCCTTCTTTCTCTTAGCAAGTTAAGGTACTGAAGCTTGAGCGATTGCTCAGTGGTTAGAGCGATTGCTCAATGGTTAGAACGATTGCTTGGAAAGCGAAGAGCGTCCTGAAAAGCAAAAGGTCGAGGGTTCAATCCTTCTCCAGTAATCTAGTTTTTCAGGCCAATTCTTTCACTTCTTTATCATAAATCTACTATTATATTGTCCAATTTCATTTGCTATTAAGTAAATTTAATTGATTTCCTTTCATTTCACTATTCAACTTTGTGGATAATCATTAAAATCATTAGAATCATTAGAACAAGATCCTTAAAACTTTTGCCAGAACAATACTCGGCAAATAACCAAAAAGCGGACAAGAGAACAAAGAAACGATTTGAACAAGTAATCGATAAAATTCTGTAAGCAAAGTAGGGAGAATTGAGGGTGGAATTTGCAGAAAGCTCAAAGAAGCCAAAGAGAATTAAGCGGGGGCTGTTGGACTGACTGAAGAGTGATCTCTCATCAACTCACGAAGAGAGAATTCCCATGACCCCAACGTGAAAGTTTGTGGTGAGAGGATTTTGAGAGCCCTTCATTCTTGCCAGCTTCTTTTCTCTATTTTCTTTTATTTTTTCTTACCATCAGTATTTCTAGTCGAATTTCTCTCAAGTTGCAGTCTCTTTTTTTGAAAGAAAAGAAAGAAGGTAAATATTTCGAGACGATCACCGAATTTTTCTTTTCCTCAACTAAAAGCCGTCATGTCGGAATGTTGAAAGGCAAGAAGAAGTGAAAAAAAAAATTGTTTCTAATAAGAATGATCTAATAAAGAAAGGGGATTTGAGTTTAAAATGTAGCTAAAGATCGATAAATATCAATTTCAATGCGACAAATATCAATTCAAGAATTATTTATACAAAATAAAGCTTTAAAAGTTAATAGGATGAACTTTGAGTGATTGTCGACAAATCTTTTCACATTTATTTTCCGCTTTGAATCGGAATCGCACGACCTTCGCCCTAAAATGGTAAAGGATTTACTCAAATTTTTATTGCCTTGGTCAATTGAAAACTGCCAAACTTTGAACTAAAATTTATTGAACATAAAACCATAGATTCATTCCAAATAATTTCCATTATTATTAACGGCTTCTGCCCATTTTACAGGCAATTTGCGAGTTCCTCTTTCGGATTTAGTAGGATTTTGATTTGTGTGTGAGACTCAAAAATGGAGGACTGGAGATGTTGAGATGTCCCAGTTTGAGCACTTTCTTCAAAAGAAACCCATTTTGGTCTCAATAGAAAAGTTGTAGAGAATCAGAAATTAGGCTTATAGCCAAATTTCCAAAAAGATACACCTAGTAGTTTCGCTTAAAATGCAAGTTTTGTGAAAACTCGTAAATTTGGCATTTCTTGAAAACCAGTTTTTGAATCGTTCTGAAAATTTGGATATAAGCTTGATTTTTGATTCTCTACAACTTTTCCATTGACACCAAAATGGGTTTCTTTTGAAGAAAGTGCTCAAACTGTCACATATGACAATAGCCGGCAGTTTTCAATTCACCAACCCAATATATTTAACCAAAAATCTATCAATTCTTTTACTTTTCTTATAATAAAAGACAAAAATGAATCTTCTTTTCAGTTTATAACTTAGAATTTTACTTCATTTGGATGAAATTTCGGTGCTTGAACACTAAGCAATCCATGATCAGAAACATGTGATGACACTCCATCCAAATCACAATCCTTTGGCAATAAATACGATCGTTTAAAGGATCTAAAGGACGTTTAAAATGATCTAATTATTGAATATTGAGTAAAAATCCTCATTAAATACCTGGAAATCATCCCATGACCATCTTTTTTCTCCTCATGATGCCCTTCAACGCATAAATGACGACCGACAAGTGAAACCTGCAAAACTTTGGTTCTGAAAGTTGATTGCATCTGAAAAATGACCTTGAGCTCTTCTGGCTTGAAATTCGAAACGTTCAACTGAACGGCGAACTTCTCATGGTTGTCCAGCACCTAAAAGCAGAATTTGCATTTAAATTACTTTCCATTTTCTCCTCACATTATCATCTCTTCGATCCATCTCTTTTCGAGCCCAGTATGGTTGCAAATTCATTCTGAAAATATGTAAAACATTTCTTGACTTAAACCAAAAAGAAATTTTAATCCAAAAACTTCAATCAATTTTAAAACTTTGTAAATTAGCATTGTTTTTGTCGTAGAAATTGCACTATGCCAATATAGCTGACAGCTTGGCTCTGCTTTTCTTCGACTGGATGATCCAATCAAACTCTATTTGGTATCATTTGAAAGCTTAAAATGTCCTCTATACAATGATATGAAAAGTTAACAAAAATTTTATCTCTAGACAAAGTTATAGGCCTTCAAAGTGTGACGACTCGTGCAAAATACCTGGAAACTATGCACGAGACAAATTCATTGAAAGTTCTTTGAATTTGCCATCATCATAAATGTAACTATTTCTAGCGTCCTAAGGCTTTATTTTTCTTGTTAATACTATCCATCACTTTTCGAGCCCAGTATGGTTGCAAATTCATTCTGAAAATATGTAAAACATTTCTTGACTTAAAACAAAACGAAATTTTCATTCAAAAGCTTCAATCAATGTTTTAACTTTGTAAATATAATATAATTAGATTTTCATCATAGAAATTGCACTATGCCAATATAGCTGACGGTTTGCTCTGCTTTGACTCTGCTTTTCTTCGACTGGATGATCCAATCAAACTCTATTTGGTATAATTTCAAAGCTTAAAATGTCCTTTATACAATGATTCAATCACGGTTTTAACTTTTAAAATATAATAGAATTAGATTGTTTTTCATAGAAATTGCACTATGCCGATATAGCTGACGGTTTGGCTCTTCTTTTCTTCGACTGGATGATCCAATCAAACTCTATTTGGTATAATTTCAAAGCTTAAAATGTCCTTTATACAATGATTCACTCAATGTTTTAACTTTTAAAATATAATATAATTAGATTTTCGTCATAGAAATTGCACTATAGCAATATAGTTGATAGTCTTTTTTAAAACGCATCCTTTGCCACCGTAACCCGTAATATAAATATAATTCTTATAATAGCTTACCTCTGCATTTCATCTCTCTCTTCACCATTTGGATATCGATAATCGTAGTGTCGATGAGCACCGTGAATCTCGTAGTTGAATGGAGAATTGAGTGCCATATCTTGAAAGAATTGCTTTCAAATGATACCAAATAGACCGAAAGAGTTTGATTGGATAATCCAGTCGAAGGAAATCAGAGCCAACTCTGAGCAAATGAGGATTCAAATGATAGCAAAAAAAGAAAAGTCAAATTTTTTTGATAATAAAAAAGAAATTAGTTGTTAAATTGATTAGAAAAGAATTCAAAAATGACTATAAAATTGGGAGACTTCAAGAAGAGGAACAGGAAAAACGTGAGAAGACGAAAGATGCGAGTCAAAATAAAATGAATAATCGGCTAGTTTTGCCAAATTTTTGTGTTAAAGTCGATAAACACATTTTTCAGAAAAAAAGAATCGAGAATTTCACTTCTTTTTTTGTGTATAGAGACATGGAAATTGATCTCTCAACTCAAGGACATTTGTGGGAAATGGGGATTGTTGCAAGGGGTTTTGGTGTGGGGAATCGAGTGAGAAATTGCAAAAATATCAATAGATTTTAATTGCTTTCAAATCAAATGATTTCATTGATGATTTCATTTTTTTTTTTCTCAAAACAATCCTCAATCCTCAATTGCTGATTTCTTTTCTTTATCAATCAATCCTCAATCCTGATTCTTCATGTCAACAAATGGTCATGTTTTGGCAAATTTATGTCACTAGAATTTATGTCACTAGATCTCTACATGCAATGGTATTATCTACAAAAATACTGGCGCTTACGTAGTTCCCAGATATTTTGAACGGGTCATCACCCTTTCAAGGCCTATAACTTTGTCTAGAGATAATATTTTTCTTAACTTTTTAGATCATTGTACAGAGGACATTTCAGGCTTTCAAATGATACCAAATAGAGCTTGACCGAATTTTTCATTCCCATGCAAACAAGGCGACATGGAACCCGAGTTAGATAGGCCACATTTGCTCAGAGTTGGCTCTGCTTTTCTTCGACTGGATGATCCAATCAAACTCTATTTGGTATCATTTGAAAGCCTAAAATGTCCTCTGTACAATGATATAAAAAGTTAACAAAAATATTATCTCTGGACAAAGTTATAGGCCTTCAAAGTGTGACGACCGGTTCAAAATACTCGGAAACTACGCAAGAGCCAAAACGCCTTCAAAAACAGGAACAAATTTAATAAAAATAAAAGAATTTCTTGGAAAAGAGTAGTTTTCAGCTTCTCAAACGTGCAAATCTATTACAGTTTGAAAAAGTCGAACAATTCTTGGAGTATCTTGAGCTTGGTGTAGCTTGAAGTAGCTTGGAGTACTCTCAGATTTCCAGAGAAGTACTTGGAATACTTCCAGACTAGAGATTTCATAGAATACTTAATATTCTTTATTTTAAAAGTAGTAAAACTCATCGAGGCATTTGAAAATAAATGCGGACTGAAAGTGCATCTGAAGGAAGACCCCTCACTCACAAAAGGCATAAACAACAGCTTGTGGAAAGGAGCGACTCGGAAACACCACTCATCAACAACCCCCATTCCCCACCCTTGTTGACGCTCTTTCTGATCTCCCAATTTTTTTCTTTTTATATGTTTTTCTTTCAAAATCCCTCTTTTCCATTCTTGTCAACAATCGCCAAAAACCAAAATAACACCATGTGAAATTCAAGTTTATTGATTTAAGCCTGCAGAAAAATCATCAAAGAAAGAAAGAGATCGGAAATGAAATAATTAAGAAAAGATCTACATGGTAGAACATAGAAAAAAACGATATTCAGTTGTCTTTTACAGCGTATGGTCCACGCGGTTGGATGGGAATCGCACGAGAAGAGCCCTGAATTTTTGGAGAATTTGATAAGGCTATTTTTATCACTTTTTTTTTTGTTTACACTACATAGATTGTCTGGATTATGATGTACTTCGCTTTGACAATGTTTTCCAAGATTTAAGCGTTTGATAAGTTCTAGTTTAACGGGTTATCAAAGGTTAAATCAGTTTTGCAGAGCTTTGCAGATCAATCTTAAGTATTTCAGCTGGTTTAGATGGCTAAAGTTTGCGGCTAAACTTACAGCTAAACTCGTTGATTGACACCTTATACTGGAGGGGTTTACCAGATGGAAAGCGATTACGCGGGCACACAAAGGACACCTCTCTTTCATTTTACATGGAGATCTTCTAGAAGATGGTATAAAAGAAAGAGATTGAAGTAAATGTCTACCTAGGGGTTTTCAAGGTCAGAGAATCGATTGGAGCTATTCATTGGAGGCTATCAATTAAAACTTGGGTTTAATCGTTGTTAAACGAAGGTACTAATTGTAAGCTGAAGGTTGAAATGATCCTCAAGGTTGAAATGATCCGCAAAACTATTTTCATCTTTTTTTCAGCTAATTACAGTGATTTTAACCTTCTTTAAGTGACAGATTGATGGTTTAAATCTTCTGTGGAATCTTTTCTTTGAATTTGAAAGTCTTTTGAATTCCTAAATTTCTATGATTCAATTTCCTAGTTATAGTAAAAAAAGGATCCTTTTTTGTGCACTACCCCAACAGCTCCCTTCTTCGGCGCATCGATGGTAAGCTTTCCGTCGCTGGAGAGATACGATGCCACATGGTCCATAATGCAATCCTCCGGCAGCACATAGCTTCTCTTGAATGTGCTAAAAGGATGTAATCGTAAAAAAAGTCCTTAAATTTGAGTTCAACTCAATTCTCACCGTTGAATCGTGCCGTGTTGATCATTTCGCTCTTCGTGATGCCCCTCGATGCTCAACTTGTTTCCATCGACATTCACCTTAAATTTTAAGAGTTTAAAATAAAAGAATCTTAAATCTTTTGTAGGTTTTTTAACTTTAAAACCGAAAACTTTCTTACTTTGATCTCCTCAGGACGAAAATGGGCACAATCGATGTCAACAGCGAAATGATTGGCATCGTTAGAGATCTAGAAATTTTGTTTCAAAAGAAAATTTTGCATAATTACAAGCACTTTGTTCTTTTTTATTATTATAAACAAGAATTCTCACTTTAAACTCACATTTCCAATCGAATTCCCGATGTCAAGATGGCGAGCGTGTGGAACAGAGAACCAATATGGAGTGGTCGTCATCATTCTAGAAGGAAAACCGATTTCTCTATTAGATTGTGAACATTTTATAGACTTTTATCAAGTTAAAGCAGTTAAAGTACTTTTTAGTTTAAAATTAGGTAGTTTTCGTTGTTTTCTTTAAACTTTCTTTAAACTTCAAAAGTCTAGCCTACAAAAAGTCTCGATCTCTAAAGTATGCTCAAAATGACTCAATTTTAGTATAGTAAGTAATGAAATCAATTAAAAATTAGAAAGCTATAGAAAGCCAATCAAATCAAAATGATTTCCTATCAAGAAGAATCCAACCTATCCAACCTCTCAAATGGATCATAGCGATCGAGCCAGCGTGAGCCGTAGCCCAAATTGTGCGGCATAAGGGCCATTGATAAAGCGTTGAAGTTTCAGAAATTGAACACTGAAATGAATAATTGTTTAGATGGATAATTATAAATTGATTATGAAAGAGATGGAGTTACAAAATCTTCTGATTTGTGAGTTGTTTACTGGGAAAAAGTGGATAGTGGAGGGGAGAGGGGGAGGGGCTGAGGGAATCCGCTCAACAACAACACCCCCTTCATGCAAAAAAAATGGAGAAAAGTGCAATTATTGGGTTCAGCTTTTGCCATGTAAACATCCCAAATAAGATAAAAATAGTAAAAAGGCAAAAAGGTGAAAGACATTGTTTAAATTTTGGAATTTCTACGGTTAACGCGGGGGCCAATTTTTTGGCCAACTTTCAGCTCATTTTTAAGCACCTTAAACTTATCAGATCAGGAAGTTTTAATAAGATTTAGATAGCTTAGAACGTCAGCTTTCAGAAACTATTTGTTTTATTAAAAGTTATTAACATAAACTTATATAAAATTGCGCTGCAAGTTTGTCGATGCCGATAATCGCTGCCCCCTGACCGTTAACCGTAAAGGTTCAAATTTTGCAATCTTCCTATTAAATTTCTAGTTGTTTTCTTGGATAGATGAGTGGAAAATGAAAGATTCTTTAAGAAATTTGCTGTTTTTATTATAAGTTTTCAGTGTTTCTTGCAAAAATTCCGAAAAATTTCTGATAAACGATGATTCTATCGGGTTGTCCAGTTATGAATGCGCGTTTTTACTATTTTGTAAATTTCTCAAGATATCGAACAGATGTTTATGAGTGTTATATATCATTCGAAAGCTGAAGATCTCCTCTACATTTTGGAATAAAAAAGTTTTTGAATTCATTCAACTTTTTGGGAAATTGACTGCACAAAGGGAGAGGTCGTTTTCGAAAAAATCCATTCCAGCTTAGCTATTCCTCAAGTTTTATGGTGTAAAATAACCGCCCAGAAAAGAAAAGAAAAGTAAAGATGCTCTGAAATTGTTATATTTTTAAAAAAGTTGTATTGATATATCTATTGGTCAAACATCAAACGGTTAACTCAATTTGAGCGGAGCCAAAACTTGATCCAAAGGCACCCTTCCATTTTTTGGCCACCTCTTCTTCTGTGCAGTCAATTTGCCCAAAAGCTGCACAAATTCAAAAACCTTTTTATATCAAAATGTAGAGGAGATCTTCAGCTTTCGAATAATACTCATATATGTCTTTTTCTTGATTTCGGTATCTTGAGAAATTTACAGAAGAGTAAAAAACGTGCATTCATAACTGGACAACCCAATATTATAAAGAAAATTCTTGTAATCATTTTGCTTGTTTAAATTTGTTTTTAAATAGTCTGCAAGTTCATTTTAAACGTTCAAAAGTTCAAAAATGTTCAAAAATGCTCAAAAAGAATCGAAAATCCTTAAAAATTTTATCGCTTTCCGTTTAATGGCATCCAAGTTGAGCACAAATCTCGCGATGAGAGACTTTTTTTTTCAAAAGTGACAACATTTTCTCGGTCCCAGGCCGATTCGCCTGGTTTCGTTTCTTGCAAGTTGCCGCCTGAAAATGTTGATTTATTCGATACGAATAATGAATTACAACACAACGGAGGAGATTTTTACTTCTAATTACCCCTATTGCCTTAATGTTGTTAAGAAAAACCCATAATGAAAGTAAAATGTTGTTAAGAAAAAACCCATCACCTGAAAATGTTGATTTATTCGATACGAATAACGAATTACAACACAACGGAGGAGATTTTTACTTCTAATTACCCCTATTGCCTAAATGTTTTTAAGAAAAACCCATAATGAAAGTAAAATGTTGTTAAGAAAATACCCATCACCTGAAAATGTAGCTTTATTCGATACGAATAATGAATTACAACGCAACGACGGAGATTTTTACCCCTAATTACCCCTATTGCCTAAATGTTGTTAAGAAAATACCCATAATAAAACCCATAATAAAACCCATAATAAAACCTTAATGGGAAAAAGAACTAATCTTTCTAGCCGCCGGGATCGAGCCCTTAACCCCTGACTAGGAGACAAGACTCCTATCCGGTTGACTACGACGGCTATAAGAAATGAAAAAAAAATGAATGAATGTTGTTTATTCATTTAATCAAATTGAATATTTTGAGCGATCTCAAGTAATTTACTCGGGTAATTGCTCCTAATTTTTACAAGTTCTTATATCGATTGTCTTACAGTTCTTACTAAGTTCTTACATCCATTTCCTGTCCATACGCCTCGCAAAGATCATCAAAATGGGCGATCACTTCATCAACGGTAACATTTTCGAAATCCTCGAAATACGAAACAACAGCCTCGATTGCTACCTATAATCTCTATAATTTAATTTATTCACGCGGCTTCAATTGGGGATTTGGCCGACTGGTTAAGAGCCCCGTATCATAGCCAAGAGGTCAAGGGTTCAATCCCGACTGCTAGATTCTTAGTTCTTTTTTTATAGATTTCGGTTTTTTTTCCATACATTTAAGATTTAAGGTTGTCGTTGGGATTGTCTAGGAGGACAAGTGAGGCTCTTGGAGTCCTTCACCTTTCACTCATTTGTAATCTATTCATCTTATGGTACTACTGTAAATAAATATATAAATCTTCCGGGTCTATGCAACTGCAGTTCAGGTCGGTCATTTCACAGGAACTTCTCTCTACTACGTTGGAGAAGTTGAGTTGGGTTGTCGGGGTGTTAGAGACGATATCAAATGGCAAGATGGCAGGAGATCAAGAGGGATCCACTCTCTTTAACTTAACCCAAATTCTAGTCCATATCCGTTTACTCCTAGGAACGAATAGATCAATGAATGAAAAATTTGATCTCCCCTTTACTTATCCCTTTCATCGCCGAGAAGTCGTTGGTATTGCCTAGGAGGACAAGTGAGGCTCTCACTTGGGGTCCCCCTTTCACTCATTTGTAATCTATTCGTCTTATCGTACTACTGTAAATAAAGATTGTATTGTTTGTACACTATTCGGGTGAATAAATCTTATAAAAAAGCCGATAAGACTTGATTGTTTCATTTACCTCACAATCCTCACACGTTGTCGAGTCGACGCTCAAAATGAAAGACGAAAAAATGACCAAAAGAAAGCCTAATTTGAGCATGATTTAGATAGAAAGTGTTTCAAAATGAAATTCTCTTTTTTTATTCTTCTTTTCTTCTTTTTTGTGTTCATTTGTTGACGAAATGTGTCATATCTTTTGACTGAGAAAAAAAATTGGAAAAAATTTGCTATGTCATGAGGAAAGCTTGATTGATTTTGATGTGACTTTATCGATTTTAGATATTTATTTAAACACACACACACACCAAAATATAACAATAGCAAAGGAAAAAAGAAAAAATTAGGTTTTACAGACTTAAGACAGACTTAAGAGCTATAGTTTATACCTAAAAAAAGCTTGGTTATATTTGCTGAATAGTAAATGCACTAGTAGATTCGTAAGTAATCACAAAATGAAGGCAAAGCAGTGAGCAAGTTTTTAAGAAATATTTACAATGCAACTATAGAAAAGATAGGTATTAAAGTTAAGAAGGGGTATTAGAATTAATGGTCAACACAATTGGGGCTACGGCTTACGCTGGCTCACGCTCCAGCTCGGCTCCAGCATACGCTGGCTCGATCGCTACGATCCACCAAGATTCGTAAGTAATCACAAAATGAAGGCAAAGCAGTGAGAAAGTTTCTAGGAAATATTTACAATGCAACTATAGAAAAGATCGGTATTAAAGTTAAGAAGGGGTATTAGAATTAATGACCAACACAATTGGGGCTACGGCTTACGCTGGCTCGATCGCTACGATCCACCAAGATTCAACAAGTTTTACAAGCAGAAGATGATATAAATCTCGATAAAGATCATTGCAAATTATAGAATTTGAAGAGATTGACGATTCATAGAACTATGAAATCATATGTTTCATATCTCTACTTTAAAATTCTAAAATATCCATTCATCCATTGCTTTCATTGCCCAAGTATATCACCAATCATGAACCCGTTGAGCTTTCTCGTTGGTGTCAACTCGGGTGTCACGTAGGGATTGTTGATCGGCTGGAAATTGAAGTGAATCCTTTCCTTTAAATCCTTTAAATCCTTTTAAAAGCAATCTTTCCTTGCTTTTGCTCAATTACATTTAAAACTAGAGTCTTTTCCTTTTAATATTAGCTCACCAATGATTGAAGCGGTCTGAAGGGACTCATTGCCAATGAGAGTTGAAGACTTGCTAGTGGAAGACTTGGGGTTGGAGTTGGGAACTGAAATTTGTATTGATTAGATATTTTGGCTCTGTTTAATAACAGGATAACTTAAAAAGAAAAAGGATTACCTAACTTCTTTTATCTATATCTATTTGTCTAAGTTTTTTCATTTCATTTATAGTTATTAGTTTGGAATTCGAGATCAAGACCTCCTTTGGGTGTCACTATGCAAATTTTTGAGATCTGTCAGCTCCGAGACAAACTTATATTTTAATTACTATTGTTATTATTGAATGATTTGTCTATTAGATAAATTTGATCTCCCCTTTACTTATCCCTTTCATCGCCGAGAAGTCCTTGGGATTGTCTAGGAGGACAAGTGAGGCTCTCATTTGGAGTCCCCCTCCCCTTTCATTTGAAATCTATTCATCTTATCGTACTACTGTAAATAAAGATATAGATCTTTCGGGTCTATGCAACTGCAGTTCAGGTCGGTCATTTCACAGGAACTCCCCTCTACTACGTTGGAGGAGTTGAGTCGGGTTGTCGGGGCTGTTAGAGTTGGCAGGAGATCAAAAGGGATCCACTCTCTTTAACTTAACCCAAATTCTAGTCCATATCTGTTTATTCCTAGGAACAAACAGTAATTTAAAGTACACTCAGATAAATGAACTAGTAAGGTTAGGGAGTTGACTTTTCTCAAAATAGAATCGACACAACTTTAACTGAAAATCATTGCAAAACAAGTTCCACATTCTAAAGTGTTGCAAACTGAATACAAACATAAATAAACATCCAGTAACGCAAAATTTAGCGTTTTTAATAAGCTGATCACTGTTTAATGCAAGAATTGAGAAGTTTAGTACATCAGAAAAGATTTGTTCGTAATGTCAGCTCCGAGACAAACTGATATTTTAGTTACTATTGTTATTATTAAATGATTTGTCTATTAGATAAATTTGATCTCCCCTTTACTTATCCCTTTCATCGCCGAGAAGTCCTTGGGATTGTCTAGGAGAACAAGTGAGGCTCTCACTTGGAGTCCCCCCTTCACCTTTCACTCATTTGTAATCTATTCGTCTTATCGTACTACTGTAAATAAAAATATAGATCTTTCGGGTCTATACAACTGCAGTTCAGGTCGGTCATTTCACAGGAACTCCCCTCTACTACGTTGGAGGAGTTGAGTCGGGATGTTGGGGTGTTAGAGACGATATCAAATGGCAAGATGGCAGGAGATCACAGAGGGATCCACTCTCTTTAACTTAACCCAAATTCTAGTCCATATCCGTTTACTCCTAGGAACGAATAGATCAATGAATTCTTGGAACCAAAATCAAAGAATGAATCAAAGCCATCCTGTAATCGAACAGAGTCGATATTTTTATTTTAAAACAAGTTATTCAAATATTTTACGTACACTAACCGTTAATGGATTGAAATTTTCCAAATTCATTCTGTTTTCGCTGAAGCTCTCAGGTCGGGCAAAGCACTTTTCGTACCAAGCTTGAATCTCTGTCTCCGCCTCCTCACTTCCGACGATTACCTGGGATTTAAGGAAATGATTGAGAACAGAAAGTAAAGTCAATTATCTAAAGAACTTCGAATACCTTTTCCGAGTGATCTCCATGCATTCGCTTCATATGTGATGTGACATGATGTCGATCATAGACACTTCCATGTCCACAATTCGGATGAGGGCAACGAAAGAGCATTGCTTTCAAATGTTTCTGCACGATGTGACGCCGTGGACCTGAAATTAGTTTGTTATTAAAGTTTTGAGATGACAAGGTTTGCTAAAGATGCAGTTTTATGATCGATTTACTGTGGTGAGTAGGGTGTTCGGACTTCTAATATCTTTAGTCGCTGATGAGTTAATTATTAGGCTTTCCAGAGAGGTTTTTCTTCGTTTCTTTTCATACTTCCATTTAAAAATAACAAATTTCACCAATTAACCTACCGTAAATACTGTAATAGTCCCCCACTCCCCTCGTACAGTCGCGTAGGCGCAAAAGTTTTTATTTCATTTTTTTCACAGCACCCGTACTTTCAAAAAATGCGTCTTTGGTATCAAAAAATAGATAGCTGAAATTCAGGGCTATTCTTTTGATAAATAAACGCACATTGTAGCATAAACCAGTGTCGAGAAAAACTCGTTCAAAGCTAGACTACGCAATACTCCGCACCGTCATTATGCGGGTCGGGTACTATTTACAGTATTTACGGTATGATTTTCTCTAAATAAAAAGTGTTTCTTGTTCAATTTCCCCATCTTTTTAAGTCAATTTGGTTCACTTTCAAGCAAATTGAAAAGCAAAGAGATTGAAAACACGTGTTTTTCTCTAAAAACCTATGAAAAACCTTTGAAAAATAAGAAAATAAAATAAATAGCGAAAAAATAAACACTTTTTATGTAAATAAACACTTAGTAAATCCTAGATTAATTAGTGAATTTGTTTTTTTTCAACGAAATTACGAAAAGGAATGAAAAGACTTTCTGGAAAGCCTAATAGCTTAACGGTAGAATGATTGTGATAAAAAGATTTCCTACGGTTTGATTAATTAATCTATTTGCTTTTTGGTTTACTAGCCTGGAGATTTCATAAAATACCATACCGTAAATACTGTAATAGTCCCCCACTCCCCTCGTACAGTCGCGTAGGCGCAAAAGTTTTTATTTCATTTTTTTCACAGCGCCCATACCTTCAAAAATGCGTCTTTGGTATCAAAAATAGCTGAAATTCAGCGCCATTTTTTGATACGTAAGCGCGCATTTTAGCATAAACCAGTGTCGAGAAAAACTCGTCCAAAGCTAGACTACGTAATGCTCCGCACCGTCATTATGGGGTGGGGTACTATTACATTATTTACGGTAGGTCAATTAGTGAATTTTTTTTTCAACTAAAGTACGAAAAAGAAAGAAAAGACTTTCTGGAAAGCCTAATAGCTTAAGGGTAAAATGATTGTGATAAAAAGATTTCCTACGGTTTGATTAATTAATCTATTTCCTTTTTGGTTTACTATAACAAATGATTAATTAATTAATTAATCTATTTCCTTTTTTGGTTTACTTTAACAAATCTCCCGGACTAGTCTACTCCTGGAGATTTGTTTATGTAATAAAAGCGTTTTCAATACAATTTCAATACAAACCTTGACTCCTCTTTCCCTCGATACTGATCACATCATTGCAAATATAGCAGAACTCTTTTCGGTATCTAGAGAATTGTTAGAAAATGGTACTTGAAAATAATGTTAATCTATCAATAAAATCTATCACATTACCTATTCAAATCCTTAGTCCTTTTTGGAGTCAATGGAAGGTGATATGGAGAGAAAGCACTGGATGCTTGAGTCTGGAAAATCAATATGTAGAACCTTGTTGAAACTTTGTTGTTGAAATTATTTAAACAATTTTGTCTTCAGCTAATTTTTAACCTTATCCATCAACGGGGTCGATCTCGTTGAAGTTGGTGTTCCGGGTAAAGCGAATGGGGTGAAGAGAGTGAGTGGAGACTAAATCTTGTGCAATGTTGTTGTGTAAAGTTTTAAAGTAAGTTACGAAGTAAAAGTAAGGAAAAGCTATACGATTGCTTAAACAGCAAAATTTAATTGAAAAAAAATCTCACCTGAAGAAGGGAAACAGTTTGTGCTCCGAGCGAGATCGGGCTCTGCAGAAAAGGGTTGTTCATTCCGGAGAGTTCACTCTAAAAATGGTTTTGTCAAGATTTCCCAAGTATACTCAAGCTTTGGATTAATGCTTTGGATTAATGTTTTGGATTAATGCTTTGGATTAATGTTTTGGATTAATGCTTTGGATTAATGCTTTGGATTAATGCTTTGGATTAATGCTTTGGATTTATGCTTGGGATTTATGCTTTGGATTAATGCTTTGGATTAATGCTTTGGATTAATGCTTAAAACAATCCAAAAGAAGCCCAAATAGAATAAACTGATTTTTCAATAAACTTTAAAAAAACTGACTAAAAAACAAGATTCAGTCAGTCAGTCAGTCAGTCAGCTTATCTTTAAAAAACATCCAGAATCCTTTTCAGAATCCTGTAACGAGATTCAGATCCTTTTTTAAACATAATTTAATACTCACTAAATTCTGTGGAATTGGTCGTATCGGAGTATTCATTATGGCTAAGATAGATAAGCAAAATGATTGAAAATTCGAGACTGAAGACTTGCTATAGCTAGAGAATCAAATTTCAAATCAAATCAAATCAAATCAAATCAAATCAAATCAAATTACCCTGCCAGGATTGGTGGGCGTAACTGGAAAAACTTTACAAGTGTGAATGAGCGATCTCACTTGTAAAAATCTCACTTTTGAGCGAAATGCCCCGGGTGTTCACAGCCAGGAATTTCTCCGCGTTTCTCACGCATCGGGGCATCGTTTCTACGATCTCTCGTCGAGTTTTCCTCGAATTGCGCTGAATTGCCGGCAAGTTTAGAGGCAATTCGCAAAAATGAGCCGATTTTTGCGGTGAGAAGGTGGGAGGATTTAAACGAACCCACCTGTCATTTGCCAAAAACTCGGCAATTTCGTTAATTGACTAGAGAATTTGAAAATGCGCAAAGGGTCAACTCATTAAAGGAGAGAGCGATATTCAATCAACCTTTACTAAAAAATTCAAACGGTTTGCCGGCCTTTCAACCTTAAGTATTTCAGATAGTTTTGGTTTGAAGGGATATAGAATTTGTAGCATAAATACAGCCGAAATTTAGGGCAAAGATTGATGCCAAGAGTTTGGGCATAGTGGCGCCAAAAAGAGACGGAGTCGGCTCCATCGCTCACCTATCTATCGGGAGCGTTTGCCAGGTCGCGAGCGATTACCCAGCCGCACAAAGAACACCTTGCCAGTCATTTACATTGGAATTACTCTTCTGCTACATTCTTCTGCTTTGTAGATTCCACAAAAAGATATTCAGCTGTCAATTTGTACTTAGAGATTTTCAGGGTCGGCAAATTGATTGAAGTTATTCATTTTAATAAATCAACTATTCTGAACTTTGAGGTGTAAGCCTTTAGCTGTAAGCCTTAAGCTGTAAGCCTTTAGCTGTAAGCCTTAAGCTGTAAGCCTTAAGCTTTAAGCCTTTAGATTTAAGCCTTAAGCTGTAAGCCTTCAGCTGTAAGCCTTAAGCTGTAAGCCTTAAGCTGTAAGCCTTTAGCTTTAAGCCTTTAGCTTTAAGCCTTTAGCTTTAAGCCTTTAGCTTTAAGCCTTTAGCTTTAAGCCTTTAGCTTTAAGCCTTTAGCTGTAAGCCTTTAGCTGTAAGCCTTTAGCTTTAAGCCTTTAGCTGTAAGCCTTTAGCTTTAAGCCATTTCCCTGTGAGTTTAAAATTACGTTTGTCTCGTCGTTTCTTCAAAATATTTTCAACTTAAATAAAAAATCTTTATTAGAATGCAGAAGTGAAAGACCATTTGAACACAATGAGTAAATTTTACAGGAAATAAAACGAAAAACCTTTATTATACAAAGAAAAAAAGGAAAAATAAAAAGAAAAACATAGACTGATATTCAGAAAACCCGTATTCGAATGGTTCACAGCGATGGGTGAGATCAAGAATTGAGGAAACGGATTGAGGTTTGAAGAAAAATGAATGAATCAAGTATTTCACACATACCACTCCTTAAAATCTTTCTTTTTCGCGGTCGCTTTAGGGCCATTTCCATTTGTGGCACCGTTTAAACCGTTCATGCTACCTGGAATGAGAAATTTACCATTTTAAACCGGAAATTTAGCCCTTTAAACCGGAAATTTAGCATTATTTAGTAAAAATCTAGCATTTTAAACTCAAAATTGAACATAATATAGCAAAATTTAGCATTTTCTTGTAGTTAACTTTGATAGTTAAATCTAATTGAGCTTTTGTTTTGTTGCTAGAAATCTTTGAAAGCATTGGAAGAAAATGGGAACAAATTCTGCTCACCAGAAATGCCGAAAATGAATTTTTAACTGAAACTAACTGTCATCATCTGGCAAGATCTTCAATCTCAACTTGGCTAGAGCTCGCTCATTACCATCTTAATACTAGTTTAGCTTAGCTTCAAACTGACCATTCATTCCTCCATTGATCCTCCTTGGACCCGTCCCATTCATTCCATTCACTCCATTCATTCCTCCACCTCCTCCAGGCGTCCCATTTGGACTATCTCCATTCATTCCGTTCGGAATCACTGATCCTTTGATTGGCTGGTAGCCGTTCACCTGTAAAAGTTTAGTTTAACTTGATGTTTGATTTAGATTTCCATGGCCAAAGGTTAATTATCTTTTTAGCTACAGCAACTATTGGTAGATAGATCGTAAAAACAAGGGCGAAGATGAACTATTTTTTGCCATGAAATGACGACTCATTCAAAACTCGTTCAACTTGTAATCAACTTCTTATAAGCCTGCCCTGTACAACAGCCCTTAGCATCTCAGTCGGACGCCGGTCATTATAGCTGGAAATGGAGCTGGAAATACAAAAAAACTGGCCACGCTGGGATTCGAACCATCGACCTCTCGCTTACTGGGTGAGCACTCTACCAATGAGCCACACCGGCACGTGTTCGATTCCCGCCAGGGTAGGGCTTTATTCCTTACTGTAGGCTTTGATATTTTCAAATAAACATACTCCTTTTGATGATTCGCCTTGAGAGTGTTCAACTCGTTCCTTATTTCTTATTGAACTCACTTGGGTATTGATTCGTGGTGCAATCAATGGTTGCGTGCTTGGATCTCCATGATGAATCATTTGCGGTGACATTTCTTGTGAGATCGGCGCATAGCCTGTCGATTTCCCATTCATCACCTGAAAAGGAAAGTGTTTTCTTTGCAATTCTCACTTTAAACTATAGGATATAGACAGAAACTAATGAAAGGGCCCAAAAATATCTCTAATCCCTTCAAAATGATATTTTCAACACTTTTTCTTTTACCGCCATCATATTTCCAACGGGGAAAATTGGTGAATCGGGCAAGAGCTAAACGTTTAATCAATAGAAATAAATAGAAATCAATCAATAGAAAAGAAAAATGAACTTTAAAAGAAACTAGTTAAAGTTATAGAAAGCCAAATGTTGTAAAAGATTTATTACTTTGACTAACAAGTATTTAAATCTTTTACTACATCAAATTCTGTTGTTTAAGCCAACAAATTCTTATTATTATATCAATATTTACAATCTTAAAGAAGGTTTAAAGAAATTAATTATGAGATACTGGCAGTGAAACAAACTTGATCTCAAAGTTACTTAAACTTTGAGGATTTTTACTCAATAATTACATCATTTAAATGTCCTTTAGATCCTTTAAACGCTCGTATTGTGATTTGGATTGTGAGGATGGAGCGTCATCACGAATGCCAAAGGATTGTGATTTGGATGGAGCGTCATCACATGTTTCTGATCATGGATTTCTTAGTGTTCAAGCACCGAAATTTCATCCAAATGAAGTAAAAATTCTAAGTTTTATAACTTAGAAAAAGCTTTTCTAAGTTATGAACTGAAAAAAAAGATTCATTTTTGTCTTTTATAATCAAAAAAGTAAAAGAATTGATAGATTTTTTTAGCTAAATATAAAAATTAGAGTATTCCCCACTCACCATCGGATAATGTTCACTTGGTGGCGCATTTTGTCGACATTTAAACACACAGAAGACAATGGCGGCAATCAAGACGATCACTGTCCCCGATCCGACCATGATGAGCATTGTTCGAGGGAAATCCTCTCCTGATGCTGGCTAAAGAAAATCGAATTAGGAAAAGGAATCGTTTAATCGTGGAATCGCTTGTGAAATCATAAATAGCCAGTTCATAAATAATCAAATCATAAATAGCCAGCTCTTAGCCACTCCTTACATAGTCGTAATCCACATAGACTGGCTCAGGCTGCTTCAATATTTTAAGTTTGATCTAGTAAATTGAAATCAATAGCTTATTATTTTCATTATTTCAAAATTTCTCAACAAGAAGCTGGTTTTTAGCAGTCAAATGTACGACTAGTCAAGTAAAATGTTCGCTCAATTCATTTGGATTTGTTTCTCTTGAAATTGTTAACTTACTAGGGAACTGTTTCAACTTATCACCGATTTTCGAAGCCGAACCTAGCTACAAAACGTAGAATTCTAAGAAACATGTCTTTTTAATTTTTTTTTTGCCTGATAGGCCCTGGTTTTCGAGATATAAGCGTACCAAAAATACGATATTAATTTACCTAATAGTAATACCAAATAATAATCATTATATTATTTCTATTTCAAAAGGTACTCACCTTCATTGTTGTTGTCCCTAATGGGTCTGTGCCCATAGGAGTCGTGGGTCGGACCGGGGGATAGACGGTGAATGGCGAAACGCGAGCCGTTGTTTCGATGAGGAATTGCGGTGACGGGGTCGATCTTTCTAAACGTGAAGTTAAATGAAAGTTCAAGGCATTAGCTAAGACTACATCGAATCTAGAACATAAGATTTTGGCAAGGGTTACGTTAATGGCACACAAATTTGGTGCATGCACGAGACGGGACTAACCAAAAAGACCTCAGCTCGCTGGGGTTTGGCTTAAATTTGGTTTACCCAACACTAGTCAATAATTGAGAATTGATAGCTTTTGTTGATAGCTTTTGTTGATAGCTTTTGTTGACGAAGAATGCTCTAGCTTGCTAGATTTTGACTTAAACTTAGTTGAGTGTTCAGTTCAGTTGCCCAACAAGCGTTACCTTAATAGCTTGACTCAAGAAGCTTTCAGAGTAAACTAGAAAACTAGAATATGTCAAGGAATCATAGAAAATCTCAGTGCAAACTAGAATATTTCAAGCAATCATAGAATATCCCAGTGAATAACCACTAAACACAGAAGTAGTTCAGGATTTCGTTCAGGTGATGTCATTTGGGAGTTGACTTGGTGAGAGGGAAACTGGGAAGAGAATTTTCTCCAAATATAAGGAGAAAGGTTCGGAATGCACCGGTTTTGCCTTTCTTTTTCTTTTTTTTTTCCTTGTTTTCTCTTTTGCGGTTTAGGTGGGCACTCTCGAGGCTCGCAAATTCAATCACACTTTTTGTCCTCCCTAATACATTCTCCAAATCCCTACACAAACTTTGCCATGTGTTTGAGGTGAACAACAACATGTCAATTTTCTAGGTAGTAGCTTGAAAATACTCTTTTGCTAACAGTTTAGACTATTTGAAGTATTAAAAATCTGCTTCGAAAATCGACTTGAAAAGCTTCGAACAAAGCGTGACCTGGTTACCGTAACTTAACGTAACGAATACTATAACTTAATATAACGATTGCCGTAAGCGTGCCCGATTACCGTAACCCTTAACCATCTAGTAAATATTATAGTAGCCCAAGTAGCTTCTACAATAGTCGTAATGATTACTGTAACACCAAAGAACTGTAGAAATAACTAAGATCAAATAAGAATTGGGACACTCTTTAGAGCGCCTAAACGAGTCGGTATTCGAAAAAGTTTAACTCGGAAACCAGTAAAGTAAAGTTGCAAATGAATTATTGGGTTAATGGAAAAGTCCTTTCCGATTTTTTGGGAGAGTACCTTAAATTTGTCCAATTTAAGGACAAATTTGTCCAATTTTGACGTTTTATAGCCCATCCTAAAGCTGAATTCAAGACGGATCGATTGGTAAAAGCCGTTTTGAGATATCTCTTTTCTAAAAGTTTTTACAGCTATTTTAGTACCAATCGATCCGTCTTGAATTCAGCTTTAGGATGAGCTATAAAACGCCAAAATTGGACAAATTTAAGGTACTCTCCCCAAAAAATCGGAAAGGACTTTTCCATCAACCCAATAGATAAGAAATTTGTTTGTTTTGTGAATAAGTAATGTTATTGTTATTGTTATTTTTCGATGAGGACAGTTAAAAAGAAAAATAGAGAGAGACGATCATCCGGAAGGCACACCGCACTGCACCCAAGGCATTTTATTGAGCAAGTTCATCAAAGTGATCTGGATTTCTTGTTGGATTTCACGAGAATCACTTTGACAATCGTTTTTCACGAAAAGAGACGCTATTCTAGAGAAAAAACACCAAAAACAAGCTGGCTTTTGTTTGTTTTTAAAAGTTTTTAACCTGAGCCTAAGCCTAAGCCTAAGCCTAAGCCTAAGCCTAAGCCTAAGCCTGAGCCTGAGCCTAAGCCTACGCCTGAGCCTAAGCCTAAACCTGAGCCTAAGCCTGAGCGAAAAGCAATAGATTTACAAAAGCCACAAAAAAATGGCTAAAATTTTAGCCATTTTGTTTCTGATTGGATTGATTTAGATTTACACAACTCTCGTAAAAGCCAATGTTAGTTGCCGTACAAAGGAATTGAAATGAAAAATGATTGGAAAGGAATATGGGGAAATTGAGAAAGGGAAACATGCTCATTCACATAATATTGCACCATTTTCTATCGTAAATCTTATTCCATGATAACTATCAATTAATATTTTCAATTCTATAATAATAACTTAAATTTAGAGAATGAAACAAGTTTTCTCTAATGAAAAATCGCAAATTTTCAAGTTTCATCAAGGTGAACAGGCCAACTATCGAGTCCAACTATAAAGTCAAGGCCAACTATCGAGTCCAACTATAAAGTCAAGGTCAACTATCGAGTCCAACCATCAAGTCAAGGCCAACTATCGAGTCCAACTATAAAGTCAAGGCCAACTATCGAGTCCAACTATCAAGTCAAGGCCAACTATCGAGTCCAACTATAAAGTCAAGGTCAACTATCGAGTCCAACCATCAAGTCAAGGCCAACTATCGAGTCCAACTATAAAGTCAAGGCCAACTATCGAGTCCAACTATCAAGTCAAGGCCAACTATCGAGTCCAACTATAAAGTCAAGGTCAACTATCGAGTCCAACCATCAAGTCAAGGCCAACTATCGAGTCCAACTATAAAGTCAAGGCCAACTATCGAGTCCAACTATCAAGTCAAGGCCAACTATCGAGTCCAACTATCAAGTCAAGGCCAACTATCGAGTCCAACTATAAAGTCAAGGTCAACTATCGAGTCCAACCATCAAGTCAAGGCCAACTATCGAGTCCAACTATCAAGTCAAGGCCAACTATCGAATAAAACCCAAAATTCGAGGTAAAGCTTGAAATTCCTGGAGTCAGTCATAACAAAAACATCAGCAAATCTTCAAGATTTTAATCAATCAACAAAGAAACCTCAAAGAAGACCCAGGGGAATGGAGAGTGTCTAACATCTGGAGATGAGAAGAAAGAGAAAAGATTTTTAAAAAAGTGAAAAGGGAAGAGATAGGGCTTGGATGGGATGCCTTTTCTGGACAGGGCCCTACCCTTTCACTCTTATCCCTTTCACCCCCGGCCCCCCTCCAGGCCCCTCGACGAATAATCAATCTTGCCTCGATGTCATGAGCTGTCACGAACATTGCCCCTTCCCTTTTTTTGCCTTTTCCCCTCTCATCTCTTTTCTCTCACTTCTCAAAACAAATCCCCAAGCAAATTGCGAATGTAATGTGATGGACTGATTCACTAATGGAGGTAAATTTGATGTTTTAAACAGTGATTGGTTTATGGATTAATTAGTTAGAGATTAGATTGATTAGAGGCTATGAAGATAGGTTTTAAAGGGTTCTGAAGTAAGCACAGAGTTGAAAATGGTAGCTTACCAGTTTTAGATCACAGTTGGAAATGGTAGTTTACCAGTTTTAGATCTAGCTTTTTGAGAGGAATGAAACGAAATTGCTTCTGCGGTTTGGGAGAATCGAAAGGTGGGCAAAAATGAATTGGCTACATAAATCAACCTCTCCTCGGGGGGGTAAAATGTGGGTTGTGGAAACACCTGTTTGCACCAAAAACTCTTTGATGAAATTGATTTTTGTTTGAAAATGGGGAAAATTGGAATCGAGCCAGAAATTGTGTTTTCTTGGAACTTATTGTTAGAACTGTTAGAGAGCCACAATGTTAGAGCTAGACTTTTTATTGAAAAGTTTATGAAGCTGGGTTGTTCTTTGAACTTTAGTAAAGAAATCTTAAATCATTACTTTAAGCAATATGTATGCCAAAGATTGAAATTGAAAGTATGCCAAAGAACGTGCGTTTGCTAGAGTTCAAAGAGTATGGGTCAAATTCGATGATGTTTCGCTAATAAAGAAGTGAAGGAATTGGTAAGGAAAACTAGATTTCTGGATAAGGGATTGAACCCTTGACCTTTTGCTTTCCAGGGAATGTTCAAACTTCAATTTCTCTAAACTTATCCGACCAAGAAAAAGAAGGCAAGGTGAGGCCAAGAAAGTTGTCGAAAATCATTGTGTTTAATCAATGCATTGACAAAAAGACATTCTATAGTGGGTAAAAGGCTGAATGAGATGACTACGTAACAACAATGATGGCTCTTCTCTCTTTTTCTTCTTTTAAATGGGTCACAAGCTTCTATTCTTCCATATTCAACAAGGGTTGGTCGCAGAAAAAAAAACTACTCTCGGTGCCTAATCGAGCGGAATCACAGGGTTTCCCATTTAGTGTAAAGGTGGAATAAAGCACAAGCTCGTTTTTGAGACAAGATGAACAATTGATATCTTAACAATTTGAGCAAAATTTATGAAAGTATAACTAAAAGCTAAAAGTCAGATTGGATAAATGTAAAGCTTTTCTCTCTTGCAAAATTTCTCACTTGTCAGCCGTGATTTATCCCTAGGGATGAAGGAAAAAGAGAAGATCTTTTGAGAAATTTTAGCTAAAAAGCTTCAATTCGCATTTTCGAACATTGAACACACCGCACTACCATGCAGAGAAATCTTTAAAATATTGAAAAATTGAAAAATCAAAACATCCAAGCGTTAGTCAAAAAAGCAAAAAAGCAAAAAATCTCAATGCGTGCTTTGTGAGAGGCGCAAAATAAAGATTTTTTGTTTTTTTTTGTTGTTGTTTGGTTAGGAATGAATGAAGCAATTGATTTGTGCGATTATTGAAATATCAAAATTGGTTACTTTAAATTGGTTACTTTAAATTGGTTACTTTAAATTGGTTACTTTAAATTGGTTGGTTTAATTTGGTTGCTTTAAATTGGTTGCTTTAAATTGGTTGCTTTCAATTGGTTGCTTTCAATTGGTTGCTTTAAATTGGTTGATTTAAATTGGTTGCTTTAAATTGGTTGCTTTCAATTGGTTGCTTTCAATTGGTCGCTTTCAATTGGTTGCTTTCAATTGGTTGCTTTAAATTGGTTGGTCTAAATTGGTTGCTTTAAATTGGTTGAATTTAAATTGGTTGCTTTAAAATTGGAAATGAATATTCGGTCTTGGACTTGAAATGAAAATTTTGAAATCTAGTACAGAAAGGATAGTTTTCAAGGAATTAGTAGGCTTAAACTCGACTTAAACTCGACTTAAAACTCGACTATTAGACTTAAAGTTTACTGTAATAGTACTATGGAGTTTAGAAGCAAGTGTCTGAGCCTTGCATTATGCAAAAATTGATGCTCTTACAATATGTATAAAAAAAATTCCCCCATTTTCTTGATATTCCACTACGCACAAACCCAAACAAGCAAAATTAAGTAAAAAAAAAGAAACGGCAACTAAATGGGCATTCACTCGAAGTATGTCAAGCAATGAAACTCAGAAAAAAAAAACTCTACTATGCGATCTCTTTTCGATTTACCCTTGTTGCCAATGGTTGGTGCGGGCCTTCTCGTGCTCATTTCTCTCGGTCTCTCAGTTCGTCTTGTCGTCGCTCGTGACCGATTTCTCGTCGCACCCAACCAGGCTGGCCCAGTTGGTCCAATGTCTGGCGCCTCCATGGCTTGTTGCCAGATACTACTCGCATAATCAGGATTCAACAGAATCGCTTCATTCATATTTTCATATGGTCTAGGTAAAACGGTTGATTTAAAGCTAATTGGAAGCTGTTGTTTTCTGGTTGTAGCCATTGTTGAAACCGTTGTTCTTACAGTTGCCATAAGAGGATTGGCATTGTTCGGACTTTTCACCGTCTCTACAGAATTTTCTTGAGATTCTGGGAAATCAGCTGATCCTTCTTCAACAAAGAAATCGGCTAAGTAAACAGATTCAGTAGTGGTTGTTTTCATGGTTGTTGTTGGGGTGGTGGTTCTTCTAGTGGTAGTAGTAGTTGTTGTTGTTGCTGTTGTTGCTGTTGTTGTTGTAGTTCTTCTTGTCGTAGTTGGTGGAGTTGTCGGTGGTGGGGGTGGGGGTAAGGGTGGGGCAAAATGATGATTTTTCCTTTGATTGTCTTGATCGATCCTCCACGGATCCCGGGGATACTCACCGAGTGATGGAGTTGTCGGATGAACTCTCTGCCTCGACGCCGTCACTGCAGTCGGCAGTTGTGGCGTGAAGAACCCTAAAAATTGATGAATTAAAGTAAAATTTGAAAATCGATTAGTATAAAAGGGTTGTTTATCTGGCTGTTTATACTTTAGCAATCAATTTACTTATCCATTTTAGCTGAATAACTTAAATTTTGCCTCTAACAACAATCCTATTGGCTTTATTTAAAAATTATGCAAAAAATTTGGTACTTTCCTGTTATAGTCACTACATATACCTATGCGATTTCCACCAAAGTTTACAATAAAGTCTGTAATGTATAAAAGCGTTACAAAAAAAAGACTATATTGATGAATTTGAGCTTTTTGAAAGTCTTAGAACATTATTATTCAAGGTGATTCGGGGTCAATTCGGGTTCTTTAAACTATTCATCTCTTTTCTATAAGAATTCCTAAATCATTTGATTTTTAGTCTATCAATAATGTAATCTGAAATGTATAAAAGTGTTACCAAAAAGACTATTTATGAATTTGAGCTTTTTGAAAGTCTTAGAACATTATTATTCAAGGTGATTCGGGGTCAATTCGGGTTCTTTAAACTATTCATCTCTTTTCTATAAGATTTCTTAGATCATTTGATTGTTTAGTCTATCAATAATGTAATCTGAAATGTATAAAAGTGTTACCAAAAAGAATATATTGATAATTTAGAGCTTTTTGAAAGTCTTAGAACATTATTATTCAAGCTGGTTCGGGGTCAATTCGGGTTCTTTAAACTATTTATCTCTTTTCTATAAGATTTCCTAGATCATTTGATTGTTTAGCTATCAACATTGTAATCTGAAATGTATAAAAGTGTTACCAAAAAGAATATATTGATAATTTAGAGCTTTTTCGAAAACTTCGAACATTTTGAGGAAGTTTAAACGATAAATGAAAATTTTGATGATAAATTAAAAAGATGATAGTGGCTAATAAAAGGAAAGTACCAAAAATTTTAACAAACAAATCTTATACCATCATCGACAGGCTCAATCGTCTTTTGAGCCTTTGTCGCTTTCGACAATAAAGTCGTTAAAGTTGTTGAAGTTTGAGATGGAGTAGTAGTGATTGGTTGAATTGATGTCTCTTCTTCAACACTCATCGAGAGGCTTTCCCTTGGATCAATTCTCAATCTCTCCAGATGATTGACATCATAATTTGATGCAAATCGTGGAGGTTGATTGACACGACACTTCGGGAGATACCAATCGATGAGACATTGAATGGGAGCAAGAGTCGTGAATTCCGAGGATGAACTCGGCTCCATCTGGATTCTGATTTTGTAAGTGAGAAGCGAGAATTAATTTGAAAAAGAAAAAAAAGAAGAATAATTGATTTAGCTTCAAAATTTTATTTAGAAATATTATGATAGCAGGCAATGATAGTAAAAATTTGATTCTAACTTAAGTGGCTGACTGAATCCTAATAAGTAACTCTTGAACAAGTACAAGTAACTCTTGAACAAGTAACAAGTAACTCTTGAACAAGTAACAAGTAACTCTTGAACAAGTAACAAGTAACGAGTAACAAGTAACAAGTAACAGTAACAAGTAAACAAGTATTCTAAATTCGAAAGTGTTCCGATTTTCCGATCAATTAAGTTGCGCGGTGATGAGAGGAAGTTGGGTTGAGAAAAGAAAGAATTTCTGAAAGGATAAGTTCGTTAGGACGGAGAAGAGAGTGCGATTATTGAAAGAATGAGACAAAAGGATTGGATTGAGATTGGGATTAGCTTTGATGAATGGAAGAAGGTATTTCATCTCAATGCACTCTCAAAAACTTTGCTTCACACACTAGATTGCTTTGCTTATTAGTGAGATCGAGGAGTTTCTAGGAGTGTGAATTTAAAAGTTCAGTAACAGAGAAAGTAAAGAAAGAAAGACAGTAAAGAAAGAAAGAAAGAAGGAAAGTAGGAAAGCAGGAAAGCAAGCAGGAAAGTAAGAAGGAAAGCAAGAAGGAAAACAAGAAGGAAAGCAAGAAGGAAAGCAAGAAAGAAGGAAAAAAAGAAAGAAAGAAAGAAGGAAGGAAGGAAAGCAGGAAAGCAAGCAGGAAAGCAAGCAGGAAAGCCAGAAAGAAGGAAAGAAAGAAAGAAAGAGAAAGATAAAGTGAGAAAATTCAAGAAAAAAAACTAGAAACGTAAAATTTGATTTGATTAATGTTTAGTTTAGGTTTTATGGGCCTTATGCATTTGCTTTATGCAAAATCGAACTGATTTAATCAGTACTTTGAATAAAAATTTAAAAGAATTAAGATTTCTCCGGTTAAACTTTGATTTAGAACAACTCTTGCCTCGACTCTACCTCCAATTCATATGTCATAATAAATATAAAAATTGAAAATGGCTTTTAAAAAAATAAGGCGCTAAGGTTGTAAGGTTCTTTTCTGCAAATCGGTGTGTATTTTCACGTATAAGATTGGATGGATGGTGTTTCAGAAAAGCGACTAGATTTAGCGGAAGTGTTGAAAGGGTGATGTGAGGGTTTTCCCTTTCCTTCAACAATTCATCGAACTCAATAACACCTGAGTCCCCTGGAAATTGTCCCAACCATTAAATCGGAGCAAGAAAAGGGAAAAAGAAAAAAACAAAAAAAAACCAAACCTAAAACCAAACCAAAACATTTTAGAAGTTTCTAAAAAAAAATACTAAATTTGCTAGGCTTCAAGAATTCGTTTTCTGATAGAGAAAGGATTAAAATAGCAATAGAATCATGAAAAACTTGGGCTTTCCTTTGGGGGAATTGTCGGGGTTTCGATTTTGTAATGAAATCTGAGAACAAACAAAGCTTTTGGTTGAAAAAAGCAAAATGTTTCGATTTGCTTTTTGGTGGAGCTTTTTTGTTTCTGTTTCTAGCTATGGAAATCGGCAATTCATATAATATTTCAGTGGGAGAGAACACTTTTTTTTTGTAAACACTACAAAATGGACATCCTACTTTTGTTGCCTATGAAACTTATTGAATCCTATAGAAACAATATTGTTTTGAAGCCTAAATTTGCGTTCAACTTGCCACTGAAAACCCAACTTTAGCCACTTCAAGAAAAGCTCTAGTTTTGCCACTTTGACAATCTATCCAAATGTTTCACAAATTCTTAAATTTCTCTATGTAAAGAAGGATTTCTGGATGTAAAATAGATTGTCAAAGTGGCAAAACTAGAGCTTTTTTTGAAGTGGCTTTAGAGTTGGGTTTTCAGTGGCAAGTTGAACGCAAGTTGAACGCAAATTTACACTTAAAAACAATATTGTTTTTATAGGATTTGAAAGTTCTATGCGCATATTCGCTTAGCCACAAGATAGTCATAATTTTAAGCTTAATCAAAACCAAAAAATATAAGTGAATAAGCTTTTAAATGAAATTTAAATGAAATGTTTTGAACTTTGAATCCAAATGTTTCACAAATTCTTAAATTTCTCTATATAAAGAAGGATTTCTGGATGTAAAATAGATTGTCAAAGTGGCAAAACTAGAGCTTTTTTATAGGAAAACTAGAGCAAAACTAGAGCTTGTTCTATAGGAAAACTAGAGCAAAACTAGAGCTTGTTCTATAGGAAAACTAGAGCAAAACTAGAGCTTTTTTATAGGAAAACTAGAGCAAAACTAGAGCTTTTTTTATAGGGAAACTAGAGCAAAACTAGAGCTTGTTCTATAGGAAAACTAGAGCAAAACTAGAGCTTTTCTATAGGGAAACTAGAGCAAAACTAGAGCTTTTTTATAGGAAAACTAGAGCAAAACTAGAGCTTTTCTATAGGATTTGAAAGTTCAATGCACATACCCGCTTAGCCACAAGATAATCATAATTTTAAGCTTGATCAAAACCAAAAAAAAATATAAGTGAATAAGCTTTTGAATGAATTTCAGCTTTTAAAGCTTTTAAATTTCAAGAACCAAAAGATGAATCATCCATCCATTCTGCTCAAACTTATAGGAACACGTGTGTCGAAGAAGAGGTTGAAGTCATCTTTTGGGTATGAGATGGAGAAAGGGAGAGTGTTTGAGTACGCTCGAATGAAAGTATTGTGCGTGTGCAGAGAACCCAACGATGGAATGGGTGAAGGGACTCTCGAAAGGCTAAAGAATTCCCTCCTAGAAAAAGCAAAACTCGATTGGAATAGTATGAACTCAATGAATACTGAAAGCGATACTCGCTAGAAGTTTGGATTTGAGATTTTTGTCTAAAAAAACGATACGTCTAACGTTTTTAACGCTCTACTATGCCTTTTCTACTATGCCTTTTACTTAAATTGCCTTCTATTATCCTCTCTCTATCAAAATAAGATTAAGATCTAAATTTGAACACAAAGTTAAAGCTGATTTAAAGCACAAAAGCTGCACAAAAGCTGATTTTCAAAGCTATAGCTTTGAAAGCATGGAGATGTAGCTAAACTATTTGACACTAAACTAACACTATTTGACAAATAGACCACCAGTGTAAGAGTTAATTTTGGGGAGTCGGGCTAGAGTAGGATGGAAAGGTGAGAAGTCAGCGGAGGGGAAAGAAGAAAAGAAAAGAAAAAAGCTTTTATAGACACGAACAGCATCAATTCAATGAAAAGAGGAAAAAGTGAATGAAATGCTGAAACGCTTTGAGGCCAAAATGGATAGCATTCATTTAAAAAAAGGGCGTCAATGATGTGTTGAGCAATTAATCAAATACGATCGGTGTGGAAGAGGAGAGAAGATGGCCAAGGAAAAGGTGGATATTTGTATTTGGTTTTGTGTAAATAGCTAAATATCTAAATAGCTAAATATCTAAATAGCTAAATAGGTCTAGAAGTCAAAATTTGGCAAATTGCTGGCTGGCTTTAGATTGGAAAACGGAAAAGAATGGATGGCTTTAGATCGGAAAACGAATTTTCGATTCAACACTGAATAAAGTTAGGATTTTGGCAAATCTTTGCAAAAACTAATAATTTTCGATTTTGAAAAGATCTTCAGTGTTCTTCAAAACAAAAGTCGAAAAGCTTTGGAAGCTTTGAGAGAGTGCTGCTTGGCTTTAGATCGGAAAACAAATTTTAATTCAACAATGAATAAAGTCAGTGCTGTTTGACGAATTGACTATTGATGCATGCGTCAAAATGGAATGTTTTTAGAATTTAGATAAAGCTCTAGGGGAGGGGAAGAAAAAGAAAAAAAAAAAAAAAAAAAAAAAAAAAAAAAAAACCCCAAAACATAAATACTATTATAAAAATTTTAAATTATTAAAAAAAAAAAAAAAAATAAAAAAAAAAAAAAAAAAAAAAAAAAAAACAAAACAAAAAAAAAAAAAAAAAAAAAAAAAAAAAAAAAAAAAAAAAAAAAAAAAAAAAAAAAAAAAAAACCTTTATTTAATATATATAAATTTTTTTTATTATTATTTTTTTTTTTTTAATAAAAAAAAAAAAAAAAAAAAAAATTTTTATAAAAAAAAAAAAAATATAAATTGTCCTTTCTTTCTTTCTTTTTTAAAATTTTTTTTTTAAATAAAAAAAAAAAAAAAAAAAAAATTTTTTTTTTATTTTTATTTTTTTTTTTTTAAAAAAATTTATTTTTTTATTAAAAAAAAAAAATTTTTTTTAAAAAATTTTTTTTTTAAAAAAAACCCTTTAAAGTTGGGCCCCCACCTCCTTTCTCCAACAATGATTTAAACGAACCAGAACTTTGAACAGTTAAGTGTTCACCAAATGGAGAAAAACTTACAGACTTAAAAAGACAATTCAAGTGTACTTTGAGGATATGCCGGTACATTAACAAATTGCTTTGAATCAACAAACAAATTGCTTAGTGCTTTGAGTAATTCTATAAATCTTAAAATGAGTTAAACTAGTAGGAAAGTGAAGCTAGCTATTGAGAAATAGCTATTTCTTATCTTTACAACTTTCGAAAGACTTCTAAAATTTGTACTCAATTAATCAAATAGCAGACACGCCAATATTTGCTGAAGTGAGAAATAAAAAGATTGCTTTGTTGAAGAAATGGTGGCAATACGCGGGGAAAACCCGATCCCGTTGGTCACTTTGAGCGATGTGTTTGTGGTGTGAAAGAAATGCAAATTTTCCTCGCCATTTCTTTTCTGACACAATCGCATAGGAAACGGTGTGATTTATTGCCAATTGGCGATGAGATAAATGAGGCGGAAAAGGGGGTGAATTTCGTGGATTTCGTGGATTTGGTCAATATTGAGCAAAAATTGAAACCGATTTTAAAGTTACAATTAACTAATCTCTTGCAAAAAGTATAGTTATATAGGACTGTAGAAATTCCATAATCTTAAGTTTTTCAAGATTTACAACGAAGCTAGGAATAAGTAGAGCTCGGAATTACACGTTAAAAATTAAGAAAAACTGCGTTTAGATCATTGCTTAAAAATCTTAAGTGTAGCTCAAGAAAAATCGGGTTTTCTGAATTGGTTTTTCTTAAGGTCATGCAAGAAAAATTGTTCCCAAGTGACTTTCAAAAGAGAGGGAAGGGTCAGAAAATGAATGGCAACTGCAAGGGACGTTTTAGCGTTTAGCTTGGAAAGTAAAAGAACAAAAAGAACAAAAAGGAAAGGATTGAGGTTCAGATCAGAAAGGGGAATGGGTGGAGGCCGATTCATCTCTAAAAGAGCCTCACACCAGAACCATTCCCCGGGGAGCTATGGCCGACCGTAGAATCCACACATTTTGTGGGCACGAAAAGCTTTTCTAAATACGAAACGGGCTTTTAAGAATTCCTTTGTTTGAATTTGTGAAAAAATGGTTTGATTTGATGGAAGTGGGCAGAGATTTGAGTTAGAACGTTAAGAATTCTTGAATTCTTGACGAATGACAAAAGTTAGAGCGTTAAGAATTCCTGAATTCTTGACGAATAACAAAAGTCAGAACGTTCAGAATTCCTGAATTCTTGACGAACAAAGTGCAAGTCTTACGGTTGATTTCTTAAGCTTCTGAATGAACTGTAAGATCCAGAGAATTCAATTCTTAAACTGCAGATGAACAATCCAGAGTTAAAACAATTATCAGCTTATTTTGGATAAGATTATTATTAAGACTGCTAACTCTGAGTTGGTGAAGTAAATGGAAGTAAATGGATCTGGAAGAGTTAGAGTGATTGAAATTCATAAGCTAAATTGAAATCTAAATTGAAAATACTAGAATTATATGAATGTGGGTTTCTGAATGGATTGTCGTGGAGAAGATGAGTGGATAGGAGATCTGGAAGAGTCGTGGGAATAGAGCGGAGCTGTCTATTGCAGAGCCACACGAGTGGATTATCCCTTTGGAACGGCCACATCGCATTTCAGGACAAAAGCAATAAGTGAAGCTTTTAACCCGCAAAGAATTTTAGATAGATTTGAAAAAGCTAAAGCTAGGGGCTAATTGAAAAAGTGTTGCAGGAAGTTTGCTGAAAAATTTAGCTAAAATCTAAGCTAAAATAAAATTAGCTAAAGTTTTAGCTGAAATTCTAGTTGATAACTGTATGAATGAATCGGCTAGAGTACAGAAAAGTTGTGAGTGTGTTAGCTGGCGTGAAAAGTTCTCGCAGAAAATACGCGCAAAAAGTTGAAAAGCCATTTGGAAGAAAGCTAAAGCGGGAGGAGGGGGGAAGGGAGAGGATGAATCGGATTTCAAATGGAGGCCGATCTAATGCAATCTTTTCTTTTGCATTCCTCCCCATTCACCTCACACCAGCCCACCAACCATCAACAACTATCAACTACTGATGATGGAAGAGTTGGCAGGATTTTTGAGCGCTTTTTGAACGAAAGTTTAAGATCTAGTACATGGATTTTTTTTTTGTTATGATTATTATTGAAGTTTAGCTAAATACGACTCTCTTATAACTCTCTTTTTAAAGCCAAAGTATGAACAACCAGATTTAAAACATCTACTGCAATCTTTTTTTCAATCAGAAATTCATACCAATGGGTTCCGGGTCAGTAAAACAACGCTCCTGTTCGTCGACGGTGAGACAACTCGGGGCGATCGCTTCGAAGAATGGAGAAGGCTCGATCTGGAAATGGGTGATGAATGAAAGATATAAAGATCGGAAATGAGTTATTTTATAACCTTTAAACTCAAGAGTTATAAGATAACCTTTAAACATTGAGGTGGTAAAAGTCTGTCTTGACTACTCAATGTACAGAGTGTTCAGTATTTACGACTTCTTTTTAGTAGATTAGCTCCCAAGTTCAACCCTAATGTGTTAAATGTTATTTAAAATGTTGAAGCCCTTAATCTTGGCTACATTTTTCTTCTTAAAAGTTTTTTGATTAAAGATATACAACTCATTTTAGAAGTCATTGAATGAGTAATCGCCAGAAATGGCAGCGTGCCGGAGCGGGATTAACTTGTACTCTTTCATAGGCTTATAAAATGAGTTGCATCTCTCTAATAAATAAGTAAATAATAGTAAAGTACAAGGCCAAGAGTCTTATTGATAATGCAAACAATTAAAGTAAAAGTAAAGTAGTAAAGTAGTCAAATACAGTATTGATTACTCTTTTTCGTCGATTACTCTTTTTAGGCGACTAGCTCTCAAGCGCCAAGTTCAACTCTAATGTATTAAGTGTTATAAATATTGAACCTCTTAATCTTGGCTACATTTTTCTCTTAAAAGTTTTTTGATTGAAGATATACAACTCATTTTACAAGTCCTTGAATGATAGTTGATCCCTCTCTGCTATTTTTAGCGATTTTCATTATAATAAATTGTCAGAAAAAGCTTTTCGATATTTATTTTATTTTAAAATATTATTTAGCATTATTTAATAATATTTAGAACTATTTTTGTCCAAATCGTCTTACTCAATTTTGAGTTGAAGTCAAGTTTCTTTGATGTCGCAAGGAAAGAAGTGAAAATTGAGGATTTTTCAATGTTCAGTTCACATGTGCTCTTTGTTATAATAACAGAACTGATGCTATAAATTTGTTGAAAATAGTTTTTAGACAAAATTCCACAAAGAAACTCTTTCTGATTCTTATGAAGAAAATCGCTAAAAATGGCAGAGAGAGATCAACTACTCATTCAAGGGCTTGTAAAATGATTTGTATATCTCAAATCGGTAAACTTTTAATAGATAAATGTAGCCAAGATTAAAGGCTTCAATATTTTAAATAATACTTGACACATTAGGGTTGAACTTGGCGCTTGGGAGCTAATCTATTAAAAAGAAGAATCTAAATACTGAACACCATGTACAAATCTAAAATTGATAGTGAAGTGATAGACCGGAAAAACGAGGTTTTAGGTTTTAGGTTTTAGGTTTTAGGTTTTAGGTTTTAGGTTTTAGGTTTAGGTTTTAGATTTAAATGAGATTTTAGGCCAAAGCTTAATATAAGAATGATAAAATAAAGTAACTAGCAAGCGCTAATGTAGCTGATAATGCGTTTCAAAGTTTTCTAACTAAAACTTCTAACTTTCTAACTAACAAGCGCTAAATCCTAGAGAATAAACGACATGAAAATGGAATGGCTTAGATAAAATCAAAAATGTCTGGTTTTCTGATTGACTAAATGTATAAAGGTAAAAGCTTTGACATTGGGCGACCAAGTGGATAAATGGGAAAGGAAAGGAATGGTGAGGGAATGGATGAAAAGACTTCCGTTGACTTTCTTTCATTCAAGAGAATGGAAAAGCTTTGAAGGGTAATTATTCGTGCTTCGTTTACTCAACAAAAATCATTCAATAATGAGATGAAGAAAAAGAAAATGAGAGGCATAATTGAAATTATTGAAGAAACGGGTTTGTTTGCGAGCTGCTCATCAATCATTGACAATGAGATTGAGATTAGAAATCACTGATTATCATGTGACAAATGGATCTGTGATTGAGCTTTAAAGGCTTTTCGTATAGCAGAATTATTTAAATGTTCAAATTTTTGTTTAATTGTAGTCAAAAACAGTTAAACTAGCGCTTCGCTGTAATGTTTTAAACAAAAGACAGCAACAGGTTTTAAACAAAAGACAGTAAAAGGTCTGACTCTTCATCACTTGAGAGTTTTTATGCTTATGAATATAATGATATAATGACTGGAATGAAATACAACAAATACCCACTCCATCTCCATCGATATCTTCTGCACTTGATTGCATTTTCTGTGGTGCTTGATAAAGAAGTTTCACTCCTCCAACAGCGCGCACGTTTGGATGACCTGAAATGATAAAATAATTATTCAACGCTAAAGCTTTAACGATAAAGAGATGAATTTTATTTTTATGATAAATAAACGTCGAATAAAAACATAAGAAAGTTTTTTACTGACAAAAAGGTGACTTATCATAAATCTATCTGCAAAAAAAGTACATTTTTCAAGAATTCTTCAAGAATGCTAACTTTCAAGCTAGTTTTTTCTGGATGAGTGAATGGATATGGCTAAGGTGGGGGTAAAGTTGAGAGGAGTTTATTTCCCGTATATGTTCCTTAAAGGGATCTTTTCTAGAGGAGGTCGAGCGGCAAAAATTGAATCACCCACTTGTCCCCGTCCCTTCCCGTATCCTTTTCTATTTCTCTTTTTTTTGGCCCGTTTGGTTGATGTGGATGGTGAAAGAGAGTCATGTCCAGATAAAGTATGTCAGTTATTCAGTGTTGATTGGAAAATATGGAGCTACAGTTTGCCTAGAAAGCTCAACTTTTCTAAAAACAGAGAACTTTGAGAACAAATAAAGCTAAAGGTTCTTCCCGATGGTCAGTAAATTCTTATTTATACGTCAACCACACTCCCACGATCCTCTAAATGGCATCAGTTAAAGGAAAACTGAATTTCGGCTTTCAGAGAAGAGTAAGAAGTTTTAGGTATGCATGAGAGAGGAATTCTCAATTCTCACAAGTTTCTTTATATCGCCCACATTTCAGAAAAGAGGGTCAATCCATTATGCAAGCCATTTTCGAAAAGAGAGAAATCGTACTCAATAAGAAACTTTAAAGGAATGAGTTGTGAAGTTTGAGGTTTAGTAAAGGGCATGGACTGATGGGATGGTCATTCTTGTTGTAATCGGCAACTGGATAAAGTGCGGTTGAGTTTCACTTCAAAAATAGCTTGAGCTTGAGCTCGAGCTTGAGTTTAAAACAAGATTCCAAAAAAAAAAATCCATAAAAGTGTTGAATATGGAAAGAGGGAATCGGATTGAATGTGTGGAGAATGCTTTCTACTCAGTAACGGGTCTAATTAGATGAGATTCGGCACAAGGATATGTAAGAAAAGATTTTCAAAGATGGAGATTGCTTACTATTGAAGAGGAGATTTTGCGAGGTGTGTTTAGAGTTAAATAGATTGAAGTGAAAAAGGATTTTCTTCAAAAAAAATCCCAATGAACTCCCAACTTTGAGCCAACTATGAGACCTATGCTTAACGGTATTCTCTGAAAAGCTTTCTGAAAAGCCTTCTGGCAAGCGGTGTGTATGTGCGCTCAATTTGCATAGCCTAATGACCGGGTTCACACCCAATCGAGTCTTAGCTTGAAAATAGGTGAAAAAGAGAAGAGAAAATGAGTCAAAGTGAATGAATGGGTTGAGTTAGTGATGGGGAAAAGAAAGGTTAGGTGATTGGTGTGCATGTGTAGCAGAGAGGCTAATTGGTTGAGAGATGGGCTGTTGGGATTCATCAATGACCACTCAATGCACTCAATGGCAGCTCATCATTTACTCATCCCATGAGAATTGAATTCAAGCAGATTGTGGGTGATATTTATGTCTGGATCTAAGCTTTTTTTGAGAAGATAAACACGGAAAGCAATCAGCTAGAGGATGAGCAATTGTTGAGAGTAAAAAGTAGTGGGTTTTTTTGTGCAAAATTTGTTGATATGAGTCAGTTTGTGTTGATTTAAAGGGTGTTCAAAGAGAGCTTGCATAATTTAGTATTTTCGCTTTATCCAGGTTTTATTTATCCTTCACAAAAAGTTCAACTGCGAATGAAAACTTTATCAATGAAGGAGATCAATGAAGGAGATCAATGAAGGAGATCAATGAAGGAGATCAATGAAGGAGATCAATGAAAGAGATCAATGAAAGAGATCAATGAAAGAGATCAATGAAGGAGATCAACTTTTCCTCTTTCCTTCCCTTTAAACAGCTTATACACCAAGTAAAAGCTTTAAAAAGGCAAAAAAAAAGATCAACTTTTTGAGTGAGTTTTAAAAAAAGCTGTTACAAAGCTTTAGAAAAAGTTTCTCACGTTTATATCCTTCAAAAAAAAATAGATTTTGATAATTTGTTGAGACTTTCTCAATAGAGTTTGTTGAGTACAAAGCTAGAGTCCAAAGAAGGGAAAAAAATCAATTTGTGTTGCCAAAAGTGAAAAGAGAAAAAAAATGGGCACTTACTGGAGAATGAGGCCAAAAAGGATCAAAAAAAAAGGAGAAAGAGAGGATCTATTTCCAGTTTTTGTTTTTGCTATTTTTCTGCTCACAAATGGACACTAATTGCAATGAGCATTGAATGTTTTGAGTTGCAAACAAAAGGAAAACCAAACAAAATGGTTAAAAGGGTGAACTTTTTGGGTAAGTTGGTTGCTGATTACCTCACAAAATTGGATAGAAATATGTTAAAAGGTAATTTTGTAAGGAGGTTTGCTAAAAAAAATGGTTTTTAATTGAATTTGGCTTCATTTTGACACAATTTGAATTAAGAAGCAATATTTTTTGTTCTGAATGCCAAATGGTTAAAAGAATGATCATTTATAATATTCAGAATGTCTATTCCAAAATATACAAGTGTTCCTTCTCAAAACGGGCATCAAACTGCCACCAAATTGAGTGACGTGCTGATGGGTGAATGAAAAAGGACCAAGAAGAGAAGAGAAATATAGAGGGTGGTGTCAGAAATCATGGAAAATGCAGAAAAAAAAAAGGGGGGAAAAGAAAAGCCTTTTCTTCCAGAGAAACAGGAGATTTAGGGGAGATGATGGAGAAAACTGGTTGGAGAAAACTGGTAGAAGAAAACGGGGAAAGGAAAATTTGCTAAAAAGGTGCGCAAATCAATGTGTGTTTGGCCCTGGGCCTTATAAAACGGAAAGGGGGTTGTGGAAGAGGAGGAATGGGGGGAAAAGGGGCAAGCTTTGCACAAATCATAAGAGCGATTCGTCTTTGGCTCTCGTCGGCATACTAGAGCTAAAGCTTTGGAGAGAGTAGTGCGCGAAAGAGATTGGTTTATTGCCCACTCTCCACCCACACCTTATAAAGTCTTTTCTGGCTTGTGAAAGATTTATCTTTGACTTATCAATAAAGAAGTGAAGAAATTGGCAAGAGAAGGTAGATTTCTGGAGAGGGGATTGAACCCACGACTTTTCGCTTTCAAAGATTCGCGATCTTTCGCTTTCCGGGCAATTGCTCTAACCGCTATCCGGTAGCTTAACTTGTTAAGAGGAGGAAGGAAAGACAAAGGGGAAGAAGAAAGAAAGGAAGAAAGAAAGAAAGAAAGAAGGAAATATCTGGGTCTTTAGAGCCATCCTACTTAAAAATCAGAACCACATCTATTAGTAATAAAGAAGTGAAATTCAAAAAAGTTTCAATATAAAGTTCAGCACAGTTCCAGCCTTCACAATTAGCTTTCAGCTTCCACACTACGTTTAATCTTAAAAAACTCTTCAATTTTGAGCTACAATCTAATATTATAAAATTTACAATCTACAATCCTAATCTCAATTTCTACATTACCAAAGTGGCAATTTCACATTGGAAAACAAGGAAAAAAATTTTGGCAAGTGAGTAAATAGGTATGTAAAACTCGAAACTAGCTAGTTCTCGCATGTTTTGACCAAAAGATTGCCTCCTTAGCCTTTGCCTGATTCATTCCTTTCCATAGGTCTATCTCACCCATCCCATCTCCCCTCCACACCTTATAAAGTCCCGTTTCCCCTTTCCCCCCTTTTCCCCTTTTATCTCATGAAGTCCTCTAAAAGCTTCAGCCCATCTCTTTCACCGCAAAAGGAACTAAATTTCCCCATGGCTATCTCCAGTATACGAAGGCGTGGATTATTTACAGCTAAAATAAAAAAAGCTAATGAATTCTTTTTAAGCTTTAGAGATTTGAATTTGATTTTAAAAGTTGCTTGTGAAAAGTGAAAAATGGTTAAAATTAATGAAAATTTCATAGGCAATTGCTCTAACCGCTATCCGATAGCTTAACTTGTTAAGAGGAAGAAGGAAAGACAAAGGGGAAGAAGAAAGAAAGGAAGAAAGAAAGACAAAGGGGAAGAAGAAAGAAAGGAAGAAAGAAAGAAGGAAATACCTGGGTCTTTAGAGCCGTCCTAATTAAAAATCAGAACCATATCTATTCGTAATAAAGAAGTGAAGTTCAATTTCCCTCGGCTATCTCCAGTATACGAAGGCGTGGATTATTTACAGCTAAAATAAAAAAAGCTAATGAATTCTTTTTAAGTTTTAGAGATTTGAATTTGATTTTAAAAGTCGCTTGTGAAAAGTGAAAAATGGTTAAAATTAATGAAAATTTCATAGGAATAGCCCACGCGTTGCGTGATCGAGATTTCGAAAGGAAACTGGTATTTGGTAAAAGAAATTTGAAAATTTTGAGATAGAAAACAGGGTTTCTAGGGTCATAAACGTTAGCAATATATTAAAAGTCAAAGATTGAACGTTGGAATGGTTTTTGTGTTGGGTTTTCTTTTTGGCAAGTTAAGCCGTTCAAATCCCAGCACGTTCGGGTGCGCGTTTTCTTCTGCTTTTGACTAGTTAAGCTTGGATGATTGATGAAAATTTTGGGAGAAAAACGTCGAAGTAAAGTAAAGTAAAGCAAGGAAAAGTAAAGTAAAGCAAAGCAAAGTAAAGTAAAGCAAAGTAAAGTAAAATAAAGTAAAGCAAAGTAAAGTAAAATAAAGTAAAGTAAAGCAAAGTAAAGTCTTAGTTTGTAGTGCAGAACGGGGAAAGAAAATTGCAAAACATTTTTAAACAAAACGCTTTTAAAGCATAGTAAAATTGTCGAACTATTATAAGATCTTTATCTTTATACTTTTCAAACTCACTTACAAGAAATTAGCCAGCTTTCATAAGAGTATTGTAGCTAAGACTTTTAAATCAAAATTTGCTCATCAAATTAAAACAAAAATTTTTGATTAAGTATTCGTTTAATTGAAAAAGGGAAAAGGTGTGATGAATGAGAAAAGAATGAAAATAAAAACACTCGTCAAATAAGTGGCAAAGCTCTTTTGCTCTAGTTTTTCATAAGAGAAAGCGCATGAATCTTGAATGAGGGGGACAGGAAAGGACAGGGCAGACTGAAAGGTCGAGTCTGCCCTATTCTGGGAGTGGAAGTCTCAGTCGGAGAGGTCCCTTCAATTTCCGTATTTGACCCATCATAAATCTTAATCTCCAGCTGAAAGTCAGAAGTGTCCAAAGTCCAAAGCGGGAAAAGTCCGACTGCTTATCGTTTATCCTTTTACCCAGCTGACCCACCTTAAAATCGGGATATATTTTTAAAAGCGTCAAATAAAAAACGTTCAAAACAGTTCTGGTTCTGGAAACTGTTTAGATTTGTTTATTAGAAATTTCTCATAATCCGAAAAACCAAGCCGGTTCAAGTTTTATATCAAAAAATTCCTTCCTTTCTTGGCTAGATGATGGCTTAAACAGTTTTTAAAAAAAGTTAATATTTCATAGATAAAATTAGCGTTTAAAATAGATCTCAAAAAATCTACAGTTTTCTATTCTGGCGCCATTGTTAATTAAATCCCTTAAAAACCGTCAAAACTTCGTCAAAACAAGAATAAAGTCTACATTTGGAAAGTCACAGAAACAATTTCTAATTTCTAAAGAAACATGACTATAAGAAAATCTAATTCAAAGTGGAATTCAAGGCTCCAAAAGCTGCTGCATGAATCGTGGATGAGAGGAGGAGGACTCAGTCAGTCATTGGTCTCTTTCTCCGCCACACATCGCCGTAAAATGGCCATAGCGACACGCCGTAAATATTCGCGGAGCGGGGGGAATTCACCCCTTTTTCCTCCATTTTTACCCTCTTCCCATTTTGGAGAGTCTATTCGTGGGAAAACTCACATACACTTATCACATTATGGATGCGTTTGTGACCCAATTACGAATTTAAAAAAATTAGTTGAAAAAGGCTATAGACAAGGCTCAAGCCCAATTGGAGAAGCTAGTAATAAGAACGAAAGATTACTGCTCAATTTTTAAAAAAAAAACCTTGTGCATGTAGATCCAAAATCGAGAGCCCGTTGAAGTTCACTCCTCCAATGTCTCCCTCAAATGGGGCGATGATCTTGATTAGGTGGCGTTTCATTCTAAAGTTTAATTTGCTTGAATGGCTTTATTTTTTTCAAACCGATCATTGTTGAGCAGATGTTTTGCATTCAGTGCTGCACCGATCGAAATCCTCCATTGCATATTCAACGTGACGAGATCTTCGCCTAAATGAAAAAAAAAACATTTTGTATTTGATTTGCTTGAGCAATCAAATCGTTTTAAAGATAGGAATTATTTGAATATTCAACTAATCAATAGTTGTAGCTGATTTCCTTCAATCATTCACTATCAGAATTCAATTCTTTGTAAAAAAAATAGTTGGATATTTCATCAAACCTTTCTCGGGCCGGTATCGAATCGGAGGGTATTTGTCGATGATAGCAGTGATATTGGCATCGGCTCGGAAAAGCTAAAGAAATTTCTGTTGATAGTCAGATTATTGTAATGAATTGAAAACTAAATTATAAGTTTTAAAGTTTAAAACTCTGATGATGAACTTTTCTTCACCTTGACTACATGCACAGCTCCATCATTCATGGCTACATTCGAGAGTGGAAGAAAATGATCGACCGAGCCGAGATTGAAACGAACAACGAGTAGACCGTTTTGCTGAAAAATCCATCTTTAAAATAGCTCGACAATTTTAGTTCGTAGTTCTGCTAGCTCGTAGTTCTGCTAGTTCCTAGTTCTGCTAGTTCGTAGTTCTGCTAGTTCGTAATTCTGCTAGTTCCTAGTTCTGCTCGTTCGTAGCTCTGCTAGTTCGTAGTTCTGCTAGTTCGTAATTCTGCTAGTTCCTAGTTCTGCTAGTTCGTAGCTCTGCTAGTTCGTAGTTCTGCTAACTTCTTTTCAAGTACAAGTTTCCAAGTTGAACTTACTAGAAACAACGCCAGATAATCCCGATCAGCTAGACACTCGATGCTCAACAAGACTCCATCATTGGCTATGGTTCTGAAATCCGTTTAGATTTGTTTATTAGAAAACCAACTTGAAAGCCAGAACGGCGTAATCTTTCTCGGTTGATGGGCGTTCATTTTCCGAGTATTCATAGAAGATCACCGATGGATCTTTCGAGAAAGTATACGTTGTGGCTGCTGAAAGTTGAAAGTTCTCATTGAAAGAAGTTTTTCAAAGCAAAACCAAAAATGGTGAACTTGTAAAACTTGTTTACAGAGAAAAGTTCCAATTTCGAAGTTCTTCAATAGAAACAAGAACTCACGTTGGTTACATCGATCTCCCGCATGAGCTGTTAACGAACAATCGCATCTGATCGAATTCCATTGTTGAATGCATCGACCATTGTTAGAGCAGGCACCCGGAGAACACTTTGCAAGTGGTCCTAAAGAGATTTTTGTATAAAACTCAAAGAATGATGAAGTTTCAAGTTTGGAAAGGTGAAAGCAACCCAAAACGATTTCAAAGCGAAATTGTATATAATAGGCAAACGGAAATATTATCTTAATAAAAAGAAAGAAGATTTGTTTGAAATTGTGCTTTCATGCTTTGTGGAAAGTATTTTTTTTTCTGTGAGTACCCTGTTTTTCTTTATTGCGGTGACGACGAGAGGAGATTTTTGACACTAAAGAGTCTACATTGACACTAAAGAGTCTACATAGGTAAGAATCTAGGAATTCTTGAGTTCAGAACTAGTAGCCGAGGTGGAATTAGTTATTCTATAGCTATAAAATCATACCTTGACATCCTCTGACAACCAAATTGAGTTTATCGGCTTCATCGAGGATATCAAACACTTCGTCTCCAAGCCGCAATCCGGAGATACATCCGCGTAAGCCACGAGCTGTAGCGAGCCGGCCCGAAACTGGAGAAGATGGTGGGATTCCGGCTAAATACGTAATTATAAGTATAATCAATCAATCAAATTCAAAATTTTATCAAGTTATTTAGCACATTCAGTCAACTAACCCAAAAATGCGGTCCCGGTCAGCACGGCTCTGTGATGTTTCAGCTTTGTCAGCACTGATGTCGTGTTATCAACGATCAGATTGTGTTCCCCAGTTTTTGGATCCTAAATCGCAAGTTTTTGCATATACTAATTATGATTAATAAAATTTCAAAATGATGTTCTACCTGGTAAATAAGCAAAGTGTGCCATCGTAGGTCACTCAAATGATTGCCGAAAGGGAGAGTCGGCGAGGTGGCTGACTCTTCGCGAAGACCCGTTCGATATGTGTATCTTATTCTGAAAACAATCGAGTAAATCATTTTTGTTTTCTAAAGATTATTGAGCTTTTGATTTTCAAGCCAGCTTCAGTGTAGAGCGAATTGGAGGTATGTTTAGGGTGAAATTTGCGCTCAACACATGCAAATATGCAAATGTACTCTTTCTCACATACTCAAGTTGTTACAACATTGTGAAAATTAGAGTATCGGTACGCTAGACGTGATGTGTTTGCATCAAGCCCAAAGCACGTCCAAAAGCTCTAATCGATCGAAACTTGATCAAGACCAAAAACCAACCTTCCATGTATCAACTCGACTAGAATCGAGTCCAATTGCGTATCGATGCTGGAAGTAGCAAAAAGAAGAGCATTGCGTGATAAAGTTTGAAATTTGAAAGAAACCCGAAAATCGCCCCGAATGCGTGAAACCTAGATGATAAAATGATTGTTTTAAGTTGCAATTGGAAATGTTAGTTACCCGATGCGCAGAAAAAGTGACATAACCCGTAGTGTTTGTGAAAGAAACGGCTGGGGATTTCGTTTTGCTGGAAAGGATTCGATTTTCTATTAGAAATCCTGAACAAACATATTTCTTTGGCCTTTGCTTTCCTTGCTGGAAGTGGTGCCGAGAAGTTTGTTCTCTTTTCTCAAAATGGTCAAGAGATCGAGGTGATTGAATTTGGCAGATGTCATCTGGAAATGGTCAAAAAAAAACTTTGACTCTAACAGTTCCCTATATAAAATTTCTTTTATTTTATGAATTTAGAGCTCATTTACATCTTAACGAGTCTGAATCCAATACATAACTTGTTTTTAGGGTTGCTATAGCAAGTTTACAGAGCGAGTAAAAAGAATCTTCTTGTGGTTTATCGAAAAGTAGCTGTGATCGTTGTTTTTATAAGGGATCAGCTATTGTAAATCATTGATTTTATCTAGATTTGTCTAGATTTGTCTAGATTTGTCTAGATTTGTCTAAATTTTATCTAAATTTTAATGCTTTAACTCACTTGTCCCCTGAATGGCTCCTCTCCGGAGTCTGTGTGAATCGATTGTCCCAGGCTCAACTCATCGACTTCAAGCACCAAATCGTGAGATGGAAGAAAATCTGAATTTGAATTTGAAAAACGATATTTATACAAAAAAACGATATTTATACAATCATTGTTACTTTTCTGGGGAAAAAAACTCACAACTGTGCTCCCATTTCCCATCCAAATATAATAGCAACCGTTCTCCTCTTCTCTTCATTCTCGCCTCGTGCCATCGATTATCGTGCAATCCTCGTCCCCAATTGAATGTCTAAAATTAAAAATATATAGATAAATTGAAAAAAAATTGGCATTAGAATGATTTCAAAAAAGACAAACATGTTTCCCGCTTCCAAAGTTGAAGAAGAGCTCGAGTTCACCACTCGAAAGATTCACAACTAAGCGATGTGTTCGATTGGACACCGATCGCGTGTCCAACAAGATCCCTCTTGGTGTATCGGTCTAAAAGCAAAAATTCGGAAAATTTGTGTTTTTTGAATTACTTTGAATCGAAATTCGATACTTTCCGCTTCACTAGCCATTACTGATGGGAGAACAACGGAAAGGGGACGATCCCCGGTGAGACTCGCAATCAATGGCTCTGAACAAGAAAATCAACGTTATGTACTTTGTGCTCTCAGAGCGCAAACGCGCGTTTTCTGGCACGTGCGATTTGTTTCTCGACCTTTTAGGGTTTATCAAAAACGGGAGAGAATAAGTAGACTAGGTGACAAGTGTTTGTAAAGGCACAAAGTACAGACAACACAGTACGAGTTCGAAGAAAGACGCTTTGAAGTGTTGGTCTTATGACTAGTTTTTCAGGGTAATTAGGATTTCGTTTCTTTTACAAACCTTCACTACACGTCGCTCCCTCCATTCCAGTGCTGCTGCAATCACAGTGAAAACCGGCAAATCCGGACTCGCAACGGGCAAAGTTCTGGCATGGATTCCCCTCGCAAAAGTCGATTTTGTGAGAATTTGTGCATCCCATTGAGATTCCTACAAGATTTATTTACAAGTTTTGGTTTAGAAGGACGGGGATTTGTGGCAGGAATACAGCTCGCCAAACAAGTGCCTCGGTGGTGCAGTAGTAGTGGCGCTATCTCCCGTTTTTGGCATTCGAGTTTGATCCCCATTGGATCAATTTTTTCAATTTTTATTGCAATGTTTTGAGCAGTAAAGTTGTATTTTTTATTTTTGTATTTTGAGTATCTTTAGCTTCGATTGCATTCTTTTGCAAAAGAAGCCTTTTTGTATTTCTATTATCACATGGTGCGCAAAAAAAAAAAGGTCGCATTTGTTCCACCCCCATTTCCATTATCACAATATCAAGAAAGATCTCAAGAAAGTTCACTTATGTGGAAAGGACAAGAGATAGAGCTTTTCTGAAAATTTGCAAAGTTGTTTGTGCAAGTTTACAAAAAAGTTTTTGCTTTTTGGGGTAAAAATTCTCACGATTGCCAATCTAAAAGGAGTTTCTTTCCCTTTTTGTTTTTCTTGCGGAACAATGCTTTGCGAAAGAATAAAATCGAAGCTAAAGATACTCAAAAAACTACTCAAAATACAACTTTACTGCTCAAAATAGCTTAAAACAAATAAAAATGCGAAAAAAATTGATCCAAGGGGGATCGAACTCGGATGGAAAAAATGAAAGGCAGCAGCACTGTCACTGCACCACCGAGTCACTTGTTTGGTGAGCGACGGTAGCCCTTAAAAAATACACCTTTAGTGCTCATAAGTCATTCAGTGCACTAGGGGGTCAAATTTCAAATGCGTTTACAGAAATCTAGAGCGTTTAGGCAAAAGCTAAAAATGTCATCGTGTTGCCCGTGTCCGACTAAGCCATATAGTTTTGCGTAAGTCATATAGTTTAGGTTCAGATTCGCGCTTGCGAACTCTGACCGTTCCCCTAGGTTGAAACTGAATTGAAAAGCTGAGTTTCATCTTTTAATACCCGATAAATTCATGATAAATCGATTTACTTTAATCATTTCTACAAGAAACTTCAAAAAATTCTATTACTACATCCATCTATTAATAATTTAATTTTAGTGAGAATCGGTTCTAATTTAGACCTCTTCTTTAAAAAAGAACTTCAAAAAGAAGATTGAATAACGTAATCCAGACAATCTAGACTGAATACCCTAATCTAGCTATTCTAGACTGAATATCCCATTCTGGATTGAATACCTGAATATAAGTCAGACAATCTAGACTGAATACTCTTGCCTTTTGGATTTTGTTGCTCGAAGATTGTCGAGATTTTCGCTGAGATCCCATTGAAGCGCACGTTTTTGATACAGCCGACAAAACCTTTGCTAAAATATAAAAATTATGGAAAGAATAGAAAAATCTGCTATCGATTTTAAAAACGAAATCAGTACCGCAAAGTGATCGACCAAACCGAGGACGGAAATTTTCGCTTAGCGTTGAGATCAAAGGGCAGGGCGCCAAGGTAGACTGGATCGTCTGAAAAAAAGAAATTTGTTTTCAGCTTTCAACTAGATGCTATTTTTTTCAAACACTCACCAACAATGAGATTCGCCGAGACACCGGGCGTGTTGAAGTCGGTTTTCACCGAATCGACAACCACATTTCCGGTTCTTCCAACTCGCTCGAATAACACCGAATGCCATTGCGATGGGGAATCGGTGACACGCTTGGATGTTGTCTGAAAATTATTTCTATTCTAAATTTTATACCAAAGATTAGGTACATCAACAGGCTATCAAATATCAAACTTTATGAGCAACTTTATGCTTTGAGCAAAAATCCTTATCATAAGTTCTTTTAGCCTAGAATAAACATGAAAAAAATTCCAAGTCAAACCTAATTCCACCTTTGTTTTCTCGGGTGATTGCTTTGAAATTTTGTCTACAAGCTGAAAATCTCGATTTCTATCTGTAGACAAAATTTCAGAGCAATCGGCCAAGAATCGGCCACGAAAACGAAGGTGGAATTAGAATTTTTCCCATATCTAGTTTTGAATGAACCTGCAATCTCACGTGTCCACTCCCCAGATCAATCACAAAGAACAAATGCCCGTCGATGAGCTCAAAAGCGACAAAATCCGATGAAGAGGCCACATCTCCGTGGTACAAAAGGAGGCCATCGGGTTCGGAGGTTCGAAAGTGAAAACCTAAACCGACTATAGAGTATCAATTTTTTGAATTAAAATTTTCAAAATAACCAACTAATGCTTCCACTGGCGAGGGAATTCCATTTCGGCAGCGCGATGAACGAATCGCTTGTGTTGAACGAGAGGACATCGGGTGGAACTTGTGGATTTTTGCAAGAAAACGCGAGCTCTCCTCCTGTTCGAATCACCGATTCACCAAAACCCTCATCGGCCAAATTCACAAAAATCACTTGTTGGGCGTCGGCTTCGTACTTGATCTAAAATTTACTTTTTATCAGTTTGGCAAACAAATATTTTCGCCCTTTTTCATAATTTCCACGAAATAACGAAAATAACGTTAAAACAGGGGGAGTGGGACCAATGCGACCTTTTTTTTGCGCACCCGGACCTTTGCGCACTTTTTTTTCCGCACCTTGCCCATTAGCGCACCTTTTTTCGCGTTTTAAAAAAGCTCTAAAAAGCTAATATTAACCAATTTCTATTCCAAAAGTTGTTTTTCTAGGTAATTTTAGGGCGTAGAATCGAAATTTTGACATATCAGAGCTTGTGGGAACAAACGGACGGAGTTATACAAAGAGAAAAATCGACAATTTTCTGTAATTTGATCTAGCCGTTTTGTCTTTCAAATTTGTCTTTCAAATTGGTTCCACACGCTCTGTTATGTCAAAATTTGAATTCGACACCCTCAAATTACCTAGAAAAACAACTTTTGGAATAGAAATTGGTTAATATTAGCTTTTTAGAGCTTTTTTAAAACGCGAAAAAAGGTGCGCTAATGGGCAGGGTGCGGAAAAAAAGGTGCGCAAATGTCCGGATGCGCAAAAAAAGGTCGCATTTGTCCCATTCCCAAAACGGGTTTTAAATGTCTTATGATTTTTTGGGAGCATGAAGTCGGGTAGTCAAAAAGGGCGACGGCTCGATGATGCGGTTCAGACACTTTGGCTAAGGAAACCTATCTTCGTGCCAATAGATAAAAGATAGAGCACAAAAATTTAGGTATACAGACAAATTTTCAGAGAATTTCAACCAATTTCTTCATAGAGATTTCTATAGATTTTTACGAAAAATCTGTTTTCGCATTTGGATTTTTTACTTACTAGACTTACAAGTCTAGTAGTAAGAAAAGGAGTTTGGTTTCCTCGTAGGTTTTGAGATTTGCAAAACTTTCAATACTAGCCGATTTGTCAAACCATTGAACCCGTGTAGCGCCTCAGATTTGTCAGGGCCGCGCGAACGCGGCCCCTCACGCAAAAATTTCGCTGTTGCCGAACCCCGACTTGGGGTGGCACACAGGTCAACCCAGCCGCAAAGTGCAATGGCCGAGTCTCGCCATGGAGGAACCGCCTTGGTGATCGCGATTGCCACACCAGCCAAGTAAGTTTACGCGCTGTATCTTTTTTCCTCTCCTAGGGTGGCCGTGTGCCAGAGAGAACGCGATTACGCGCGCGTACAAAGAACGCAGAAAGAGCCGTTGCCCCTTTTTGCTCTTTCTTTCTTTTCTTCTTTTCTCACCTGCCGCATACAGCCACGAAAAGACTTTGAACGGCCACCCTCACGAGGCATTTTCTCGCGAGGAATCCCGCCAACGAATGCAAAAGAATTGCCTAAATAAGTTGTACATTTTTGAAGAGAAAAGTTTTATTTTTAGAAACTTCAATAGATGTTTTGTTTTCTATAGGAAAAAAAGCGCATTATAGCTTTTGCTCGCCAAACTCTGTGAGTTTTTACTCGCTATAAACATAATATCATTTTTCTCATAAGCTTTTCCGATATTGTGCGGAAAACCTCGGAAACTTATTTAATGTTTTGTTGAATGCGTTCTTTTGGCGTTCTAAAAGTCGCTTTTTGATAAAGGGACGGATAAAGGGACGGGCCCACTTTTGCCTTTCTTCTTTCCGTTTCCTTTCGTTTGCTTTTTCGTTTGCTTGAAACACTGAACCAACGTTGTTCTATTCTTTTGTTTTTCTCGCTAGATTAGTATTGTGCTAGATTTGGAATTATCTAATAATCATCGTCCCCATCGGTATTCTCTCACACTGCACAGATATAATGTATTGCCCACCAATTTTGAGGTTGGACAATTTATTCAAAAACCAGTGTAGAAACTATAAACTAATTGAAAATTGTCCAGAATGAAAATTTATCAAAAATTTCTCCTTTTAAACACGATTAACCATGAACTAGCCCTTGGCGGGTTACGGTAAACAGCTTATAAACAGCTTATAAACAGCTTATACCATCTTCACTCACCAATCCAATCAGTCTCTGGCGCATATTGTCGAATCTCATCTCTTTGCCCATCAACCGTCAACACCAACTGAATTTTGTTTCTGTGATTTCCGATTTCCTCATCAAGCAATCGATAAAATCTTTTGATAAAATCACTCCCAAACATGGCCAAATCTTTGTAAAGGGTTCAAAAAAGAAAAATTTGAAATATTCAAATATTCAAATCTATCTTAGAGGTTAGACCAAAGCGACAAAAAAACTAATATTGAAAAACTGAAAAAAATAACTTCAAATGCAGAAAAATGAGATGAATTTTGAGGAAATCCCTCAAAATCGATCACATTTTACAAGGAGAAGCGGAAAAAAAAGACGGAAAATCTCTGCCGGAATCAGTTTTTGGCCAGGAAAACTTCGGGGAAAACTTACGTGAATCGCGGAAACTTTTTCGGAATGCTAAATGATTTGAAAATGATATGAAAATGATTTGAAAAGCAAATTTACAAGCTCATTTCTCAAAACAAATCGACAGCTATAGGGCATTCTTTGGTTATTTTTGAAAATCGAGCTATTCATTTGTTAATTGGGGATTTTTTTTTCTACAACTTGCCTTTTCTATAGTGACTGGAGCCTGGATAATTGGGAAATAGAAGTGGATCGGAATTAGCGGGGGAAAATAAAATCAATTGTTACCATGTGAAGACTTCGATCGACAACGATTGAATGCCATAGATCGTCATCATATCGGCCTTGATTGATGCTGTTGAACATTCGAACCTGAACTGTTTAGTTGCTGTTAGTTTTTGTTAGCTTTTGTTTGCTATTGTTCACTTTGTGCACTTTGTGCTTAAACAATTGTAAACACAGTCTTTCTGATGCACTGAAAGCTTCATTTTCTTAAAAAAAGCTTTATTTTCTTAAAAAAAGTCTCATTTTCTTAAAAAAAGCTTTATTTTCTTAAAAAAACACATCCATTTCCTCTATTTTTCATAAAAAAAAGCTTAAAAAGCAAATTCGAGATACTAAAAGCTAGGAGAAATTGTGTGTGCCAAAAGGCTTACCGTAAATACTGTAATAGTACCCTACCCCCATCATGACAGTGCGGAGTGGCTAGCTTAGCTAGGCTAGCTTTGAAACGAGACGGGAGTAGGCTAGCTTTGAACGAGTTTTTCTCGACATTGGTTTATGCTAAAATGCGCGCTTAGGTATCAAAAAATAGCCCTGAAATTCAGCTATTTTTTGATACCAAAGACGCATTTTTTGAAAGTACGGGCGCTTTGAAACAAAAATGAAATACTAAAAAACTTTTGCGACTACGCGACTGTACGGCGGGCGTGGGGTATTATTACAGTATTTACGGTATGTTTACTTTTTTGAACAATGAATATTTTCCGTCATAGAAAAAGAGTTCAACTCTTGAAATCCAAACCATTCTCTGCTCAGTTCCCTCGAATTTCGAATAAGCATGCACTGATCCGTCTTCAATCGAGATTTGCAAAAAATTCTGAAATTAGAAAGATTAATAGATTAATAGCTTAGAAAGATCAATAGTTTACCGAATCATCTCCAGCAAAGAATAGTAAAGCCTCTCCATGCACAGTTTTGAACAGCAAATGTATCGTTTCCCGTTTTGTTCTAAAGTTTTGTTGATAGCCGACTGGCTAAGAGCTTGTATTTTAGTCGAGAGGTCAAGGGTTCAATCTCCGGCTACAATCCTGCCGGCTACAATCCTGCCGGCCACAATCCTGCCGGCTACAATCCTGCCGGCCACAATCCTGCCGGCTACAATCCTGCCGGCTAGATTAGTGCTTCTTCCATCTATTTTTCTTCCAGTTTTTCTCTACATTTAGGGCTTGTATTTGTGTATTTTTTGTTTCATGTTTTTCGTTTGAATAAGTTGAAACTTTTAGATGAATTTAGAAGTGTATTCACCGAATTGGTGCCGAGGTGAAATTCGAGACATCGTATCCAACCCATTCTTGGCCAAAGAATGAAAGCTCTCCATCGGGTCTTTCTGAATTGTTCATTTTAGTGATTTGGGCATGTTTATCAACTGTTTATTTGATCTTTCAAATTCTTTTTGGTACCGTTATACCTCCCCAGTTTTCTCCTATTGCATCAATACCGTTATGCCTCCTCAATCTACTTTTTATCTACTCTTTACTATGGTAATCTAGAAGTACAATCTTGTGGACGTTTACAAGGATTATCCACTCAAGGTTCACATACAAGAATTAATGACTCTAACGTTTGTGCATCCTGTTCATGTGAAAGTTATTTTCATTTCTTGGTGAATGAAGGGCTAAATTCAATACCAAACCGCTCTAACAGATATGAGACTTTTATTGAATGTTCAAAATTTGATTTTAGCCCTCTACACCTTTTTCCTACACCTCTACACCTAAACCTACACCTCTACACCTTGCTATATCAATCACGTTGCTCAATGTCGTTATGGTCTACCTCTAAATCCTGAAAGCTGGAACTCATTTGACTCAATATTACAAAATGAACAAATTGGGAGTTCTTCTCAGGGCAAAGCAAAGCACAAGATATCATGCAAAGCACAAGGTTAGTGCTTATTGTGGGTTTTCTATTGGTCTTAATTCAGGACAGGCTCAATATGAGATCTAAAAAGAACCGTATTGGAACCGTATTAGATCCAAAAAGAACCGTATTGGAACCGTATTGGAACCGTATTGGAACCGCCACAAAACGAGGAGGTATAACGGTAAAGTATCCTCTTTTTTCTGAACTCAAGATTCATTCACAAACAGTCTTTCAACTTTAGCACAAAAAGCTTTACAATAAGCCTTTAACTTCAGAGGAACTGTTATCTAATTATAAGAACGGAAAAAACAACCCGGTTTAGTATTATTTATTCGAACCCACTTACTGGCTTTGCAAAGATTTCCATAAACTCACCCGATTCACACTTAGGTCCCTCATGATCGGTGGCCGAGCAATCGCATTTCGGTCCATCATTCGTACTGTAGCAAGTGCCCTGATTTTGACAGACAAAGCTCTCTCGATAGGAATTCTGAAAAAAAACTTTCACCAATTGTTCCCAAATCCCACAAAGACACCCAAAATTAGCTAAAACACACAAATAAAAAACCCCCAGCTCTACTTATATAAAAAAAAAAGATTACTCCAGCCGGATCGATATAGAAGAGACGTTTCCTCTTTATTTTTAATTTGATTTAAAAGATGAGAATAAAAAAAAAACAAAAGCTACCAGTGATCCTTTACAATGATCCTCATCATTTTGCCTTGTTCCAAAAGCTTCCAAAAGTTGTGGTGAAGTGACTCCTAAAAGTTTGCATTTGATTAGGAAAAGCGAAAGCAAAGATAAAAAAAAAACATTGGTTTTGATCGTGCAGATTTTCGCTAATACATAGAAAATTTTCAAGCAAATTGTATTGTAGCTTTGTTTAGGCAAAAAAGAATTTCAAAGCATGGTTTTTTCAGCCAAGGTTTACCCAAAGAAAAAAAGACAAAACGAGTTACGGTACTTGGGTGCGTTTTTGTCTAAAAGTTTGCCCCTTTAGGGATAGGCTAATTTCCGCCATTTCATTTGCGCAAAAGGGTCATTTGCGCAACTGGGTCATTCGATTGTCATTCGTTTGTCATTCGTTTCGTCGGTGAAGTTTAGAAGGACGAGTGGACCCAGTGAATTTCTGGACATTGCTCCTAGAGATCAGAAAATCAGTAGGCATAAAATACAAAGGTTCGTACCCCATAGCATGATCGATCCGCCACCAAATTTAACTGTAGGACGCGAGTATTTAATGTTATAACGTTGTCATTCGATTCGTCGGTGAACACAACATTGGCCCAATCGTGCGACGTCCAACTTTGATACTTCTTAGCAAACTCGAGACGAAGCTTCCGGTGCTTAGCTACCATCAGAGGCTTTTTGGCGGCCCTTCTAGTCATCAATCCACCGCGAATCAGGCGTCGACTCACTGTTTTTCGAGAAATTTCTTTGTTAAATCGTTGCTTCACCATAGCCACGCCATCAGAGGCATCAGAGGCATATTTACGCAACTCGCCATAACTTTTTTCTAAGTGAACCAATCTTTATGATTTTGGTTTCATTTTGTAGATCTCGATAAGTGCAACAAAACGACACCAAAATCATAAAGATTAGCCGAACGATTGTGAAGTTTGTGAAGTCGAAATTGAAGGGCAAACTATTCGGATCAAAAGTGGAGCTTTGGTACTTCATCCGTCGAGTCTGGACAACTATTGAACCCCAAATTCTACGTGATCTGGTTGACAGCATGCCAAGGAGAATTCAAGCAGTAGTTGCGGCTCGCGGAGGACCTACTAAGTATTGATTTCATAACGTTTTTCTCACATGTTAAAAGACTTTTGTCCATCAATTTTTGGCCCAATTTTTGTTTTATTAAAAAGTTCATGGCACCTTAAATTGTTAAATCGATCTTTTTGTAATGTTAAAATTAGAGATAATAAGCTCTTTAAATCTTTTAACCGTTTGCAAATTGCTCGGATTTGGACCAAGATATACAAAGAACAAACTTCTCGAGAAGTACAAAATGAAACCAAAATCATAAAGATTGGTTCACTTAGAAGAAAGTTATGGCGAGTTGCGCAAAAGACTCAGTTGTGCAAATGATCCTTTTTGCGCAAAAATTTGGCGCAAAGTAGCCTATCCCCCCTTTACCATAATCCGTTCAAAAAAAATGTCAACAAATAATAAGAGAAGAAGGAGGTACGGTATATTGATTGTCATATTCATTTACCACTCTGTGACACATTCCACGGCATCTCTTCTGCAATTGGCACGCCTGCTTGTGGTTAGAGCTTAGATTTTAGAGAATTTTTCTCGAATTCACAATGTTAGTTTATCAATAGTACAGTAAAAGATCGAATTTGTCAGAATCTGACTTGTATTTTGAGTGATAAACGCTCTCTGGTGCACCTTGGGTTGTGCCAGACTGGATGCGTTTGCAAGCACAAAGTACAAGGCTGATTTTAACATCTCAAAAGCCAGGCAAAGGTTTCTCGATGAGTTTTCTTCAAATTTCAAAATACCCTGTGGATAAAGACGGTAGAGAAGATTGCGAACGTTGACGGCTAAATGCCGGGTGTGCCGTCGCAAAGGTGATGACATTGTGGGCAACATGTGCAGATCCTGGAAGTGATTTGAGTAAATATTATTGACAAGGGAATGGCAACAAGGTGTGGTGGTCAAATGACATCAGCCATGTACTAGCCGATGTCGAATTTTGCGCTGATTCCAAATCTGATTTCCGTTTTTGCAACGCAGCACTCTGTCAAAAGTTATCAGCGCTCAAAGTTTTGTATGAAGTCGCAAAAAAATAAACTCTGAAGTTATAACGTAACTTACCAGAGAGAAAAACATGTCATGATAGCCGAGTGGCAGTAGGCTTGAATACGAAGTTACCCTAGTACCCTATGACCCTAGGGAAGTAGGACCCTAGGGTTCGAGTTTGACTTTTGTTCTAGCTTCTTTTAATTTTGAATGTTTTGAGTTTTTTGGCGATGTTGGATGGTCACCATTAGCTGTATATATATCCAGAGCAACGGTGTGCCAGATGCTATAGATATAGACAGAGAACACTCAAAAGATTCAAAGCTAAAAGAAGCTAGAACAAAAGTCAAATACCGGATTCGAACCCTAGGGTCCTCGCTTCGTATTCAAGCCTACTACCACTCGGCTTTCACCTTTCAAGCCTACTATCATGGCATCTTACCCTCGCTGGTAAGTCAACTTAAAAACTCAGAGCCGTTTTCTGCGATTTCATACAAAACTTTGAGCTCTGATAACTTTTGACAGATTGATGCGTTGCAAAAACGGAAAGCAGATTCGGAATCAGCGCAAAATTCGACATCGACTAGTATATGGCTCATGCCTTTGACCCCCACACCTTGTTGACATTCCCTTGTGAGTTAGTGTTGATTCTGATTGATTTGATAAGCTTGACTTTGCCCTACTTTTCTTTTCCCAACTCCCTTTATGAAATGAAAGTTGTTCAATGAAGCCGGAAGCGCTCTGTTTTGAGGGAAAAGATATGAGGAAAGAAGGATCTCTTTGAAGGGATTATGACATTGATAAATGCTAATGGAAAGCAATCCCTAGAGAGACAAACACACGCATTTCAATGGATAAAGAATGGACAAAGAATGGACTGAGGAAAAGGCGATGTGGACTCGAGCCCGTGACCTCTCGCTTACCGGGTGGACTCTCTACAAATGAGCTACACCGGCACGTGTCCCATTGCTGACAGATTAGAGCCTTATGCCTTACTGTTGTAGGTGTGGGTAAGGGAAAACTATTCTTAAATTTCATTCTAGAAATTCCAACCTTTGGCAATCCACCAATGAAGACATCCGAATTTTTGAGTAAATTGCCGAAAACGAAACTCCGTTGGTACAAAATGCGAAAAGCCTTCGTTTGATCGAGCTCGATTTTCACATTTTCCCAAGACTAAAAGCAATGATAAGGCTAGAAAATTGCAAGAGCTTGCTAAAGAATTGTTATTTGTCAAAAAAATCTTAACAAACTTGAAAGATGCTCAAAGTGTGCCATCGATCATCATCCACTCTCACGTCCTCGATTCGAATTGTGTTCACTGGGCGTTTACCAGGCTCGTTCGCGTTATCGCCCAATCTAGAGAAACATCAAATAAAGGAAGTTTTGGTCAATAATTAGCTTATTTCCTCAATTGGTTTATTTATAGAATCTTTCAGGAATACGGAAAACTCGGATTTTAACTAGTAACTATTGGGTTGGTGAATTGAAAACTGCGGGCTATTGTCATATGTGACAGTTTGAGCACTTTCTTCAAAAGAAACCCATTTTGGTGTCAATGGAAAAGTTGTAGAGAATCAAAAATCAAGCTTATATCCAAATTTTCAGAACGATTCAAAAACTGGTTTTCAAGAAATGCGAAATTTACGAATTTTCACAAAACTTGCATTTTAAGCGAAATTACTAAGTGTATCTTTTTGGAAATTTGGCTATAAGCCTAATTTTTGATTCTCTACAACTTTTCTATTGACACCAAAATGGGTTTCTTTTGAAGAAAGTGCTCAAACTGGGACATCTCCAGTACTCCATTTGTCTCACACACAAACCAAAATCCTACTACGAAAGAGGAATCCGCAAATTGCCTGTAAAATGGGCAGAAGTCGTCAATAATAATGGAAATGATTTGGAATGAATTCATGGTTTTATGTTGAATAAATTTTCGTTCAAAGTCCGGCAGTTTTCAATTCAAAAGATTTAGATTGAATCTAAATCGGACGCCCGATATAGACTGTAATCTAAATCGGACGTCCGGGATAAGTTCAATCTAAATCTAAATCGGACACAACATATACATAAAAAGATATGAATTAATTGTTTTCATCTACAAAGAAGAGAAATACGAGCCTAGAACGCACTATTAGGACGGGTTTTTTTTCCGGTCAGTAAAAGCAAAAATCAAAACTTTTACCGAAAGTCCAACTGAATTTTTCCATCAGCTATTGTTAAAGCATAGAAATTCCCGTTGATCCCTCCATCATCTGTGTATAGAAGAAGGCCATCACTTTGTTTCGTTTTCAGCTCGAGCGACAAAGAGTTCTCATAGGAATGAGCCCATTTCGGATAACTGAATCGAGCTGTTTCGAGGTGATAAGCGGAAGAAAAACCAGCCCTAGTCAATACAAATTTCAAAGAAGATTTCGTTTTTTTTTTTTCTTTTAATTTAAAATCCCATTTCCTTACCGTGCATACGAGTTTGGACCACCGCTGAGAATGAGGCCATTTAAAGATTGAAAAAGAAGGCATAGCAAAGGGATTTTTAGTCTGAAAATTAAGATTTTCTATCAAAAATGATGAATTATTGTTAATAGACAATATAATATTTAACTTTTTCAAAATACTTACATGAATAGGAATAATTTAGGCTTCATGTTGCCGTGCCGGTCATTCTACAGGCCTGAGAAATCTTCTGGAAAGAAAGAAATGGCTCAAGCTCTAAAATATTGCAAAGATTTGATTGATTTTTCTTTGATTTTTTTTGATTTTCTTTGATTTTCTTTGATTTTCTTTGATTTTCTTTGATTTCAAAGGGATTTTAAAGAAATTTAAAGAAATACTTGTTGAATACTTGTTGAAAACAAAGAACAAAGAGCAAAAACGTTGAAAACAAAGAATTACACGATTCAAAAGCTTTCAATGAAGAAAATTTTGAAACATTGAATTGAATAACATTGCTTTAGATGGAATTCGTCTCTTTAAATCTCTTTAAATCCCATTCCTGTCTATTTCCTTTTTGCTCCAGTGTGTCCTCCAAGACTAGTTTATAAAAAAATTATTGCAACGTTCCTTGGCAACAATCCCATTTAAAGCAAAGAATAGACGAAGAACAACAAAAAAAAAAGGCAAAGAAATTGCACAAATTGAGGCCAAACAAGGCAACTTCTAGGAGAGAAAAAAGGGAAACGAACGAATGAATGAAATTCCTGTTTGATACCTGAAAAAGAAAAATGTATATGGTGAAGAGTAAAAGATGATTTATGCAATAGGAAAATGGAGAAGGGTATAATTTGAAGCAAGGAATTTGGTCCGTCAACGGAAAAAAAAAAGATTTGTATAATGAAGAGATCAGGTGAGGGAGTGATGGAGTATGATGAGAATTTGATCCAAGTTAGCTTTGATGGAATCAAAAAAGAATAGACAAGTAACTAGCTTGTGGAAAACGATATTTAGATATGAATTTCTATTTAGATATGAATTTCTATTGTGCCCAAACAAGGCCTGAACTTGGCCTTAACTTAGTTTGGATGTGGTACTGGTTCTGACCTAGTTCTGGCTTTGATCATGACTTTGGTTTGGCTTTGCTCATGGTTCTGGTTTGGCTTTGATCATGACTCTGGTTTGGCTTTGGTTTGACTCCAAACTATTCCTTTTCTAGCTTTGATCATAGTCTCTAAACTATCTCTTTTCTGGCTTTGATCATAGTCCTAAACTATCCGTGATCTTGGCCAAACCTAGCTTGGTCCAGCCAGGCCAAACCTAGCTTGGCCCAGCCAGGCCAAACCTAGTTTGGTCCAGCCAGGCCAAACCTACCCCTAGTACTGCTTCTGGCCTGGTCCTGGCTTGAGCAAATGATAACACAAAATAATGAATGATATAGATGGATATAAACCTACGTTCGTGACAAGTTCTAGTTCTAAGCAGACCATCTATACCTACATAATGTTCAAAGTTCAGCTTCTCTAAATCCATTCTGCCTGTCAATCTCCCCAAGCCTATCGAGTAATTTATCTCCCCTCGTTTTTGCAATCCTTTTACTTAAAAAAAACGCTAAAATCCTGCACGAACAACAACTTGAGTTATAAAACTAATTGAAGAAAAAAAAAACCCCAAAGCAATCAGGGTAGTCTATATGAGATTTGACTTGCCATCCTTCAAATCCATGCCCTGATTCCCTAGGGATCTCGAAAATCGTTGAATCCAAGGAAAAGTAAAAAGATTTCCTCGGCAAAGGAAATCCTTTGCGCATTTTTTTTCTTACTTCCACAAGTGTGAAACATGGATCTCTGAAGGGGAGAAAGAGGCGTTTGTCTTCGTTTTTTTTTGACAATGAAATGGGTGAACGGCCATCCATCGACTAGACTAGGGCTTTCGGATGAATATTCTCAATATGAAAAAAAGTTCTAGAAAAATGGAATAGATCAAATGGAAAGGATCAAAGATTTTCGAATCATCACCGAATCATCTCCGAATTCACAGTACTACTTTCTATTTTATTTAAGTGATTCGGATGACACTAAAAATCATTTAAATCATTTAGTGAAATCATTTAAACGTGCACAAGTGAATTAATTATTGAGACACGGAAATGGTTTGGACTTAAATAAATAAATCTAAATAAAGAAACATTTACTTCTTCAGCTCTTCATTTATATGGAATATCCAAAAAATCTCTTTCAAGAAAAGAATCGACGTGGTGGAGAGTGCCAAATTGGCGGAAGAATCGCATAAATCGTGAGTGGAGAGGCCTTTTTTGCGAATTGAGAAGAGAATCTCCTTTCTAAAGGGGAAAATTGAAGGAAAAAAGTGCAGAAAGAGCACAAGATGTGTAAGGAAATTGCGTAAAAGCTTAATGTTAGGGTTTCTTCAAAAGAAACGCATTTTGGTGTCAATGGAAAGTTGTAGAGAATCAAAAATGAAGCTTATATCTAAATTTCCAAAAAGATACACTTAGTAGTTTCGCTTAAAATTCTGTGTGTGTGTTCTGTGTGTTCTTTCTTTGTTTCTTTTCTTTGTGTTCTGTGTGCGCAATCGCTCGTCGTCTGGCGCAGGGCTTTTACATAAGCCCCTTCCCTCTCCCTTTGTGAAACTAATGTGGGCGGCTCCTAATCTTCAAATTGGACATTGACTTCTCGTCAAATCAAGGCTAATCTCAAGCTATTGGGTTGGTGTATTGAAAACTGCGGGCTATTCTCATATGTGACAGTTTGAGCACTTTCTTCAAAAGAAACCCATTTTGGTCTCAATGGAAAGTTGTAGAGAATCAAAAATCAAGCTTATATCTAAATTTCCAAAAAGATACACTTAGTAGTTTTGCTTAAAATTTGCGTGTTCTTAAGTTCTTTGTGCGTAATCACTCGTCGTCTGGCGCAGGGCTCTTACATAACCCCTTTCCTTCTCCCTTTTCCAAATTATTTTGGCAGGCTCCTAATCCTCAAATTGGACATTGACTTCTCCTCAAATCAAGGCTAATCTCAATCTATTGGGTTGGTGAATCGAAAACTACGGGCTATTGTCATATGTCACAGTTTGAGAGTGCCAAATTGGCGGAAGAATAGCATAAATCGTGAGTGGAGGCCTTTTTTGCGAATGCGAATTGAGAAGAGATGCGAATCTCCTTTCTAAAGGGGAAAATTGAAAGAAAAAATGCAGAAAGAGCACGAAATGTGTAAGGAAATTGCGTAAAAGCTTAATGTTAGGGTTTTGGTTGGTTGAGAAAGTTGGAAAATCATCGTATGCGGAAGTTGTATAGGGGATGGGTGTAGGTACAACTTGAACTGCAATTGCTCACTAATTTTGCCCTACTAAACGCTGAAGCCTGTTCCAGTTACGGGAAAAGAGTCAATGTAACAAGAATATAATGACAGATCAAAGTTTTTCTGGTAAGATTAGTTTGATTGTAAGGTTCAAAACTCTTCAAATGAATAAATTTCGATCTAGGCGCTAGGATTTCTTTGAATCAAACGGGAGAACATAAAAATAGAGCACTTTGAAATAATAAGAATTGCATTGAACACTCCGATCAAGTATGGGCTGATGAACTTGTGCTAAAGGTGTTAAAGAAGCAAAAAAAAAGAAGGTCGATGGATTTCCACAAACCAAAAAGATACGAGAAAGGGAAATCGGCACATCTGACCATCTAATTGAGGCAACAAGAAGAAAAAAAGGAGGGAGAAGTCCGATAGATGGAGAAAAGAGAATTCTCTTCTCTTCACACCAAAAACCTCTTTTGCTTTTCTGAAGAATTAAGAAGAATTGTTGTCAAAATCTTGCAAAAGAAGAGTTAGTAGTAAAGAGTTAGAGTTAGCAGAATAAAGACATTGACTACTTCAGTCAATGTCTTTAGTCTGGTCAGTGAAAAATAAAATCACGCTTGAAAAAGTTGTAAACTTACGGACACTTCTGGAGAATTAAGAATTGAATGAAAGAGAATAGAAGTGTCTAATCGAGAGCTGTGAGTTGTGAGCATCGAGAGCTGAAGAAAAGCTGTGACTTGGAATTTAGAAGAAAACGAAAAATCTTAAGATTAACGGACTCGATTAAAGCTTAGTGGGAAATATAGTTATCGAGCCTTTAATCTCTAGCTTTGAGTGTGGAAAAACATATCCAAGAGCTTATTCGGATGAGCGTAGAGTGAGGGGGAACTCTACAACTCTCTTTTCTTTGATTCACTGAGCGCCGTCCACTCGGCCGGGAAAATTGAGGAAATTTGGCAAATCTAGTGACTTGCTTGGTGATTAGCCTCTACTTCTTCTTCTTCTTCTTCTCCATCTCCATCTCCATCTCCATCTCTATCTCTATCTCATTCAAAGAAGTGTCAAAGAAATAACAAGATTATGAAAGAGAATGGAATCAGAGAAATACAAGTCCAATTTTTCATGTGTTTTCAAAATCCAGTCCTATTTAAAGAATTGAAATATTGATAAATCCTAGGTAACTTTGATGGAAATTAAATGGGGAAGATTGATTTGAAATTTGAATTTCTTGAATGCCTTGAATTGGGAAGATAGAAGAAAATACTCTAACTACTAACTCAAACTCGCAAATGACGGTGTTAACTTTTTGACTTTGAGTGAAAATGAGTTCCCCATCCCCATCTTTGCCCTTTTCTTTCCCTTGTCAGCTCATTGAAGCGCGTACTTTTCGTCGTCGTTGAGGGGTAAAAGCCATTTTTTGCATTTCAGAATGAGCCACCCCCGGGTCGTGTGTTTTTGGTGAATTTTTCAGCAGGAAGACGCGTCTCGATTTCACCTCTCTTACTTCGTTTTCCCGTTTTTTATTTGAAATGGAGGGATATCCACACATTGACGATGAAGTTTTATCATATGAGCGGAACTCTACAACTCTCTTTTCTTTAATGGAAAGTGAGATCAATCAGTGGATGAACTTTGATGTTTGAAAGAGAATCAAAACGAGAAATAACCATACAAATTGCTTACCCAAATCGCCTTTTCTAGTTAGTGGATAAGTTTAAAATGAATGAAAATTGAAACTAGCTCGAAACTAAACGGAAACTAAACGGAAACTAAACTAAAACTAAACTAAAACTGTCTCATCGAGTCTGTTAGAAAGTTTTGATTAGACAAAATGATGAACCAAGTCCTTCAAAACTAGCTCTACTAGTTCAAGCTTCATGCCAGTTTTTTTCTTGTTTTGTTGCTCATCAAATCTTTAGCAATTATGAGAATTCAATAATGATTAACAAATTTTAAGTGATCAATTTTCAAAGTGAACAGTTTTTCAATAATAAGCAACAAACAGATCAAAGTGAAAGAGAAATACTTGCAGATTTGTTTGTAAAAAGCTAATTCTTTTTTTGATCTAATACGGTTCCAATACGGTTCCAATACGGTTCTAATCCGGTTCTAATACGGTTCCAATACGGTTTCAATACGGTTCTAATACGGTTTCAATACGGTTTCAATACGGTTCCAATACGGTTCCTTTTAAGGTACCAATACGATTCCAATACGGTTCCAATACCATTCCAATACGGTTCTTTTTTTTGATCTAATACGGTTCCACAGCAAGAGATTAGCTAGCACAACAAGTCGAAGTCTTTTAAAATAAAAATCCAAGCATTCCTTTGATTGCTTAGAAACATAAAACACTAGAAAATTTAAAGAAATCTTTGAAAAAAAAATTTAGACAACTTAAAAAGAATAAAGCTGTGTGAAATAGAGAATGGCTGGGATGAGGCGGGAGAGGAGGGGAGGAGGGTCCTTTGAGAGTCATCAAGTCCTTTTTAGATCCTCTTTAGGTCTTCCCTTTTGACATCAACTCTTCCCTTTTTTTTCCAAATCTTCTCTCTTTCTCTTGCACGAAATCTCGCACTAAATACGGAGATTGATGTTTCGGCAATTCATTTTCAATTACGTGAAGATGCTTGAGAGGCTTGATGTTTATGATTAGGTTTATGTAACAGCTTAGTACAACAGCTTAGTACAACAGCTTATTACAACAGCTTAGTACAACAGCTTAGTACACAGCTTAGTACAACAGCTTAGTTTAAACTTTAACTAGGAATTCTGCGCTTAAAAATTTGCCATTGTATAGGCAAAAGGTTAGAACTGACATCAAAAAGGTTATGTGAAAGAATTGCTAAACTTTTGGGTGAATAATTTTTCGGTTTAAGAGTTTATAGCTTCAAGTTGATGCTTTATAACTTGCGACTCAATTGGCGCAATTCAAAATGCTATTGAATATAAAATAAACCAACAAAATACCAACAAAATAAACCAAGTTCAAAGGTCAAAGGATGTTATTTAGTTTGCTCATCTAAACGCATCCTTTCTGGCACACTTTCCAGCAAGTGTTTGATGCCAAAATTTAGGCCAGAAACGGTGTGTTTAGCCTTTCAAAGTACACCAAAAAAACAGTAGAACTAAACATTAGACCAAAAGAACTAAATAATGGCTTTTCATAGACCTGGTCACAGTCATACCTGGTCATATCGAAGGGTCAAAACCTGGTCAAAACCTGGTCAAAGCCTGGTCAAAACCTGGTCAAAGCCTGGTCAAAGCCTGGTCAAAACCTGGTCGAAGCCTGGTCAAAGCCTGGTCAAAACCTGGTCAAAGCCTGGTCAAAGCCTGGTCAAAGCCTGGTCAAAACCTGGTCAAAGCCTGGTCAAAGCCTGGTCAAAACCTGGTCAAAGCCTGGTCAAAGCCTGGCCAAAACTTGTAGTTCATATCCTCAAAAGTTCCATTGTTTTTTTGCAAGATTAGAGAAAATCACAGTTAAACCCATGAAAAACAAGTACTAGAATGCATGAGTTTCATCAGTTAATCAAAAAATAATAAATTATCAAGAATATAATATGGTAATGGTCAAAAAACCCTTGTACCTTCTTGTAGTGATGTCCTCAAAAGTGATGTATCTCTTTCCCCTTCCCCATCGTGAGCATCTTCCAACAAGTCTCTTCCATTTTTCGTTTTCCCTTTTCTATCGCTGGAATTCCCCGGAGAACTCACCAAATTGCACACATGACTCTCAACCCTCTTTGGCACCCTATCCCACCCTATCTTCTCCCACCAACATCATAAAATAACCCATCTTTGGCTCATTGAGTCTGCAAAAAAATGGCAAAACAATCGGATTGTTTGGGGTGAGATTTTTATTCAAATTTGACAGGAAAAATTGATGATTTTTTTTTTTCATGAGAATTGTAGAAAGAAGTTGTCAAAAACAGTTTTGGAAAAGCAAAAACAAGAATTGGTCAAAAGCGATTTGTAGTCAAGGGGGTGAGACTTTTGGAGAAATCGAAATGTCGGCTGAAAGACACGCTATGCTTCTTGTTTTCAATGAAGGGAAGAGTGATCACGCAATCATGTAACCACTGAGATTATATTTGAAGAAACAGTAATACTACATGGAATGAAAAAAAGAAAAAAAATTCAACATAAACCATGAATTCATTCCAAATCATTTCCATTATTATTGACGACTTCTGCCCATTTTACAAGCAATTTGCGGATTCCTTTTCCGTAGTAGGATTTTGGTTTGTGTGTGGGACAAGTGCGAGACTCAAAAATGGAGGACTGGAGATGTCCCTGGACGACGTTTGAGCACTTTCTTCAAAAGAAATCCATTTTGGTGTCAATGGAAAAGTTGTAGAGAATCAAAAATTAGGCTTATAGCCAAATTTCCAAAAAGATACACTACGTAGTTTCGCTTAAAATGCAAGTTTTGAGAAAATTCGTAAATTTGGCATTTCTTGAAAACCAGTTTTTGAATCGTTCTGAAAATTTGGATATAAGCTTGATTTTTGATTCTCTACAACTTTTCCATTGACACCAAAATGGGTTTCTTTTGAAGAAAGGGCTCAAACTGTCGCATATGACAATAGCCGGCAGTTTTCAATTCACCAACCCAATACAACCATAACTCTAATTGATTCTTCTGAAAAAGAAGAATCATTTAGAGATTTATTAAAGAAAAAACGTGAGAGAGACTTATGCCGAGCTGTACAAAAGGAAGTTTTCTTATTCTAAAAACGACACGAAGCTGCTCTTTTTCTTTTTCTTTTTCAAGAAAAGATCTTGCGTTCAAAAGAGTGGTCGTCTTGTTGAGTGAGTGAAATATTCATTAACACATATGAAGAGAGGCTGACTTCACCTGGGAAAGAGAAAGCTAAAACAGGGATGGAGAAGTTTTGAAACTTGGTGAAGGATCACAGTCACAGCTTAAATGATCTTATGGGCAAAGCCAAGTCAAACCAAAGGTTTGGTCGTTGCGTTGAAGACTGGTAAGAAAGGAAAACCAGGCAACAGTCATGTGAATCGTTTGGCAAATAGTAAAAATGTCAAACAAAATGTCTTTAGTATCTTTTTGTCAATCTTCAATCAATCGGCTGTCACTTTTGAACTTTCATCTGAACAACTTTGAGTGTCATATGCAAATCGATGTGGTCAGTGGATAAAATTGTTGCTGTTGGATGTTGCTCTTTCTCTTTCTTCACTTCCTTTTTCTTCACAAGAGAGTGTTGATCAGATTGACATAAGGGCCAGTTCGCTCTTCTTCTTCTTTTCTTCTTCTTTGTGTCTAATTCAATGTTCACTCTCTTTTCCATATCCCGGCAATCAGCTCTCAATTGTTATCCCCATCAATCCAGAATTCCAGAATTTCAGAATTCCAGAATTTAGATTCCCAGTGTTAACCATTGTTTGTAGAAAAAAAAACTACACGAATCTTTGGACTTTACAAATGTTGACTAGAGATTTCGGATGAGTTACCCAAGTTTTTCAGAATATTAAAGTATTACTGAATAGCTTTTGGTTATTCAATACTTTTTAAAGCTTCAGGCTATTTAACACTTTTTAAAGCTTCAGGCAATTCAATACTTTTTTAAATCCTTTAACTACGAAACAAGTGTACACGATTTACCCCAAAAAAGAAACCAATTTTAGTATCTAAAGTTTTCTGGTTTTCTGTGTCTCCCCAAGGACCCGGAACGCTAAATAAAGTGAAATGAAAAGGAACAAGTTTGGGGAAAATTTTTTTTGTCAAAACAGAGAAGAGAAAAGGCAATTGAGTCATGTAATTGAGTCTTTCTTCTTCTGTTTTCCAAGTTTTCAAATAAGTTTATCCGTTTGAAGCAAAACGAACGTCCTGTCACCGATCTGAAGTAGATAGTTGTTGAATGAAGAGAAAATTTGAGAATTTCCAGCTAAATTTGGGTGCATTTTTGAAATGACATCAACATCGACATCGACATTGACATCAATATCGACATTGACATCAACATCAACATCGACATCAATATCGACATCATGTATTGACACAGTCCAGGAAATCCAAGGCTTGGTAAAAGTCCATGATCAATTTTAAATGAAATCTCTTCTTGTGGTGAAATTGAAAGCTGAGAAAATATTCATTGGACCATCATTCAATTCTTGAACACGTCATTTCTATAGAAGATGGGACTATAAATGTGAGAATCGAGAATGGAAAGATATCATTGAAACAAGTGAATTCAAACGATGAAGTTCCTCATTCCATTGGTGATCTTTGCCTTCGTAGTTGTTGCTCTTGGACAGTAAGTCTTTCAGTTTATGATACAATAACTTGCTTGGATACTCGTATAGTTAGTACTCGTAGTTAGTACTCGTAGTTAGTACTCGTAGTTAGTACTCGTAGTTAGTACTCGTAGTTAGTACTCGTAGTTAGTACTCGTAGTTAGTACTCGTAGTTAGTACTCGTAGTTAGTACTCGTAGTTAGTACTCGTAGTTAGTACTCGTAGTTAGTACTCGTAGTTAGTACTCGTAGTTAGTACTCGTAGTTAGTACTCGTAGTTAGTACTCGTAGTTAGTACTCGTAGTTAGTACTCGTACTAACTATACGAGTATCCAAGCTGTATCCCTTTCTTATCACATTATGTATTTAAAACTATAGAACCTATAGTTTTAGACTTTAAAACTATAGAAACTATAGAAAGTATTAGGAAAATGCATAAGAAATGCGGATTTCAACATTCTTATAAATTTCCAACGATAGAAACGATAGAAACCAGATATCGATGAATGTTATAAACTATTTGAAAGTTGTAAATCTCCTCTACAAAATAGGCTAAAAAGTGTTTCAATTGATCGAACGATTGAAGAAATTTCGAGGGCGAAATGCGAGTGACCAAAAAAGGGCACTTTTTGAAAACCCCACTTTCACAAGAGTTCGGTTTTGACTATACAGTGGAAAATGAGCACCCTAAAATCATTCAAATATCATTCAAAATAATTAAGAGTTGGGATCATTTCATGGGAAAACTTTGTTTTTACAATAAGTTTTCTTTTTTATGAAAAAGCCGCTTTTTTGACAATTTTGAGGGTTTTGAACTTACGCTCTATCTAAATTTCTGTAAATGCATTTCCGTTAGACTTTTGTAAAGAATTGATATATAGTTATCCTTTCTTTTTTAAATCTTAAATTTTGGGAAGCTAACTCTATTTTGACCACACTAAACTTGTCCCTAAAGTGACTTGATTCCTTTTTTTTGGTCACTCGCATTTCGTTCTCGAAATTTCTTCAATCGTTCGATCAATTGAAACACGTTTTAGCCTATTTTGTAGAGGAGATTTACAACTTTCAAATAGTTTATAACATTCATCGATATCGTTTTCAGGTTTCTATCGTTGGAAATTTATGAAAATGTTGAAAATATTGAAATCCGCATTTCTTATGCATGTACCTAATATTTAAAACTTTGTTTTGTTTTGTTTTGTTTTCATTTAAAAGGTTAAAAGGTTCTATAGTTTTATGTTTTATCAATTGAATACGTACAGCACTGGACAATGAAATATGATATTTGAAAAACAATCGTCACTTTCGCGCGTCTGTAACTCTCTTGTCTTTGAGTTTAAACTATTAGTGTTATACATTTTCTGGAAGCTCTTTTCAAGGGCTACACAATGGTAATATTAATATTTAGAAATACGGTAAAGACAAGGGAGTTACAGACGCGCGAAAGTGGCGATCGTTTTTCAAATATCATATTTCATTGTCCAGTAGTGTATTTGAATTGAATACAATTGAATACAATCAACTTATTTTAAGGTACTGTAGTAAGTGTGGCACAAAGTTCATGTCAAATGCATCAATTTTAAATCAAAAATATAAGGATAAACCATTTTTTTTTTCCAGATCTAATCCTCCTCCCCCACCAGCTGGTGGATCTAAACCACCGCCACCGCCACCAACTGGTAACTTATTAGCTATTCATAAGCTATTATTCATATACATTTTACAAACAAGCGGTGCATCTAGTTCAGTTTTGAGATCTTTTTTTTCAGGCAACCCGCCCCCACCATCCGGAGGATCGCAACCTCCTCCACCGCCACCAACAGGTAAATCTAGCAATTTTTATCGTCACTGAGAACAATCACTACTTTAATTTGATCGAATTACAGCTTTACAAGTATTTTCATATTCTCATTGCAGGCAATCCACCCCCACCAGTCGGTGGATCGAAGCCTCCTCCACCACCACCAACTGGTTTGTTTTAAAAATCTTATAAACTAGTTTTTAAATAACGAAGTAATTAACTGACTAATTAACTAGTTAACTAACTAATTAACTAACTAGTTAACTAACTAGTTAACTAACTAGTTAACTAACTAATTAACTAACTAGTTAACTAACTAGTTAACTAACTAGTTAACTAACTAATTAACTAACTAGTTAACTAACTAGTTAACTAACTAATTAACTAACTAGTTAACTAACTAGTTAACTAACTAGTTAACTAACTAGTTAACTAACTAGTTAACTAACTAGTTAACTAACTAATTAACTAACTAGTTAACTAACTAGTTAACTAACTAGTTAACTAACTAATTAACTAACTAATAAACTAACTAACTAATTAAATAACTAATTAACTAACTAATAAACTAACTAACTAATTAAATAACTAATTAACTAACTAATAAACTAACTAACTAATTAAATAACTAATTAACTAACTAACTAATTAACTAACTAATTAAATAACTAACTAACTAACTAACTAAAGTTTAACAATAAAAGCAATCGATTTATATTTTCAGGAAAACCCCCAGGACGCAAATAAAGTTTTATCTCATGAAATCATAAATAAATCTTTTCTTTTCAATAGTTTAACTTCAAAAGACGATCTACAGCAAAATTGGAGTGAAAACCTAAAACAATAAAAGCAAAAATTTCAATTTTTATTTCCTAGAGACCAAACTACATTCAACTCTATGATTTGAAAATTTTGCTAAGGAAAAGCAAACCGCAAACACTCAAACAAACTTCATTTTGATTAGTAAAGAGGAAAAAAAATTGATTGAAAGTGAGAATTGGGAAAGAAATACGAATGTGATGGAGAAAATAAGCCTATTAGTAGAAGTGATTTCAACGCCTTTTCGATGAGAAAAATTGAGCAGACAGAGAAAATCGGCCGGTTGCAAAATTGCACTTTTCTCAACTGCCAATGAGTTTTTTTTACGCTCAAAGTTTCCCCAATATTTTTCTACTTAATTCTTCATTCTAAAGGTAAGATCTTTGATTTTATTTGGCTTAATTACCCAATTTTGACATTTTTTGGCATAATCACGATGGTAGATTCACGATTGTACTTGGGGTAAACTTAGAGCCAAGTTTCAATGAGGTGAAAGTCTCATTGAATCGAGTTCAGTGTGACAAATTTTCATGATTCTGATTGAATCATGTTTTTCTTAGATAAAACATTGCTCACTGATAATTGCTTGTTCTCTGAGCGTTCGCTTTAGCTATTTTCTCACCCCCGGAAATCAGTAAATAATAGGGAGTTGATGTCTGAAGGAAAAGAGAGGAAAGAGTTGCAACTGTGAAAAAAATGAAATGGGAAAATGAATGGGTTCAATCGGAACCCAAAGAGCAGACAAATCATCTGATCTGTGCTTATTGTATCTTTTTTTCGACTTAAATAGAACTGAGCCAGTCTTTTGCACAGGAATTCTCCAAATAGAGTGGACAAAACTGGCCTGAGTCTAGGCGATTCAAAAACCTAGTTATCTAGGTCAGTTCGACCAGACCAAGCTAGAAAAAGTCTGCGCTAGGTCTGGTCTTGTCAGGCTTGAACTTAGTGCGAAGGCTAGCGCCTCGCATTAAGTCTATTTAGGTTTGGGCTAAACCCTCATTTTCTGGATCTCGGCCAGTTCTCAGAGCTAAGGGACAAGCGCTTGGCGATGCACATGCGCCCCCCATAGAAGCATCCTTAGGCTTTGGCTTTGGCTTTGGCTTAGGTTTAGGCTTAGGCTTAGGCCTAGGCTCAGGCTCAGGGAAGTACCCCAGCTGATCGCCGATCGCCCGATGCCAAAATAGAAGTTGTAGAATTGACTATGCTGATCCCAATGGTACAAAAATCAGCTGCCCATACACGTGCAAAAGCGAGATATCTGGCATAAAAGTTTGCGAAATCTTTCTTAAAAGGTTTCTGATATGAGCTGACGCTGATATGAGATGGTGGCGCAGTGGATAAGTGGCATGATTACAAGGCAGGCTGTGTACTTTTGCTTTAGTTCAGCATAGCATTGTGATCAGCATAATCAATTCTACAACTTCTATTTGGCATCGCGCGATCGGCGATCAGCTGGGGTACTTCCCTGAGCCTGAGCCTAGGCCTGAGACTAAGCCTAAGCCTAAGCCAAACCAGTTCTTGTTCTTAAGGCTCTACGTTCGGTAGTGACAAATATTTTGATCAGGCTTTTTGTAGATCTCTTTCAAAGATCTCTTATTCGAAATCAATAGCTCGTCCTTCAGCTCGTCCTTCAGCTTGTCCTTCAGCTTATCCCTTTCTTCATTTCGATGCGGTGGTGGGTGATCACTCTCCTTCTTTGCACGTACGGTGTCTTGAAAGAGTTTCGCCCATCCGAGCCCTTTTTGTACCAATATGAGCACGTGACGCTCAATATTTCGGCGGAGATTCTCGAAAGTAAGGTGAGTTCGAATATTTTCGATTACCCTACATCATTTCGAGCCAATTCATTCTAGGTGTACCCAATCTGGACCTACAGCTACATGGCTTTTCTTGTACCGGTTTTCTTGTTGACCGACCTTCTACTGTACAAACCGATTATCATTCTCGAAGCTTTGTCTTACATTACTGTTTGGATGCTATTCGTGTTGGCCAGATCAGTTCTCGTGCAGCAATTGATCGAGGTTTGGGAAAATCTGGTGTTAGAAATTGTTCCTAGGTGTTCTATGGTTGGGCTACTGCTACAGAAATTGCCTATTTTGCATATATTTATGTGAAAGTCGACAAAAGCCACTATAAAAAGTTTGTTTTTTCGAAAGAATTAAATATTTTATAAAAAAACAAGAAGCTTCGCTGCTGTTTTTCAGCAGAAATCAAAAGAATGGGCGGCGAGAGAAGACGAACCCGCGACCTCTCTCTTCGTTCGTTAGAGAGGCGTGCGGGTTAGCCACTCGGCCATGCTCTAGCTCTAGATCGCGCAGTGCGAGCGCACTCATCTCTAGCCCCCATGACCCGGGTTCGACTCTCCCGCGTCGGCACTTTTGATTTTTTTAAAATTTAAAAACATGTTGCACAACTCCATGAAATTCTAAGCCAAACTATAAATCATTGGAAATGGTCCACTGGGTACAAGAAGCAGTGTGCACAGACAGACAGACAGACAGACAGACAGACATACGGACAGACAGACGGACGGACAGACATACAGACAGAGAGTCAGACAGAGAGACAGGCAGACAGACAGACAGACAGAGAGACATACAGACAGACAAACAGACAGACAGACAGACAGACAGCAGACAGACGTCTTAGTCCCTTTATATATAGTAGATTTTAGAGTCACCTCATATACGAGAGCCGCTTTACAAGCTGGGAAATGTGTGGCCTATGTGTTGGCACAGGTTTCGAATTTGACTTAGTTCCGATAAATGAATAACATTATGGAAAAAGTTTAGATTTTAATTGGCACTGATGCAGCTAGTTATCGAGCTCTGAACGTAATCTCTTTGGTTTCTTTATGGATTGCGCTCGTTTTCTCTTTGATACTCCCAGCTGTGCCGTGGAGGCTGGCTTACGAGAAGTTGATGGAGCTGCAAGATCAAGATGGTAATTGCAAAATCAATGGGAATAAATGGGAATAAATTTGGGATTCTTTTTTGAATAATTGGATATGATTTTCAGAAAAAAAAAAAGCTCCCATAGAAATCCCGACGCTTCAGGATGAGTTGGGTGAGTTGTTTGACTTTTGTTTGTTTGTTTGTTTGTTTTTTTTGTTTGTTTTGTTTTAAATTCTATTAAATTAGAAATTTCTATAAAAACAGCTAAAAGTTATTTAAATATAAAGTAAAAATCGAATAATAGAAACATTAAAAAGTCTTTTCTTCTAGGAAAACGAGTGGTTGACCCATCTGGACCAGCTCATCCCGAGGCAACGTACAAAAACTATGTAAAAGCTCACTTTTCCCGTTGGATTAAAGAGGTAAAATTGTTAAAAATGTAAAAAAAGAATGGTTTAGGGAAAAAGGGAAATTTTTAACTGACCAGATTCAGTTAGACTTTGCTAGAATTTTTAGAAAAAAACAGTCAAATTTGAGAAATCGATTGGAGCTATTCATTTTATTGGCTCTAATTGTAACTCGGGTTTAATTGGTTTAAACTTTTAGATTTTTAGAACTAATTACTATCAAATTATCAAATTATTGACTTTTTCAGATCCGACAAATCTACAGCGAGCTCTTTGTGGTGAAATGGTCTTTGTGGTGGGCGATGGCGAGTTGTGCACAATTTCAGGTAAAATGCAAAGAAAAATCATATTTTCAAATAATTTATTGTTAGCATTTTAATAATATCTCTGCGTTGATGGTCCGCCTAAAATTCAAATAAGAATTCTCATAAACGGGTCACAAACCGCTTGGTGGTGGAGGTGGCGGGCGAGATCCATTTGGGGCTCCGCTTGGTGGTGGTGGAGGGGCTCCTAAAGGGGATTGATAGTTTAAAAGTTTACATCCTAGGTCAAAGTTGATTCTTTTCTAAGTTTACCAGTTGGTGGCCGTGATCCATTTGGGGCACCGCTTGGTGGTGGAGGTGGTGGGCGAGATCCATTTGGGGCACCGCTTGGTGGTGGTGGAGGGGCTCCTGTAAGAGATTGTTGCTCAATGCTCATATTATAATCTAATGATTCTAAGGAATTATTAGAGCTAATCTAGGGAAAACGATTCATCTAAAAAATCGTTTACCTTAACTTACCCGTTGGTGGACGAGATCCGTTCGGGGCACCGCTTGGTGGTGGAGGTGGTGGGTGTGATCCGCCGCTTGGTGGCGGTGGAGGGGCTCCTGTAAGAAATTCTGTAATACTTTCTTTTGCGGATAATAGATAATAGGATAATAGAAGTTATGCAATAGTCTTTTGCGGAGTTTAATGTAGTAGAACAAGCAAGTATGTCCAAAATAACAGTTCAACTTAAAAAGTCTTCTTAAACCCTACCAGTTGGTAGTCTAGATCCATTTGGTGATCCGCTTGGTGGTGGTGGAGGAGCTCCTGTAAGTGTTGGAGCTGTTTTCAGATAGTTTTCAATAGACTTCAAAGGTTAAGAGCTATTCAACTATATCTATTAGACTTTTCAAACTTGCAAAGATCAACATAAACATCCTGAAAGTTTACCCGTTGGTGGGCGAGATCCATTTGGGGCTCCGCTTGGTGGTGGAGGTGGTGGGCGAGATCCATTTGGGGCTCCGCTTGGTGGTGGTGGAGGGGCTCCTGTAAGAGATTGTTGCTCAAAATCGTTTTCCTTAACTTACCCGTTGGTGGACGAGATCCGTTCGGGGCACCGCTTGGTGGTGGAGGTGGTGGGCGAGTTCCGCCGCTAGCTGGTGGCGGTGGGGGTCCTCCCGATGGCGGGGGCCTGGATCTGGAAAACATTATGCTAAATTTTCGATAAACTTGTCTCTTTTCTGTTAAGCTTCTTAAAATTATCATGTATTGAAAGAAAAATTGACTCAAAAACAATCTTCACATCGAATTCCTTTTAGATTGCTAGTAACTGTCAGAGTTTGTTTGACAGGCTCAACTTTAAGGAATCTGCGTATTTTGCAGGTTCCAGAAAACAAAAAAGGATAACCAGATAATTCTAATTTAGTTTAATTAATAAGAAGTTTAGTTAATAATTTAATTGGCCAAAAGACTAAACTAAGAAACTCACTGGGCAAGGGTGCAAGCGACAAAAGCCGAGAGGGCCAATGGGAGAAGGAACTTCATCTTCAGCGAACGGATCGACTGATGTTCATTCCATAACTGATCCGCTATTTATACAAGATATTTCCATTTTCAATGACGTCTTCATCAAACCAATCAAATGTTTACTCAGCCGGCAAATTCTTGAGCTAAACTTTTTTCTGGGATGGAAATTGACAAGACTTTTTCCATCATTAAAAAAACCATTACAACAGGAAACTTTATCGTTGTCGGCTGTGTAAACACCGTTGATGCCGATGTGGCCATCCAAAAATGGACCATAGATTTTTGGAAGAATAAGCTGTGTTGCAAAATGATAGTACCATCCCTAAATTTTACATTTTTTGGCTATGAAACTTAATAGCGCTAAATAGCTCTTAAATCCTAGAAATATATATACAAAAATAGGCATAAATAACGTTTCTAACGCTATTTGAATAAATTACAACAAAATTATAACAATTTCTTTATTCAACACCTGTTTCAAAATGATAGGACCACATAAAAATAACAATAAATCCGAAAATAACCTTAAAACAAGCGAAAAACAGAAACGAAAAATTCATTAATCATCGACAGAGGCTCCCTTTTTCTCGATGACGTCCAGTAGTCGATTTTTCATCAAGTTTTAAAGCTTTTGTCGTGAAATTGACATCCATGCAAAATGGCTCTTTTGAGTTACGAAATTGTGTCGTAAGTCTTCCCATTTAGCATAAATATTCCGCACGAGGATGCCTCATAAGTTTTCCATTGGGTTTAAGTCCGGTAAGCAGGCAGGCCATTCGCGAAAATCGATGTTGTGACGTCCCAGGAAAACTTTCGTGGATTGGCTGGCATGAATTGCAGCATTTTCCTGTTGAAGAATAGAGTTTTCCCTCGGTTTTGGGCTAGGAAAGGAAGCAGTTGATCCGCAAGAATGTCCTGGTAATCGTTCGAGTTCATACGAAAAGTCACAAATTCTAAATCAAGAACGTCATCCACATTGAAGGCACCCTATATCATCAGTGATCCTCCTCCGAAGTTTCAACATCCACAAAGCATTGAATCTTTTCTCAAATTGTGCCAATAGTACTTGTTGCCGTCTGGATCACTCAAATTAAAATTTTTTTCATCGCTAAAGATGACCTACAAAGAAAGAAATTAGTTAGCAACTCAAGGCAAAAAGTGTACTTTTCTCGATGTGCAAATCGATGGTGATGTGATCCACATCACAGCCCAAGACCTCCTTTTTTCTGTGTGCCAGCTTTAGTTTTAGTGCTTTCTTCATGACTGCTCTTTTGATGTACGCTTGATGGCTCGAGAAAGAGTGCTTTTGTGGACGGGAGCTCCAATTTTTGCCTTGACGTCCTGTAGCGACATCAGCAAATTCGACGTTCAATATGCCGTTCAGCGCGGGCTGTGAGCCTTCGAGGACGTCCCGAAAACGTCTTCTTACCATAATTGAAAGGATCCTTCAAGAAATTTGTAACAACTTGGTGCGAGCACCTCATTTTCTTCGCGATCTTCCGATTTGACAAATTTCTTCCTTTCAAAATCCCAATTTTCATCTGTTCGATCCACGAAAGCGATTTTTCACGCCCCATCTTCCTAAAAAATCAAAATTAGTTTGAAAAAGAAATAGAACAAGCAAAAATGATTAGTTATTACAGAAAGAAAATAAAAATAAATCATTTGATCCTATCATTTTGCAATAGTTTCAATAGTGCAGAATAAAGAAATGATTAAAAATTTGGGGGGTGGGACAAATGCGACCTTTTTTTTGCGCACCTGGACATTTGTGCACCTTTTTTTTGCTGGAAAAGGCCTTAGGAAAGGTCGTAGAGCTTCAAAAATGTTTTCATAGAAGCGAATCGTATGCGTAGATTCCGAATTTCGACAAATCAGACCTCGCTGACACGTCAAATTTGGGCTAAAAGGCAAAAACTACGCAACTTAACGCTTTTCCGCAGTTTTTGCCTTTTAGCCCAAATTTGACGCGTCAGCGAGGTCTGATTTGTTGAAATTCGGAATCTACGCATACGATTCGCTTATATGGAAGTAGTTTCGAAATATTTTCGAAGCACTACGGCCTTTTCCAGCAAAAAAAAGGTGCGCAAATGTCCAGGTGCGCAAAAAAAGGTCGCATTTGTCTCACCCTTAAAATTTGTGGCTTTTAAAGTAAATCATTTTTTAAATGGTATTTGTGTGTACTTTTGTATATAAATTAGAATTTAACCGCTTTTTTTGCAATTTTTAGTTATTTAAATTCAAAAATAGCAAAAAAATCGAGGATTTTGCAACGCACTATAGTATAGACTTTTGGATTTGCAATCGTTTCACTTATAGATTGGCAACTACACGCAAACTTTATGGGGTAGTGTACACGCGAAAAAATTGTACAATGGGATTACGGAGGCGATTTGTCCCTTCATTGGTGAGAGAGTTGAAATTTCAATTGGGAAAATTGGGAAAATTTGAATTATTTGAAAATTTAGCCGTCCCAGTGGTGCTTCTAATGGAGAAAGTGGAGGTGGATTGGAAAAAATGGGGAGAGGTAACGAAATCGAGTTGACACTAAAATTCTAAATAAAAATCTAAATAGAAATCTAAATAAAACTCAAAATCCAATGCACCAAAAGCTACAGGGTGCGTCATAATTATTGCAACAAGAGTTCAAAGACCGTTTTCCAAACAGCTTTCTTATTTTTTTTGCCCCCTTTTTTGTTGTGTTGCGTTCTATCTTCTTTATTCTTGCCTAATTGCCTCCCGCTCACACGAAGAAGACGGTTCAGGACTGGTGTGTGGCCAACTTTCCCTCGGTGATCACCAAGGATGAATGGCCTCCAAACTCACCGGATCTCAATGTGATGGACTTTTCCATTTGGGCAATCTTAGAGGCTAATGTCTGCTCTCGAAAACACACAAGTTTGGATTCTTTGAAGAAGTCTTTGACCAAAGGATGGAAGGCGACTCCTCAAGATGACATTCGGGCCGCAGTGGAGGCATATCCGAACCGATTAAGGGCTGTTATCAAGGCAAAAGGCGGTCATATCGAATGATCTCTTGTCTCCTTACTTGTTACTGTTAAATAAAGCTATTTCGGTTTAAAAATCTTCTTCCAGTGAAACTTCTTGGTGTGCAATGCCTTGAGTATCTTGTTGCAATAATTATGACGCACCCTGTAAGTATTCCAATTTTTTCAAATTTTTAGCTCTTCCTCTGCCTGATGTCGTTAATCGACGGGGCTTTTCTCATCATAATGTCTCAAACGGGTAGTATCTACGTTATGTAAGTAAATTGTTTAAAATTTTCAATTTTTCTTTTCAGGTATGTTTGCTATATTTTCTACAGAGTCATCTACCAAGCAATGATTACAGTCGCACAGTAAGTTTGAAAAACTTTGAGTAATTTGAACGTTACAGGTTTAATTTGGCATCGCGTTTGAGAACGTCTTCTTTTGGATTGGTGTTTGGTTGGTGATTTGGAGAAGTAGAGTAGTAAAACTAAATAGCAGTATTACTGAATAGCTTTTAGTTATTCAATACTTTCTAAAGCTTCAGACAAAGCTATTCAATACTTTTTAAAGCTTTTTAAAGCCTCAGGCAAAGCTATTCAATACTTTTTAAAGCTTCAGGCTATTCAATACTTTTTAAATCCTTTAACTACTAAACAAGTGTACACGCTTTACCCCAAAAAAAACCAATTTTAGTATCTAAAGTTTTCTGTGTCTCTCCAAGGACCTGGAATTGTTTTAGCTATAATACTACAATCGACTCTCTCTATAACGGAACTCTATATAGCGAAAAACTCTATCTAACAGAATGAAATTTTGATCCCAGCCGACGCCACGCTTTATATAACGGCATTCTATCTAACGGAAAAATTGTTTGATCCATTCAATTCCGTTATAGAGAGAGTCGACTGTAGTTTTATCTCTTTTCCAGGTCTGAACACTTTCGTGGCCCTCGTGATGCAATCGATTTTAACAGCTGTAGTAGCTGATGAGCATGGGCTTGCATTAGCGATTCGACCACAAGTGAGACATTGTTTAGAGGAAAATAGCCAAGATTTCATTGAAATTTTGAAATGAAATCTATCATGAAACCTTTAGTTTGTCGTGTATTCTTGTTTTCACGGTGTCATCGCCTTGATTTTCTCGGGTCCGATCTTTTGGAGAGTGATCAAATGGATACGAGGGTTCTCGAAGAAATGATTGTTCAAAAATGGCTTAGAAAATAGCGTAGAGCTTGGAATAAATCTCTATATTATTGTAACATTTTTGCAGCTACAAGTTATGAAAATTAGTCATTTCTAGTAAACAGAAAGCTTTAGATCTTGAATTGATCTCATCTTCTAAAATGAAAAAGATTATTTTTGCATTATTTCTATAATCTAGCCAATTTCACACGTAGTTCTCCTTTTCAAATACTTCAAATAATGCTAATCTCAGCGGAAAATCGAATCTATTCAAAAAGGGGGCTAAATTTAAAGAAAATCTCTCTCTTTTGATGCCTCAATGAGCTCATTAGATGGAGAATTTATAGCAATTTACAGCAATTCTAATTTCACAGCAATTTCACAGCAATTTCACTTAACTCATTGATTCTCTGGTGTTTCATTTTTGTCGTTTTTAATTGCTTTCTTTTCGTCACAACGTCACAACACTACAAATCCACAAAAAAAACGATCTTCTTTTTCTAAAAAGATCTACAAGCTCACAAAAAGAAACTGTTGCATTTCCCTTTTGCGACTAAACTTTCCCTTTGCATTTCCCTTTGCATTTCCCTTTTGCACTAAACTCTTTTCTATAAAATCGACCACAAGTGAGACATTGTTTAGAGGAAAATAGCCAAGATTTCATCGAAATTTTTAAATCAAATTTATCATGAAACCTTTAGTTTGTCGTGTATTCTTTGTTTGTCGTCGTTTGTCGTGTCATCGCGTTGATTTTCTACAACTAGCTAACTAGTTTTCTTCAATTTCGAGACTTTCCAATTCAACTTTACCAAAATCCCATTCTTTCAATCAATTTCAATTTCCAACCACCCGATTTTCCCACTCAGAAAAATTCAAAAATGCCAAAAAAACACAGTCCATAATTGACTAAAATTCCCATTTCATTTCCCTTTGCATTTCCCTATTGCGCTAAACGCTTTTCTATAAAATCTACAACTTGCTAACTAGTTTTCTTCAATTTCCAGACTTTCCAATTCAACTTTACCAAAATCCCATTCTTTCAATCAATTTCAATTTCCAACCACCCGATTTTCCCACTCAGAATAATTCAAAAATGCCGAAAAAACACAGTCCATAATTGACTAAAATTCCCATTACACAAAAATGAAAAAGAAAAACAGAAGAAGACAAAACTCGCGCGAAAAACGGTTCACTCATATCAAGAAACAAAAAAAAAGAAAGTCAATTAACGCCTTCAGCCGTTTCTATGGAAAATTTCGAAGGGAATTTTTTCATTTTTCTCGCCTTCTTTCCACTTTTATGTGATAGACATTTTTTTCTCAAAAAATCTTTGAGTAACTAGTGATTTGAGGGTTTTTTTCGAAATGATTAGGTTGATTTTTCGAATTTCTACCCTTTCCAAGCTCATTTCTGCCTCGTTTACAAGACTTCAAAGAATTTCAAGAATTCAAAGCTTAATCATTTTAATCAGCTTAATCATTTTAATCAACTTAATCATTTTAATTAACTTAATCGTTTTAATCAACTCAATTTTAATCAGCTTATTTATTTTAATCAGCTTAATCATTTAAAAAGCTTAATCATTTTAACCAGCTTAATCATTTTAATCAGCTTAATCATTTTAATCAACTTATTTATTTTAATCAGCTTAATCATTTTAATCAGCTTAATCATTTTAATCAACTTAATCATTCAAAAAGCTTAATCATTTTCAAGCTCAAGTTCATTTTAGCCTGAAATTCTCGTAAAAAGTAGTAAAAAGTAGTGTTTTCTGTTCGGATTTTGTAAAGAATAGATGAAATCTTTGATATTACAAAATCCAATATAGAAATATTGATATAGAAAAGGTGTCTAAAGCTCTAAAGCTTCCTTTCAATCCAATGAAAGAGAACAATTCCATTCATCACAGAAATCTATTGTTTTCTCTGGCTTTTCTTCTCGAAATCAATCACAAAATCCAATCCGTATTACGTTTTTCTATAATTAAAAAAAAAAATGAAGGCCCTCTTCAGCAGAGTTCTTATTTTTTGACTTATCAAAAGACTAAAATTAGACAGTAATTCAATGCATTCGGGATTTTTGCATGACCGGATTTTTAAAAACCGACCAAACTTCAGTAAAAAACCCTTCCGAAAGTTTTCAAATCAAACCACCACAGTCATTTTCCGCTCATCCATTTTTTTTCCTCTTCCTATTCTTTCCTTTTCCACTTGATTTCTTTTATTTCACCTCTCTCTCTCTCTTTCTTTCTCTTTCTCTTTCTCTTTCTCTTTCTCTTTCTCTTTCCATTCCATCTATACAATTGTCCCAAATCTTCTATCTCCAGAAAATCCCCTCGAAAATCCGTTGATTTTCCTGACTAGGTCGACAATTTTTGCCGTGCTAAATCCCTTTTTTTTAGTTTTTTTTTAGTTTTTTTTCTTCTTTTCAATTCTTCTCAAATTGTTTTTAGATAAAATGCTAGTGATTCGAACATTTCCACTCCTCGTCGCTGGTTTTCTTTTTGTGTCAGCTGGACCAACGATAAACAAGGCGAGAAACTATTCTGCAATTTATTGAATAAATTAATTGAGTTAAACGAATATAGCTCCATTGAATAAATGGATATAGCTAGTTAGCATATCCATTTATTCAATGGTATACGCTAACTACACATTGATCTCCGAAAATGTCGCTCTCGGGCCTTCGCAAGCAATGGTATATGCTAACCAGCTATATCCATTTATTCAATGGACATTTATAGTTAGCATGTCCATTGAATAAATGGAGATCTTAACGCACAGATCTTAACTCACAGGTTTTAACTCAGATCGCAGGTCTTGGATTTATTTCTTATCTTAACTATTGGGTTGATGCATAATTATCCGGACTTCTTTTATAAATGATTTTATTTAACAAAAAATAACATAAATAGTTAGAAAAATATGTTTAATTGATTATTCTGGAGCATATTCACCGCCTACATCAATAACTGATTGCCATTTGCTTGGAAGACGATCGATTCCACGAGCGAAGAATAAACGATCTTTGGAGGCAATCCACGCTTTAACATCGTCTATCAAGTCATCCAAATCGTTGTAGATCTTATTTGTTTGCCAATTTTTGAGCGATCGATTGACGTGGTAGTCCGTTGGGGCTTCTCCAGTTCTTTGAGATCGCGAAACGACTCTGCGGCAGACCATCCCTTTTCGAAGTGGTAGAGCATGATATGGCGAAGATGGATATGATTGTCGACACGCATTTTGTTCACTAAAGAATAACGAATATTTAAAAAAAAGAAATAGACAAAAAGCTTTCAAAACAAAAAAGATACAAGCACGCAAAAAGAAGTCCGGATAATTATGCATCAACCCAATAGTTAGCATATCCATTTATTTAATGGAAATGCTAACTAGCTATATCCATTTATTCAATAATTCAATTTGAAATTCAAATTTGAAACTTTTTCCATTTCAGAAAGGCGAATTTCTATCGCAATATGAGATTTGTTTTGGTTTTTTGAATTGAAACCTGATATTAGATAACTAGAAATAGTTTTGTGTAGGCATTTTCTAAAACGTGTCAAAACTACGGTAAGAATGTCTCAAATGGGTAGTATTATAATAGGAAGTGGGACAATTGCAACCATTTTTTTTGCACCCGGTCCATTCGCGTTTTAAAAAACCTCTAAAAAGCTAATATTGACCAATTTCTCTTCTAAAAGTTGTTTTTCTGGGTAATTTTAAGGCGTAGAATCGGAAATTTTGACATATCAAAGCTTCTGGAAGCTATTTGAAAGATAAAACGGGTAGATCAAATTGGAGAAAATTCTCTGGTTAAAATTCTCGATTTTTTCTTATTTATAGCGCCGTTCGTTTGCTTCCACAAGCTCTGATATATCAAAATTTAGATTCTACGCCCTTAAAATTACCCAGAAAAACAACTTTTAGAAGAGAAATTGTTCAATATTAGCTTTTTAAAACGCGAAAAAAGTGCGCTAATGGGCCGAGTGCGCAATAAAAAAAAACTCGCACTTTTCCCACTCCCGTTATAGTAAATAAAGTGCTAAAAGTTTTCCACTTTTCTTTTTTTATGTTTGCTAGATTCTCTACTGGGGTTAAAATATGATATCAGGAATTTTTAGAGAGAATCCGACGACGAGAATCCACCAGAGGGCCCACACGATATGACAGATTATTGCCAGAAAATTGCCGAATTTTCGGGATCACATTATTGCGATGTAAGTTCAGCATGAGTTTTAATTAAAAATTCGACACTGTTCTGCAATTTATTCAATAAAGTAATAGGGTTAAACATTGGAGAAATACACTACGCGGATTTTGTCGAGTATTTTGGCATGGCTCCATTTAAAAAGCTAAAGATATTTATACAGTACTGGACAATGAAATATGATATTTGAAAAAAGATCGTCACTTTCGCGCGTCTGTAACTCCCTTGTCTTTACCGTATTTCTAAATATTAATATTACCATTGTGTAGCCCTTGAAAAGAGCTTTCAAAAAATGTAGAACACTAATAGTTTAAACTCAAAGACAAGGGAGCTACAGACGCGCGAAAGTGACGATCGTTTTTCAAATATCATATTTCATTGTCCAGTACTGTATCTATCAATTACACTAACTCGACTTTTGCAGACTTACGACATTTGTTGCTCGCCCACTCGCCAATTCTCGGCTTTATACTGCACACAGAGAGAGTACGTCTGCACATATGACAATGCTACGGTATGGATATTAAAAAAAAAAAATACATTTATTGAAAACCAATAATGTGATACAAACAAAGGGTACATAATAAGACATAAAGGTTAAACACACAATTTTATGGCACTGCGGCCGTTCTCACCCCTATTTACCCCTATTACCCAAATGTTGTGAAAGAAAAAACCCACTTGGTGGGAAAAAGAAACATTTTTATCTTGCCAGAGTGATTGAACCCTCGACCTTCCGCTTAAGAGACAAGACTCCTAACCGGTCGGCCATCTGGCCATTAACCTTAGAAATCTAATCCTAAAGAACCCTATCTACCTTAGAAACTTCTCTAAATTTCAAAAAATCAATAGTCCTTGTAGTTTGTCGGATTTTTGCGTTATTCTTCAGTTTTTTTTTCACTTTGCTTGTTGAACCGTGTGAATTCTTTTATAGAAAAAAAAGGGACAACTTAATTGTATCCAACGATCACGGTAATAGGGTTTGTTGCCAAGGGAAAACGAATAAGAAAAAAAAACGATGAACTTCTGGGAATTTTCTAATCTATGATTAACTCAAAAGAAAGTCAGAAATAACAAAAAGAAAACTATTTAAAAACTAATTTTTACAATAAAAAACTTGTTGATCGCCTGAAAGAGTGTTTTTAAATGCTTGCGTCAACGAAGTAAACTCTTTACCCTAACCAAGTTACCAGGATTGTTTACAAAATATTGAAGAATACTTAGAAGATCTTTTGCCAATCGCCAATGCCAACAATTGCTCCATTTCATTTCAGAACGAGGTCACTGACAAGAAATGCGTGATCTCCGGTTGTTTTTACCCGACCACCCCGCCAAAGGTAAACGTTTAGTGTCGACTTTTCTAACGGTGAATTGACGAGAAATTTACTTGAGTACTTTGAAGCATAGCCTAGATATAGATAGATAGATACTGTAACCATGCGTTAGACTAATCTTCACTTTTAGCAAGAGTTGATCCATTGATCCTGTACGTCTTCTGTACCATGTACAGGATCTCAAGCGATCCTGTAAATCGTGTTCTTTGTGCTCACTCATAATCGCGCGCTGTCTGGCACAGACCGCAATAGGGGGTGATAAAAAGGGCGCTCTCTCATCATCTTTTCGGTCTGCCATGACGATTTAGCTAGCGAATAAAACGAATAAAATAGTGCGAGTAAAATCTCTTTTGTATCCGTGGCTCATTTCCAAGCACTTTTTGGATTTTAAAACTGCTAAAGTTTAAGGAGATCTAATTGCTGAATCCTTTTGCAGCTAGATCAATTTATGCCGAGCCAAGCTTTAGAAATATTACCCGAGTTACCGTTGATTACCGTTAGACAAGTCTAGCCCAATGAAATGTCGAATCCTCCTCCAACTGAGCCATCAAACGCATCGAATCTCACCGATTTCCCCCAACCGGCGCCAGCTGACAGTGGAAACACTGAAAATGTCACCGAAATTCCTCAAATGGCCAACACTCAGCTATCGGAACAAAATCAGGTGCGTTTGGCTTCTGTCAGGCATGTCCAATGTTTTTTGACTCATCTTTGATGTGCCTTTTTTCTATTCAGACTTTGATTTCAAATGCAACCACACAAAGTGTCGATTTGAAAATGAAAAACGAGGTATTTTAGCTGTATTCTAGCTTGTGATCTGAGGAAAATAGATAGTTTTTTTCTCTTCCTTGCACCAAGTCTTTGCCGTTTTTTGTTTGTTTTTTTTTTGCCTGACATTAGTCAATCGCACTTGAAAGAATTCTTTATAACATAGATTGCAATTAACTAAAATAGATAGTGTTTTTTTGAAGTGATCAATGAAGCTTTAGACGGCTGTGACTCAAGCTAGTGAAGCTGATCCGACTGCTCCATCGGGAGAAGTACCGCCAGAGGTGAGTACAAAGAGGTTTAAATGGAAAAATGAAAGCTTGAAAAGGCAAAATTATTAGAGGATCATTACTAGACAATTCTAAAGCTAACAACTTGAGTAATAGTTGAGAAATCTCAGGCTCAAGCTCGTCCAGGAGTCGAGGGAACTCCGGGGAATGAGACAGAGACAGCGGGAGGAGATGGAGATGCGGCTCCAGGTTTGAAAAGAGAAAAAAACACACTTATAAGTACCGTAAATACTGTACCCCACCCCCATAATGACGGTGCGGAGCGTTGCGTAGTCTAGCTTTGAACGAGTTTTTCTCGACACTGGTTTATGCTACAATGCGCACTTAGGTATCAAAAAATAGCCCTGAATTTCAGCTATTTTTTGATACCAAAGACGCATTTTTTGAAAGTAACGGGCGCTTTGAAAAAATGAAATACTAAAAAACTTTTGCGACTGTACGAGACTGTACGAGGGCGGTGGGGTACTATTACAGTATTTACGGTAGGTTAATTGGTGAAATTTGTTATTTTTAAACGGAAGTATGAAAAGAAACGAAGAAAAACCTCTCTGGAAAGCCTAATAATTAACTCATCAGCGACTAAAGATATTAGAAGTCCGAACACCCTGCTCACTTGTACAAAATGAGCTCTAAATCTACCGTAAATATTGTAATAGTAACCCAGTCCCATAATGACGGTGCGGAGTGTTGCGTAGTCTAGCTTTGAACGAGTTTTTCTCGACACTGGTTTAAGCTACCATGCTCGCTTCGGTATCAAAAAATAGCCCTGAATTTCAGCTATTTTTTGATACCAAAGACGCATTTTTTGAAAGTAACGGGCGCTTTGAAAAAATGAAATACTAAAAAACTTTTGCGACTACGCGACTGTACGAGGGCGGTGGGGTACTATTACAGTATTTACGGTAGATAAAAATAAACTGTGACTCTTAGAATATTAATGCTTATCAGATTGTCAAGAAAAACTCAGAAGAGATTATTCAGATTATTATACAAATTGCAGGCCATTCACTCGTTCTCCTCACCTCGATCTCCACGATTCTCCTAGCCGTTTTCTATCAAAACCCTGTGATTCTTTAAATTGAATTTCTTCTATTATTCTTGTGGCCAAATTTCTTCTAATCTTCCAATCCCTTTTCTTTCTTTGATCTCAAAATTTGTGCTCAAAAATACCCCGTGAAATCTCTCTATTCTTGAATCTCTAGGTTTGAATGAATTATTTTCTTTTTTTGTTAAGAAAATGGTTAAAGAAAATGATTCATTTCATATTTCTTTTTAAAGAAAATGAACCAGAAATGGTTAACTTTCTTTAATTCATTTTCCTTTATTCATTTTCCTTTAAGCTTTTAACACTTTTCTTTCACTTTTCTAAAGCAATAGGATTTGTGACTTTTTTTTTTTGCTAAACTCTGAATAAATATTTTAAGGTTCAAAAGGTTGTTGAGGGTACAAAAGGCACAAAGGTTAATAATTCTTTATCACACGTAAAGAAAATTTCAAATAAAATCTTCAGACTTTGGCATGACGTTGCCGAAGTCCGTTTCCATTATCAGCTCTAATAATATTCGGGAACATAAAAACCGATCGCCAACCCGGTGCTTTAAGATTCGACGTGGAAAGAAATCAAGATAACGGAGTCTTTGATCGCTTCAATTTCAGTCTATCTTTATCGTTTTTAAATAGTTTTCATCGTTTTCGTTCAAACAAATCGTTTTCATAAAAAAACGAGTACCAATCGTTTATTTAAACTTTGTGCCAGTTGTCAGCTTGACTGTAAGAGTTGATAGTCAGTTATTAGCTTGACTGTAAGAGTTGATAGTCAGTTGTCAGCTTGACTGTTAAAGTTGCTAGGCAGTTATTAGCTTGACTGCTAGAGTTGCTAGTCAGTTATTAGCTTGACTGTAAGAGTTGATAGTCAGTTGTCAGCTTGACTGTTAAAGTTGCTAGGCAGTTATTAGCTTGACTCTAGAGTCTAGTCAGTTATTAGCTTGACTGTAAGAGTTGATAGTCAGTTGTCAGCTTGACTGTTAGTTGCAGGCGTTTTGCTTGACTGCTAGAGTTGCTAGTCAGTTATTAGCTTGACTGTAAGAGTTGATAGTCAGTTGTCAGCTTGACTGTTAGAGTTGCTAGGCAGTTATTAGCTTGACTGCTAGATTTGCTAGTCAAGTTGTCAAGAAAATAAATGATTTAGGTGTAAACAGAGCATTCAAATAATCTGATACATCTTTACTCTTTCATTTGCCTCATTTTTGATTTCTAACAATGACTCCCCCAACTTTCAGGTAATGAATACCTGGCCGGTGCTTCTCGTTGTGTTGGCCTCAGTGCTCGACTTCTCCTCGGGAGAAGTCTACCGTCAACATTTAGTCAGACGGGTTTCCCCGATGACCCGTATGATCAACAAAGGCACTTGGGCTGCCCATTTGAAAGAGAAGGATCTCGCTAGAGTTTCACCCATTCACACATTGGGATCGTTCCCGCAAAAGGTGAGTAAAGCTATGTTTTTGTTAAGAATATGTTAAGAAATTTCTTCACAAGATCAGCTCACCATTTCATTCAGGTGTACGACTATGAGGACGAGGAATACCTTGGAAACATCACAATTGGATCAAAACAACAACAATTCAAGGTGAGTTCAGTGAAGATTTGTGTTTGTGCTGTAGAATGGAAACGCACTCGGCCTGGTGCATTAAATTGAGTATCTAATCCATTTGCAGGTTGTCTTGGACACAGGATCGGCTAATCTCTGGATTCCTGACAAAACTTGCACCGGAAAGCCATGTGATGGAAAAGACAAATTCGATCAGACTCAATCAACCACTTATCAGGTTTTGATGAAATCTTAATAAAAGCAATGAATATTTTCAGAAGAATGGACGCACTTGGACAATCCAATACGGAACTGGATCGGCTCGAGGATTCCTCGGAGTCGACACCGTCAGCTTTGGAGCTCCGTCCGAGAATCAGGTATTAAAGCAAAGATTACTGTAGTTCTATAGGTTGTCTTCAAGTAGAAAACTTGAGCTTTTGAATCGATTTCCAGTTGGTCGTCCCCACCACCACTTTCGGACAAGCCAACTCGATCGCTGCTTTCTTCACCGGTGATCCGATCGACGGAATCCTCGGATTGGCTTTCACCTCAATCGCTGTCGACAGCGTTGTTCCACCATTTATCAATGCCATCAACCAAGGTGAATTTAAGCATAGAGAGCTACTATTTTAAGCTTAGAGAGCTACTATTTTTAAGAGAGTATTTTGCATTGCTTTTTTGCACAAGTGTACAAATTAAATTTTCTATCTCATTTCCTTAGCTAAATCTAGGTCTCGTCGACGCTCCACTCTTCACCGTCTATCTGATGCACGATGGTGCTCAAGACGGAGCTTACGGAGGAGTGTACACTTATGGAGGACTTGACACGCAAAACTGTGGAGATGTGATCGCCTATCAACCACTCTCATCAGCCACCTACTTCCAATTCAAGGTCAGTTTCTTTTAATTTGACCTTCAACTACTGTAAATCTTGCTAAATTTGCAAATCAGGAAAAGGCACAAAACAATTGACAAAAGAAATCAAATCTTTTTAGATGGATGGCGTCAAATCCGGAAGCTATTCGAGCACCAAGGGATGGCAAGTCATCTCCGACACTGGTACCTCGTTCCTTGGTCAGTTCTTTTTAAAACAAATCAGAAATCATTTAGTGCAGAGTAATGTCATCATTATGAATGTCATCATTATGAATGTCATCATTATGAATGTCATCATTAAAAATGATTAATTCTTTCTTCAGGAGCTCCAACTGCCGTTTCCGATGGAATTGCTAAGGCCGTTGGCGCCACTTGGGATCCAAACAATCAAGTGTACAACATCGACTGCAAGGCTCAGGCTTGTTTTAAAGAAATTAGACGATTAACAATCAAGATCACAATTCTAGGCCTCAGTAACAGTGACAATCGGAGGAAAAGACTACACCATCTCCTCAGCCAACATGATTGTCCCTGGTGATAGCGGATGCTGGCTCGCTCTCTTCCCATTCGATGAATTCGGTAAGGAAAGAAAGAAATGAACTTTAAGCATAACTGTAGTTCTTATATTTGAACTCTTTTAGGCCTCGGCTGGATCTTGGGTGACCCATTCATTCGTCAATTCTGCAACGTCTACGACATTGGAAACAAACGTGTCGGCTTTGCTCCATCAAAGCAAATGTAGAACTTTTCACTTTTTCTTTTAACAAATAAACTCTCGACAATTTGACATTATTGAATTTAGAAAGAAAACAAATAAAGCTTAGAGGAAGCTGTTACAGAAAAAAACAATAAGATTCTATTTTTTTTTCATGAAAATTCTGCATGGGCTGGATTTCTTGTTGTCAAAGTTAAATCCAGATCTGAACTTGGTCTGGTTTTATTAGGTGTCTGAAAAAGTAATCCACGTTTTTTATTTTTATCTGATGACCAAATAAGACGCTGTCTTCTCGAAAACCCTCGTTCAACCTCTTCAGAAATAGGCCTTACATTAAATTGTGATGGGTCAACCGTAAGGAAACGCTTGAATGCCATGAATTTTATCAAAAAGTTGGACAAATGGATACCGCATGAACGATAACGCGCGACCACATGTCTCTTTACAGACTCGACAAAAAATCCAGAGTGTTGGATGGGAGGTTTTACCACATCCACCTTGAGGATTACTTTTTCACAAACCTAATATTTTTGGATTGAGTCCAGACCTTTCTCCATCTGATTATTATTTATTTTTGTCTCTGTCTAACTTTTTGGCCAATAAACGGTTCAATTCCGAAGAAGATGTCAAAACCCTTTTCTTGATCTTTTCTTGATCTTCAGAAGGTTGATCTTTTCTTCGCCTCTAAGGACCAAGATTTTTATTATCGTGGAATGTCTTTACTTGTAGAACGTTGGCAAAAGGTTGTTCTTTCGAATGGTGATTACTTCGTTGAATAAAAATTATTTTAACGAAACTTATGGTCTTTTATATTTAAACGTTAAAAACGTGGATTACTTTTTCACAAACCTAATATTTTTGGATTGAGTTGATTTGAACTGATTTGATTCTACCTTAACTCTATAGATTTAAAGATTGGCACAATTATTGAGAGTTAGTTTAAGCTAGAGTTGAATTTTGCGAAAATGTGCTAAATAGAAGCTGCTCTGGCTTGACTTAGCTTGACCCTGCGCCCTGGGTGAACCCAAATCTGACTGTGTTAGATCTGACTTTGCCAGATCTAACAAAATTTACTAGTTTCACCCCAAAATTCGCAATCTTGGAGGAATAGCTTCTTTCAAATTTAAAATTTCGGTACTTTAGTGGTTGGGAGGGGCCACTTTTATCCTGCCTTCTTTAGAACTAATGTTTTGAATGGTTGTATTGGTACCTTCTATCTATTTTAGCGTAATCAAATATGGCTCATAGATTGGTGACTATTTTAGCAAGTTTTTTTTTGACAATTCTAGCCTAATCTCATGTACTTTAACCACCAAACGCTACCTCAAAGCTGCTTACACTTCAAAATCAAATAAAAGCGGCAATATGAAACTTGAAAGATGTTGTAAATGCTCTATAAGCGTATTTGATTAGCCTAGAATACGTAGATAAAGGGTATCAATATAAAAGGTGTAGATTCAAAGATGGCCACAATTAGATCCAACTAAGCCAGGATAAAAGTGGCCCCACCCATTGAGATCTACAAAATGAAACCAAAATCATAAAGATTGGTTCACTTAGAAAAAAGTTATGGTGAGTTGCGCAAATAACACGGCAAATAACACTCACCATAACTTTTTTCTAAGTGAACCAATCTTTATGATTTTGGTTTCATTTTGTAGATCTCAATAAGTGCAACAAAATGACACCAAAATCATAAAGATTGGCCGAACGATTGTGAAGTTTGTGAAATCGAAATTGAAGGGGAAACTATTCGGATTAAAAGTGGAGCTTTGGTACTTCATCCGTCGAGTCTGGACAACTATTGGACCCCAAATTCTACGTGATCTGGTTGACAGCATGCCAAGGAGAATTCAAGCAGTAATTGCGGCTCGCGGAGGACCTACTAAGTATTGATTTCATAACGTTTTTCTCACATGTTAAAAGACTTTTGTCCATCAATTTTTGGCCCAATTTTTGTTTTATTAAAAAGTTCATGGCATAAATTGTTAAATCGATCTTTTTGTAATGTTAAAATTAGAGATAATAAGCTCTTTAAATCTTTTAACCGTTTGCAAATTGCTCGGATTTGGACCAAGATCTACAAAGAACAATCTGATCTGATCTGGCTAAAGTTCGCTTGGACCTAACCAAGTGTGGCTATTAAATCCTAAAATCCAATTGGAAGATTTCTGGCCTCACAAATCGTTATCTGTATAGTCTTGCTAGAATTTATATTTCTGGATCGACTTGTGATTTATTGTGAAAAAAACCCTTCCAATAACACAATCGTTTTTCGCTCCGAACTGCTGATAGAGGGATTTGCACTCACTCCAGATGGATTTTCCCCAAAGAAATGCCCCGTTCAGAGATCATACACTTTTGATAAAACTTTCCAGAGTACATAGGAGAGATTGGCACTCAAGCAGAAATAAACACAATTAGCTTGGGTGTGCATTTTGATTGTTTTTATTTATATTTAGCTTTGCTCAATTTGATTGTTTTCATTTATATTTAGCTTTACTCATCCTTTTTTTTCAGGCGATGAGGTTACTCGTGCTGTTTGCCTTGTTGGGGCTTTCGACAGCCGCCGTTTACAAATCGAAGATGATCTATCGAAAGTGGAAAATGACGAAAATGATTCGAGAGGGAACTTGGCTCGATTATAAAGAGAAAGCTAGAGCATCTGGAGTGACGAAAACGACAAAATATGGAAATCTAGCTGCTGTCCCGTAGAAGGTAATCTTTACAGTGACTTTGACCCAGAAACATGAACACACTTTCCTGATGCGCTCAATTTATTAGCTGTTTCATTTTGACGTCTTATTACTATTTTCTAGGTGCTTGACTAAGACGATAGTGAATACATTGGTCACGTCACTCTTGGCACCCCGGATCAAGATTTTTTGGTAGGAAAAACTTGCTTTCTTTATACCATTTTTAAGGTAATTTTCGATACAGCATCTGGCACTCTTTGGGTACCAGATCAAGAGTGCGGTACACTACCAGATGATTGTCAACAATGTCTTCAAGTGGGCTGAATTTTTCATGCTAAAATCTAAATCTTATAAAATCATTAGATAAATCTTCAAAGTGTTCAAAAAAACCTCGTTTCAAGTTCGACGAATTCGATTGCTTCTTCGATTGTAAAGATCCGTTCTGTTGTGACACGATCACTCTCGGAAAACGATTTAAAGAAGCGGCTAAACGATTCGGAGCCTGTCTTCGAAAACACAAATTCGATCAATTCCAATCGTCGACTTTTGCGGTAAAATTTCCATTTCCCATAATTTTCCACAATTTTCCGTTTAGCCTTTTCCTGGAGATGGTTGGCAAACGAGCGAGGCTTATGGACGATTGGGAATGGAGACTTTTAGGTAAAAATTCATGTTTGCTACTAGATTTATTTTAAATCTAAGGATAGGATTTTTGGAAAAACGACAGGATTCACAATCGGGGACACGAATTACACTTGGATTTTAGATTTGGAGCCGCTAATGAATCTCAGCTCGTCGTCCCGTTAGTCAACTTTGGGCAGGCTCTCGATGTGGCTGGTTGCGTATTGAACTTGCTATTTGAATTGAAATTTGAAATGAGATCCGTTAGTCTTTTTTTGAAATTTGGAAGGAAAAAGTAGAGAAGCAACAAATTTTTACAGAGAAAATCTTTTGAATGAGTTAGGTTTTTGAGTAAAAGAGGAAGTTCGATGAGTTAAGCCTATTGATGATGAGTTATCTTTAGATGGTTTCTACAACGATCCAGCCGACGGAGTTCTCGGCTTAGGATTCACCGCACTCGCCGTTGATCACATCCTTCCACCGTTCATTTCAGCTGTCAATCAAAGCAAGTTTTCTATCAGTTCGATATATGTCATCAAAAAAATCAACAACGTTATTTTGGTTTTTCTAGAGCTAGTCGACCAGCCAATTTTCTCGGTTTTCCTCCAAACGGACGGTCAAGTCGAGGGTCAACCGGGCGGTGTGTTCACATGGGGAGGAATCGACACGGATAATTGTCAAGATGTGTGGGCATGGATGCCCCTACAAGCAGCTGATTACTGGGTTTTCAAGGTAGTAATCTATTAGATACGTATTTCCTTGCTGTTGATGATACAATTTGAATAGTTGACAAAATTGATTTAACAATTTACTTGAACAAAAATATTGGGCAATCCTTTTCAAAGAAAAAGTGACAACGAATTTGACCAAAGGAAACAATGCTATGAAATGGACAAATAGGATAGGAGGTCCGCACTTTAAGTTAACGAGTTAATCTGTGCTAAACACTTAAGTTAACAAGTTAATCTGTGTTAAACACTTAAGTTAACAAGTTAATCTGTGGGAAATGATTTAAAACAACTATGATATTCCCAACAAAATCAATCTTTAAAGCGTAAAACTTGTGATTTTTAGATGCGAGGAGTCATCTTTTCTTCACTGAAGAAAAAGAATGGAAAGTGATCTCGGATACAGCATCGTCATTCATTGGTATCCGGGAAATACTTATTTCTAGATATTGCAGTAGATCAGCTTAAAGTATTTAACTTACCTATATATTTTTGATCTTTTAAAACGAGCCGATTGTATTTGTCTTAAACCTAGGTGGCCCACAACAAGTGATCAACTCAATCGCGCATCAAGTTGGCGGACAATTCAATATCAAGTACTCAATGTACATTGTAAGATCAAATCTAAGATGAAAATGAAAAAGCTTTTAGATATCTTGCAATGCTACGACAACCGCTCCAGATATCACGCTCGAAATCGGCAATCACAACTACATGATCCCGGCACTTTGAGAATTGATGAGGTAATTGATTAATAAATCTATAATATCTATATATCTATAATATAAACAAGTCAATATATATCTATTTTCAAATTAAATTTTAATTTTTAGGCTACAAAATACATCATTCCATCCGGAAAGCCGAATCTTTGCTTCATGAACTTTGTCAACTACAATGCACAGGTTAAAAGTTTTGCTAATTCTTCATAGAGCCCAGTTTTCTAAATTTCAAAAACTTTATGATCATTTATTTCTAATAACAAATTTCTTTCAGCCTTTCAAGCCCCAGTGGTTCATCGGAACTCCACTTATGCGACAATACTGCCATTTCTATGATGTCTCCAAGCAAAGACTTGGCTTTGCCATCCCGAAAACGAAAAGCTCAAAAAAATAGAGTTTCATGCAAAAATAAACATATTTTTTTGACTTAAATGGCAATCTTTTTTGATCATTTGCTTTTTTTTTGGGGGTGAAAGCGTCTGTGCAAATTGAGATGACGCACGGCTCTGGGTTGCTTTTTTGGTTGGCCGGAAATTGGGGAAACACCCTAATTCTTCACTGTTTCATTTTTGACGTTTTAAATGGCATTTTTAATGATTTTTTAAGAATATTACATTTTTTTGCATAAAATAATACCTATAATCTTTACAAAATGACTAAAGATTGGCAATTTTTGAACGATTTCCAGTTTTCTCTTTCTAATGAAGTTTTTTTGATAAGCTAAATCGATTTTGAAGGCTTAGACTTTGGCTAAGTCGATTTTTGAAGGCTTAGACTTTGGCTAAATCGATTTTGAATATTCTGGCAGAATATCTTTACCATTTTTCTGTAAGATAAATTCTCTATTTTGTGTGATCCTAGAAATTTCATCCTAGAAATGTGTCATTTCTGCCGCTAGTCAAAACTTTTCTTTCGCTATGTCTTTCATCCTTTCCTAAACATCGATTTCCCCAAATTCCATACAAATTTTTGATATTTAAACTTTTCGGGAACTTCGATTTCATGAAAAATCCTTTGCCCGACTCCCCAGCATAACACCGAGATTTATCTTCGTGTGGGTTAAACCAAAAATGAATGCGAAAAGTGGATTTCTCTTGCTGAGCAAATCTCGAAAAATTGACACCCAATAAAGCAATCTGCGGAAAAGAAGAAAAATGAAAAAAAAAGGGTGAGTCGGCGATAAAAATCTTTCCGCTTTTCAAAAAGAATAGAGACTCTCTTTCTCTTTCCGTCAATCAAACAACACCGGAAAGACGCACTTTTTTATGATTTGCTGAGGGGATTTCTCACCAAAATAATGGATAATCGTGAAAATCTTTCTTGAAAAGGGGAAAGCGTTTGCTGCTTGCAGGAGCCAAGTTAAGAGAGGCTAAGGCCAGCGTCAAGCTGACCTAACACTATGGACTATGAGTCATGGACACTATGGACTATGACATTTGAAATTATCTACCAGAAAAAGTGCAATGTGTGTCAAGGCTCAGGCTCAGGCTTAGGCCTAGGCTTAGGCTCAGGCATAGGCTTGGGCTTAGGCTTAGGCTTAGGCTCAGGCTTAGGCTTAGGCTTAGGCTCATGCTCAGGCTTAGGCTTTTTTAGGCTTAGGCTTAGGCTTAGGTGAACCTTGTTCAATCCTTCTCAAGTTCTTAAAAATCTTTTCTTTAGCACTAGTACTTCATTGTAATTATGAAGATCTGTACCCTGTAGATTCTGCATTGTAAAATCTGTAGAATAGTATTTTTTTGGACAAATCGATTCACCGATTCACAAATCAATCGATTCATCTTCTCACCCAGAAACATTCGAGGAATCTCTTCATGAAACCAATTTCAGGCGGTGTTCGGGAAACGAATGACTGTTGGAATTCGTCTTTTGAAAAGCTCTTTTCTCAAAGTTTTTTTCCCAACTCTCCTCGACCTTGACCCCCAAAAAGAGAGTCTCACATCGACGATCTTGGGGGACCCATCCTGGCACGAGAATCTCTCGCCCATCCTCCAAACCTTTACCAAACAGAGACTCAAGTAAGCTTTTCATTGCACCGCTTTTAACTTGATTACAGTTTTTGATCGACCATTGATTCTACTACTTTGAGCACTTCTTTTATTTTAGTTTTTGATCTGTTTGCATGTGATTCGTTTAGTTTTAAAAAAATAGTTATTCACAGGAATAATTTGATGCAAACAATAAAGTTTTTCTATCTCTTGGCAGGAAAATATTAATAACTTTGAGTTAAAAAGTGAATTGATTTGTTAGGGTTTTCAAAGAAATCCTCGATAACTCAATCACAAATAGATTTCTTAAAAAATTGACCGCAAAAAACAAACGCAAATTTCCCCTCGAGAGATGTCTCTGATTTGCCGATGGGGATTTCTCTGTCTTTTGTGTGCATTCAATAATTGAATTTATGTGTTCCTTTTTGCTTTTCATTGAATGTCTCCTAAGCGAAAAGAACATTCCATTCCATCATCCTTTTCAAATAAATCCGATACACCTCTCAAAAAAAAAAAAAAAACAGAAAATCGATTTTCGAAGCAACACTCATCCCCCCATTTTCCCCATTTAGTCGAGATTTTTCGGATTTTTCATTTTCTCTCTTGGACAATTCGGGAAACTCGTTTTCTTTTTTTTTGGCATTTCAGCAATCTTTTCATTCATTTTTCAAATTGTTTAAATGTTTTATTTACAGTAGAGAAGATTAGGAGTTGATTTTTTTTTTTGTAAGATCTCCTATAGTGTGTTAGTTTAAAATTGAATAGTTTGATGTTAGTAAAGTTGCAAAAAAGTCGAAGTTAAGCAGACTTTCCGAATTTTTCCGAAATCGGATTCAATGATTTGCCGTTTTGACAACTTTTCGTAGATTGAATCAAGCTTAATCCAATGAATCAACAATCCAACTGTTTAAAGCTTTATTGTTAGGGAATTGTTAAACTAAATTAGCTAGCCTGGTTTACTGAGCTTTTAAAAAGAAAACCATAATCAAACGCTGTATCCGAACTAGTTAAAAAAACTTCTTTATCAGTTACTAGCCGAAAAACCCGCTTAACGGCGGGTTTTTCTGGCTGAATGTTTTGGGATCGCTTTGGGATTCTGTAGTTTGATCTCTCGAGTTAAAAGGCGTTCGGCGCGACTAACGCCACGCCTCGCGCCCTGGAATCTATCTCTTAATCCTTCAAAGCAATATCGGGACCAACCCTAATACCCTCCGCAGCAATAACGACATCTATACTGGGTGCGCTGGGCGCGACTAACCTCACAATGTCGGTCCTCCCCCCTTCTGAGACTCCTGTAACAATAAATTTGCCCTGAGGCAACCAAAATTTGCATACTTCAATCCCATGTTTGAAAAAATCTAAAACAAAAAGGTTTGGAACGGACGGGAATCGAACCCCTTAGAGCAATCGTTCTTTAGACGGGACGCTAACCGCCTCGACCATGCCCCTCAAGCGGCCCTGAGGTTAAAAAGGACCTACCGTAAATACTGTAATAGTACCCCACCCCCATAATGACGGTGCGGGGCGTTGCGTAGTCTAGCTTTGAACGAGGTTTTTCTCGACACTGGTTTACGCTACAATGCGCGCTTAGGTATCAAAAAATAGCTGAAATTCAGGGCTATTTTTTGATACCAAAGACGCATTTTTTGAGAGTACGGGCGCTTTGAAAAAAATGAAATACTAAAAAACTTTTGCGACTACGCGACTATACGAGGGGGTGGGGTACTATTACAGTATTTACGGTATGTAAGCTAATACCTTATTTATAAAAGCACAGCCTCCAATATAACCGAATAACTATCGATATTCATTACAGTATTTACGGTAGCTAAGTAGTTTTTCTAATTTTTTACGGGTTTTTGATGAAAAACGTGTTTTGACCAAAAAGTATTTACCTATTCATTTTTAATTCTCTATCGATTAGAAAAAAGTTTATCGAAATCGGTTTATTTCGAGCCGAGATCCAGAGGGTGACGGACGGACAGACGGACGGACACTTCTCTTTTAAATATAGTATCAATATTTAGGCTAATTGAAAAGCTTATCACTGTATTATTTGACTATAACTATAGCAGAATATTAAAGAAAAAATGCCGATCATAAACTTGTTCCTTTCTCCAGATCAATTATCGACTCAACTCCTCCTTTTCTTTGTCATTTCTTTTTTTTCCACATCAACTTCTTTGCATGTAAATTTCGATTATTCTCTCTGACGAAAACTAATAGGTTCGGATCCGATTTCTTCTCTATTTTACTTTGAATTACATCAAAAAAACATTATTGCACTCTTTCCCAACTTCTTCCTTGTTCAATACATCTCATTCCTTCTTTTTATTCATACAAATCTCTCCGGATTATCGCATGCTTAACTTTCTTCATTCAATTTATAATCCAGCAAGAACTTGTGTTCGTCTATCCTTTTTTCTGAGGTGTTTTCTGAAGAGTGTAGTCAAGAATTTTCTTCTAGAGTTCTTTCTTCATGAGTTCTTTCTTTCAAAACTAAAATCTCTGCCTTTCTTTCAAAACTAAAATCGTTTCAAGCTTCTCATCTTTTCTCAAATCTGAAAAACTCTATTTCTATAAAGAATTAGCCATGTTCAGCTTTTTAATTAGTTTCTTACTTCGTTAATTTTCAACTTTCAAGCTTTCAATGAGCGCTGAGTAAATCATTTCGCAAGTCAGAGCGACTGGAGAGCCAAATAGCTCTAGCGCTTGAATCCCCAGGTCTTTCAAAGTCGTTTTGTTTGTGGACCCATCTGATCGGTCCCATTTGGTGTGCGGTTTATACAAAAGAAGAAAAGAGAGAAAGGGGAAGAAAGCGGACAAAAAGGACGTGAAGAGACGGTGAACGAATGGCCTGAGGGGGGAAGAAAGCGGACAAAAAAAGGCTGATCGACTGGGTGAGACATTGCAAGAATGTGGAGATGGGGAAAGGCAAATATATGAAGGGAACGGTGAAATGAAAGTTTTTCTACTACAAAAAGTACCTAATTTTGACATTTGCCTAGTTTACTAGTTTATAAAATCCCCTATAATCGGAACGGAAGTCTTCACAGGTCGGAATTGTGACTTTTGGCAGTAAAGTTCAAATCGAAAGCTTTTTATCATATCTTTTTATTATAATATAATTTTTGATGATTATAACTTGTTATTTTATAGAGTTTTTCTCTATAACTTATTATTTTATAGATTTCTCTTTGATTAAATCAGTCATAGCTTCGTTTCCAGTTTCAACTGATCGGAAATGAATAGAATCAATTAAATGTTTCAACTAAGTTCAACAGAATGTTTCAAATTCTAAAGCAATACTTGATCCAAAGTAATACAGCAATACTAGTCAAGCCAACACCTAGTCAAGCCAACGCCTAGTCAAGCCAACACCCAGCCAAGCATATACTAGTCAAGCCAACACCTAGTCAAGCCAACACCCAGTCAAGCAATACTAGTCAAGCAATACTAGTCAAGCCAACACCTAGTCAAGCCAACACCTAGTCAAGCATTTACTAGTCAAGCAATACTAGTCAAGCCAACACCTAGTCAAGCCAAACCTAGTCAAGCATTTACTAGTCAAGCAATACTAGTCAAGCCAACACCTAGTCAAGCCAACACCTAGTCAAGCATTTACTAGTCAAGCAATACTAGTCAAGCCAAAACCTAGTCAAGCCAACACCTAATCAAGCCAACACCTAGTCAAGCCAACACCCAGTCAAGCCAACACCTAGTCAAGCCAACGCCTAGTCAAGCCAAAACCTAGTCAAGCATTTATTAGTCAAGCCAACGCCTAGTCAAGCCAAAACCTAGTCAAGCAATACTAGTCAAGCCAACACCTAGTCAAGCATTTACTCTCGTCTCTTTCGATTAGCTTAAAAGCAAATCATTTCAATATCCACTGTTATTGAGTTTAGACAGATAGACAGCCACAAAATCTCGGCGGAGAGTGAGGGCTTGAGAGAAATAAGAGAGGGAAAAGAAACAAAAAGCAAACATTGAATCGGCCCGAGGGAATGGAGATAGAAAGGGGACTGTGAGGAGTGTCCGATGCTCGACCCTTCCTCTCTTCTCCTTTTCCCCGGCCGTTCATTGCTGTTCCGCGTCGTCGCTGACCCCTTCTTTTCACCTCTCTTTTCTCCTCCAACCACTACAAACAAATCGCTTCTCTATAAACTCTCTCGATTTTATTAACCTTTTCTTTTCACTGAGTCAAAAGATTACTTAATGTCAGTTCATCATTTCAGGAATTGATCAAGAAACGTCAGTCAAGTTGAGAGAACCCTTTCCCACAGTCTTATCTCGAAATTATTTTCTCTTTGAAATGCCACGCGTTTTCTAAAATTTTCTATTCATTCTCATCCTTCTTCTTTCATTTTCTTCTTCAAATCAAATCATTCTTTCAGAAAAAAAAAGAAGTTACTAAATATATTTTCGTCATTGATCAGGAAACGATCGCCTTTTTCGTATTCTAAAAGTGAGTATAGAAAATTTTCAAAAGAATTTCAACTTAAAAACAAGCTACCCTTAGTTTTATTATTAGTTCTCATAGTCAAAGTCGCAGATAAGTGAAGCAAGATACTCAAGAATGAGTCAGTTCGAGTTTTGACTCATCTGTGAGGTGACATAGCAAGTACACGTCTTTTTCTCTACTACAATATTTCTCTATAAAATTTGTAAAAGCTAAATATCTACACTACTGGACAATGAAATATGATATTTGAAAAACGATCGTCACTTTCGCGCGTCTGTAACTCCCTTGTCTTTACCGTATTTCTAAATATTAATATTACCATTGTGTAGCCCTTGAAAAGAGCTTTCAGAAAATGTATAACACTAATAGTTTAAACTCAAAGACAAGGGAGTTACAGACGCGCGAAAGTGACGATCTTTTTCAAATATCATATTTCATTGTCCAGTGCTGTATGAAACCAACATTTTACCCATTCAGATGATTGATCCCGTGACGGTGGGTGTTGTCACGATTCTTGTTGTTGCCGCGATCATCTTCTACTATTTTGCTAAGCAAGGAGATGATGACAATAAATATGACAAGGTTTTGTTACTGAAAACTTATAAAAGTTTCAATGAGTCTAGTATTGATTACTTTAAAATGATGGTTCTAACGAAGATGTTCTAATGAAGTTTTTCTAATGAAGATGTTCTAATGAAGATTTTCTAATAAAGGTGTTCTAATGAAGATGTTCTAATGACGATGTTCTAATGAAGATGTTCTAATGAAGATGTTCTGATGAAAATGTTCTAATGACGATGTTCTAATGAAGATTTTCTAATGAAGATGTTCTAATGACGATGTTCTAATGAAAATGTTCTAATGAAAATGTTCTAATGAAGATGTTCTAATGAAGATGTTCTAATGAAGATTTTCTAATGAAGATGTTCTAATGAAGATGTTCTAAAAAACTGTAACTCATTTTTAGTTGGCCAAAGAAACAACTCGCTTGCTTCAACAAGAAAAGAAACAAGTCTCAAAGCCAAAAGTGAACAAGAATAAGAAGGAAAAGAAGAAAAATCATGATGGAAAGATTGCAAACGAGAATACTGCGCCGAGAAAAGTGAGTACTGCTACAATATTCTAATAAAATATCACTTTTACAACAATTTCCAGGATTCGGACAGCGATCTCTCGGAGGACATCACCGAGCGAGAGACACTCACTCCACAAGAATCAGTGAAAGAGCAAAACAAAGGAAAAACTGCTTCGCCAAATATTGAAAGTAAACTATCTCAATTTGAAAATAGATAGATATAGATTAATAATAAGTCTTTTCTATTGATAAACCTTCTTTAAAAGTAAGGCATAAGACGCTACTCTTGGCGGCATGGGATAAGTGTCGGTGCTCCTTAGTAGAGGAGCCTTGGTAACTCCTTGGTAGAGTGTTCGCCCAATAAACGAGAGGTTTCAAAATCTGCAGTCGCGGTTTCAAAACCTGCAGCCATCTTTTAGATTCCCAGCCTCAACCGGCTTATCCAACTTAAAAATCGATAATCTCTTTTGCTTCGAAATCAATCATAAAGTTAATTTAGATGAACCGAAAGGA